AGGCAAGGCTAATAAAATTCGAGAATAGCGAGGAAGTCAGAGATGTGATGATAGTGGTATTGGAGCGGGGGAATAGTTATGGGTGGAGGGGCCTTTGATAATGAAATTTGAGTTTATGCAGACTCTTAACAAAATTTGAGAATAGTGAGGAAGGTGGGAGAAGAGGGATGGGGTTAAATAGTTTTGGATGGAGAAGCACAAAATGTTTCACTAAAATTGCTCTCATTTGAATAATTTTCATCAAATTTACATAAAAATGTTTTAAAATGTGTAGAAATGATCTCTGCCATCTAATTTTAGTTTAACATCTAAAGGTATGTAGTAAAATGTCAAAAGTTGGCAAAAATGAAAAATTGAAAAACTCTCTGGTTTCACACCATATGTTCAAACTGGGAAACGAGTATGCTGGTTTCAACCGATTTTAGAGACTGGGATTCAAGAGGTTAATGAGAGACTAACATTAGTTAGTTAATAAGTATTAAGTAAGTTAACCATCATTTGATATAAAATAGAAGAGGAAATTAATGAGGGAATATAGACTAGCATTGGTTGATGGATTGAGCTCAAGTGATAAGTTATGAGCTTAGTTAAGAAGAAAAGCTTTACTTTAGAAATACAAGATAGTTCTTTACTCAAGTAACAAACTGAAACTATGTGTAATTTTCAGTTAGGTAGTTGGAATTAACAACCATAATCAATCTCTAAGAAGCAAATACAGATTTTACGTAAATAATATTTAAAAATATCAATGCTAAAAGTCTAAAGGGACATTGTGACTCTCTCAGTGTGGTACAATTAAACGCTAGAGTGACTAAACAGAATTATTAGCTTTTATGCTATCGCTATCGGTTTGTCTCAATAGAAGATGGATACTGCTTTGTTACCGCAGTGATGCAAAGTTAGAGTCATTCTGAACTTTCCATTCCTCTGCCTCTTGAACTTCTATATAACAATAGGCAATTGATATTTTCTATAAAATTAGATTTATGTAAAACACATTGATTCTGTGGGAGAAATTTTCGCAGATTTGTGCATTTTGTTTCTTTTTGCAAACTCATATTTTGCAATTTTTGCAAGTGTCTCAATATGTGCCATGATTCCAGGAATACAATTCTAAATTCAAAAAACAGTAACTTTTTATCACAATGTAGTCATTCTAGGTTCAGATACAAGTGAATATAAAACCATCCGATGGATGAAGTATCAACACCAAATTAAACCAATGACCAAATAATTCTCTGTTGCTTACTGATGCATTTTAATTTTTCAATGTTGGCCCTTGTGCTTTCCCAATATATATATCTGTGATGGTAACCTCCGACCATGAGTTCAAGGGAACTAGACCATTCTCACACATCTTACATGTATTTCTAGAGACATGAAATATGTGTCATGTTGATGAGTATTCTGTTACATACCAGTATCTAGCCCATACATACCTTGTTTACAGATTATTCTGCCATGAAATTTCACAGGGGGCCTTGGTTTAAAATGCAAAATAGAAGGAAAAAGAACAGAGTTTGCAAGGAATAGAGTAAACAGACATGTAGTCAACACTCTAAATAATATAGAAATATCAAGAAAAAAGACAGTTTATTCAATTTTTTTAAAGAAATAACATGTGATAAGCATCGAGCGAGTGAGCAGACGTATATTTTAAACATAGTAAGCAGGTTATCACTTATCAATACAAGGTTATGATGGCCCTTAAACATCAACTTAACCGAGGTAGCTTCTTGACACCTGAACATACCAAAACAGAACATGAACTTTATGATCCCATGAGGGATCCCATAATCTCCTGAAGGATGCCCTTTGGTATCTGAATCAATGAAGAAAAGGCTAGTCCTGATATTGACCTTCAACATTTGGTTATTGAACTTGTGTGTGTGAAGACCTCATCATGAAAGGCAATTTCTAAAAAATTGTGCGATCGTAAATAATACAGGAAGTTCAACTGTTACTCACATCGTTATTTTAGCAACATCACATTAAAACTTCACAAAACAATACCTGTAATTGATATTTTTAGAAGCAAAACCACTGGGTAATTAAAAGGTTACAGCAATATATGGGGATTGCCATTTGCTTTACAAAATGCTACAAATCTGTCTTAGTAGAACACCTTTAATTGATACCTCTTTAAAAGTGTTCCATTTTGGAGGTGTTAACATTAAGCCAATTGGTTTCCGGACTCTGAAAAGTGTTCCATTTCTGGAGTTGTTCCACTTTACAGGTTTCACTGTACTATGTCTTTTTACAATGCCAATGTAATGAAATTCCCTAACAGACAATGTTACATTCTGATATTCATCGCATCTTTCTGTTTCACAAAACACATTGCTGAGACGAAATGAGATGTCATGGTTTATCATGATGAATATGTCATGGTTTTCATCTTGATCTGGAGCAAATAGATGACTTAGGGGAATATATTCGTGGACCAGTATATGACAGTTTAACAGTGTGTGGATGCAACTGTCACAATTTATGACGTTTGACAAGGAAATTAAATTGGATTCATAAATCACTGAATTTTTTTGACAATTGGCACTCGACTGTATATTCTCACTATAGTTATGTTGCCAAATACCTCTGACAGCATGGATCTTTGATCCCGAAACAACTCATTCAGAGCTATTTTCCCTTCTCCTTTACAGATGTTTAGTTTCACTAGATTGACAGCTAGACTGATATCACTATATAGCACTAATAATGCTATCATATTAAAGTAAACTTTTTAACAAAGCATTAACATGCAAAATGTCACTACATGCCATTTGTTACAAACACCAAACACCAACTGTCGATTGCTGACAATCGAACACCAACCACCAAACCCATCCACAAATAACTTGGAGACTATAGCAATATGTCACCACTTCTGGTAATGAAATAAAAATATCAAAATTCAGGAATTTTTTAAATTTCAACCAAATGACGTCCTTTCTAAATGACAGTAGGATCTGCGGGAACAAATTTTGGATATGCAGAGAGGGAGGCAGTAACCTACAATGCATAACAAGCACTACGAATTAATCTTAATCATGATTGAAATAATGTTAAAGGTATAAAGAACTTAGCTTTAAATACAAATTACTGACTTTGAACTTTAGGTATAATAATATTTATTTAATGTTAACGTTTAAAAATATCTTGTAACCTTTTAACTTTTCTCTTGATGGGTTGTAAATACGGGATGACATAAAAACTGTTAAACATTGAAAGAACTCATTTATTTTACTTTACCTTGCATTAAATTCATAGCAAACCGACACAGATATTTTATAAACAAACTTGTTTTTGTTGAATATCAGTAACATTACTGATACTCAAGTACAATTGTACTTAATATATAGTGTATAAGCACAAAACATGTTGTTCCGGTGCAAGGGATTATGCCACCATTGCTAAAAAGAAACCCATCAAGTTGAACAAAGTCTACACATACCTGTAGTCAGGGGATGGGGTATGAGCGAGCCTCCCTGGCCAAATTCTTTCAAAATCATGCAGTTTTTCAACATTTTGTGCACTTTTTTTTAAAGTGAACCCACCCTTGCAAAAGCCCGCTACAGGCCTACAACATCATATATAGTAGAACCTGTGTAAGTGGAACACCCTTGGGCCCACTAAAAACACGTCCCAATTTGGGAGGTGTTCCACTTACAGAGGTTCATTAACATGTAGAAGATAGGTCATGGGACTTTAAAAACATGGTTCCACTTGTGAGGTGTTCAATTTACAGAGGTGTTCCATTTAGCAGGTTCTACTGTACTTTTAACTTTTAAAATGTTAAAAGTTTCTTGATTCATCAAGGTATATCATACAACTGAATTAAAGCACAGGAAAAACAGTAGCTAAGTATGCTTTTAAAGAGAGACTAGATAGATACCATTTTGTGTGTTTTAGTGGTGCACCTTATACTTCTCTTAATCCTATTGGTGGCTGGCCAGTGTACCTTTTCTAACATTACCAAAGTATACATTTCAAACCTAACAATGCAAAACATGTTTCAGAACACACTATGCTGAACACTACATATTGTTATTTTCAAATATTGAATAATTATAACAGTGGGTGGGGTAAGTAGTTGAAAAAACAATGTTTCCAATACAGCTGTGTCTGAACATAGGTGGCAAATAATTAAAACCATTCAATGGTGAAAAGCACTAACTAACCCTATGAGGTAGGTTTTTCTCAACATGCATTTTCTTGCCAGGGTGAAATTGATTTTAGCTAATTATTCTGGTTAGAAATGTCCAGAACCAGTGGTATTTTATCATCGTTTTCTAAACAATAATATAATGTGAAACTTGCCGTGAAAACAAGCAAATAATAGAGCATCCAAACAACCCAATTGTTCCTTCCTAGTATGATTTACAATTGACTCCTTGTAACAAAAAGTGTTAAACTGCTAACTGTCTAATAAACCATAAGACTAGCTTATATTAACGCTATTACTTCTGGATGGTTTATACAATTTTATAATACACTGTATAAATAAACTGCCCCGCCTTATCTTAAATTTCATCCACATAGTTACCTAGAATACTTTGCTTATTCAGCATTTTCCTTTTGTATGGTAAGAGGTCTTGGCAATTTAATTTGTCCCTGAATATATCAAATTAAGTATTTCATATCAAAAAAGTTATGTTAATTAAATCTATCTGAGGCCATAAGCCAGATTTGCTGTCTCCTTAGGATTTCTCTAAATTCATATCATGAAATTTATTTAACAAATATGATTTTTTAATTAAAAACATCCTTATAAAATAATAACTAGATGATTTTTAGTATTCACAACTGAGTACAAATCAATTTAAACAATAAATAAAACAATGAAATAATTTCCTAAAAATCTGTAATTTGATAAAGCACCAAGTAGCTTCAATATTCTGAAGAAATCATGCATGCTTATATTCATAGAGGATATAACCCGTAGGCTTGGCTTCAAAATTATTGTAGTAAAACACCTGCTACAGTAATAAAATTAACCTTACCTTAATTTGTACTTTGTTGCATACTGCCTTAGATAATCTCAGCCAGGTAGGCAAGTCTAGGAGTTCCATCAGAATTTGTTCATTTAGCTCCAAGTTGGCTAGTTCACCTTCACCTTTTAGTGTGCTTATGTTGATACGGTCTGGTGTTAAGTTCTTTGTGAACCTGAAATATGATCAAAATGAGATTATACATGGGGAAACAGGCCCAGGGTGTGACTGTGACATATGATTATTGGTGAACCTGGAATATGGGCAAAATGAGATTATACGTGGGCAAACAGGCCCAGGGTGTGACTGTGACATATGATTATACATAGGCAAACAGGGTGTGACATATGATCCAGCTCAGAGGCCTGGAGTCAGGTACAATAGTTCCAATCCGGCCCCGGTGATTTTTTCAGTATGGTGAGGAAAACAACGTACTTATATGTAGTATTATGTGTCCCATGGGACACATATCTAGAAATTATATAAAAATTGTTCCATGAGTTCCATCACCTCATATAATAAATCGTGCAGTCTACTTAGTAGTCATAGCCATGTCTGATTTATTGATTAACTTAACTATTTCTATCGAAACATTATCAAAAATGTCAAGTAGATCAGTAATTTTGACTGAAGGATCATGCATATGTGTCGATAGATATACTTATTCAAAGGTAATAATCTCAATCATCAAGGACATCTGTCCAAATACTCTGCACCTCATGTACAATCTGATCACACCTTAAATGGTATGTAATCATGCCTAGAATATCATCTGATAATTCCTAAAATGTCATATCATCATTCTCCAACATTTGTATATTGCTTGTGGTTTGGCAGCTTTTTCATACTTCTGGGACATGTTATTTTTGAGCATGAAAAAACATCTAAATAAAATTTTTCCCATAATAATGAGAGGCTGCAGGTTTATACTGCACATAAAGCCCATAGATATTTCTAAAAAATTAACATCGCTAGCCATAGGGCCAGGAACATGTATTAGTGTTGTCGCGATTAATCGATACATCGTGATATACATCGCCAAAGCTGATTCTGGCAATGCATCGATGTCTGAAACAAAACATCGATGTTTTAAAAAAAATTTAATTGACTAAAAATCATCCTTTCTTATCTTATTTTGACGCAAACCGCTTACCTTTCTCATGTCTTATTTCATTTTCCAATGTTTTCTGATATTCTTTCACTTTAAAACTGTTTTTGCCAGTCGAAATGAACCATTAATCTAAAACATTTTACTCTACTTTCATTTCACCGTTACTAGAAGTTCCCGGATGTACCAGCGTACTCTTATTAATTTGTTCTGTTCAATATTTTAGTACATTAGCTTTCGGTATCTCAGTGCACTTTTCTCAGACTTTTTCTCGATGTACATCGCGATGTGCATCGATGTTTACTACTGAAAATTGCCGATGCATCGATGTACGATTATGGTACATCGCGACAACACTAACATGTATGAAAAAGATCGAGTCAAATACACCTAGTAAAGAGATGAGGTAGACTTCGAGAAAGAACATGTTCCCTTGCCTATGTCGCTAACAGAAATTGTCTACTTTAGAAACTAATTTGAAATGAAATATACAAATAGTATCTAAAATTTAAATATTCTGTATGATATTGCAATGTTGCACTGTGGTTCTTTGCCTCGCCTTGCACTTATATTGACTTCTCTTCTGACTGCAATACCACTTTCGATATATTTCTATCGGCATTGTACAAGGTTTGTGTGCCCAAAGGATTACAATTGATTATCATATTTGGATACAGTGTAAATGTTTGAGTATATTTCCTGTTTCCTGAATGGAAGTGCAAGATCCAATGGAAAAGTGGGCAGACAGTTTCTGCAAGAGGATTTTTATGATGCATTGAAAATAATTCCACAAACAGTTTTCGGGTATAAATTATTTATCTGAACTTTCTACTTACTTAGACAGATGTTTCAATATCTGGTTCTTTATAATTGATGCCATATTGACGTATAATCCAACTTTATTTGGGAGAGAAATATTACACCAAAATATCCATATTTCTATTGATCGATTTTGATTGGTTAGAAGTTTTGTGACACACCACACTTTGGTTTCATCTAAGACTTTAAAATGATAATTAAAACTGGTTATTATATATCAACTCAATCAATTATGTATATTTAACATTGAGTTATTACAAATATAAGTATTTTGGTATGTGATTAGATAATAAACTAATCAAAAAGGTAAATTCGATAAAACTTTATTGTGCCAGTCATTATTCACTTCGATATAGCGATTCACGTGCAAAATAAAAAATCAACAACACATTCTTAACATTTTATTTCTTCGTGTTTTGCACAGTCAGGCAACATCATGTGGAGACAGAGTGCAAGAAAAGTGAGTAATCTACAATCTTCTGTTGTGTCATGTCAGTTGATGGTAATGTCATCTTTTAATCTGAATTTTAATTATTTAAATTGTCAGAAATAAATCATATGAAATGTCATCAGGCTAAGCTAAGTCTTAAGGCAATAACAGGGCCATCATGAAAAAAAAATTCAAGAAAATAATAATCTCCTTGAAATTTATGATTATTGTCACATCAATGTTATAACACGTCATCTGGTTTTGTCGTGATTAGTAATCGATACGGGTTTGTGTAAAAAACCGGGTGACCAGGCAACCGGGTGGCCGAGTGACCGGGTACCTAACATTCCTAGCAGGGTTACTAACTTTCAAGTTCAAGTTTCAACTTTATCAATATCAGAAAAAAATCTAAATTGTTACTCAAGATATCCACTGAATTAACATGAACACCTAAGTCCTAAGTAGTTTACATTTTACACAGTTTACGTACATGTACAAGTTGCTTGATTTATTGTCTGAGTGATTGACAGGATAATAATCGATGATTGTTTTCTATAATGGTGATTTCTACTAGAAGATTTGTTTCATGTATATTACGGACACGTACATTGAAATGTTATTTGCCGTTTCCAACTGTCAATTGAACATGAGATGTACAATACAACGTTGGTCGTTTGATTTATTGCCTTCAAGTGATTGACAGAATATCGATGTTTGTTTGTTTTGGCGGTTGGTTAATTAGAAGATTAGGTGGTTGCTTGGTTGACTGTTTGCTTGATTGGTTTTATGATTGGTGCGTTGAGTTGGAGGTAGGTTGGGCTCTTTGAGGGATGAAAATGATAAAATCAAATTCATAACCCTGGTAGGAACGTTAGGTACCTGGTAACCCGGCTACCCGGTTACCCAGTTTTTTACACAAACCCAATCGATACATCACATTGAAAGTGATTCAGGCAATGCATCGATGACCATTGATGTCAGCAACGCCGATGTTTTAAAAATGATTAAATCTGCTATCACCCGTTCCTTTCTCATATTCACACAAATGTCTTACCTTTCTCATTCCTTAGTTCATTCATGGGCTTTCAATTACAAAGTTGAAAGCCCATGGTTCATTTACCAATCTCTGATATGCTTTCACTTTAAAAATGTGTTAGCTTGTCGAAATGATGCAATGACTACAATTTTGGCATTTGTTTTCGCACTCCTTAAAGTTCCGGATGCATTGATATTGCGACAACTCTAACGTCATTTCAGTTTCTGGTACTTTATTCTCATTCTTCTCTTTTTGTGTCACCACCAGAGGTGACATATTGTTATAGTCTCCAAACATTTTGTGGATGGCCGTCAGTGATTGATGTTTGGTGTTTGGGGTCTGTAACAAATGTAACAAATGGCAGGTAGTGACATTTTGCATGTCAATGCCTTGTTACATTAGTTTTCATCATCTCAATCCATTCCTGTTACAACTCAGTTCCTGGTATCTGTCTTACCAAAAATCTCTGCCACAGAATAGTTAACAACATTCAAACATATCAAATCATAACATTAAACAATGAATGTACAGTACATCTTGGAAATGTGGGAATTTCCATGTAGAAATAACAAAATAATTTTATTAAATTTTTTAATTTATTTTCATCCCAATCACTTTTACCAGTACTTATTCACTGTCATCTACTCAGGGGCGTAGCCAGCTTTCAGTTAGGGGTGCAATCACCAAAAAATTTCGGTTTTCAGTAAGCGGGAGAGCGATTGTGGCGTAAACAAGCCAAAAAATTAAGATTTATCTTGAATTTTACAAAAATTGATGCAACGTCCTTCAAAATTGAGCGAAAAGCTACCCTGGCTACGACTATGCTACATATACATACAATGCCATGTATTATTGCAACAGATACTGTATTTAAAATGCTGTTTGTTCTTATTAGGTAGTGTCAAGCTTGAGGCGGACATACTGTGATGCCAGTTATGGAAATAGAGTAGAGATGAGTACGTTTTTGTTTTTGTTTTTATAAACATCAAAAGTTGTAACGATTCTTCAGAGGGAATGAGCTATCCATGACTAGAAGCATATAGATCTGCATCACTCATCTCAGTTTTTTACTAGATATCTGCAAGTGAAATTGGTAGATTCTGCAAGTGAAATTGGTAGATTCTGCAAGTGAAAAAATGCCAATTCCTTGTGATTTCTGCAGGATATCTCTACATTTTCTGCATTTTTAGATGTTAAGTATTCTGTCTGTGCTCTGCTGAAATGAAATGCTAGATGATGTATTAGATCGTTTGGTTGAAAGGATACATTTTTTAATATGACACCATAAACAGATAAACTGACTTCCATTATTCTGATTTTGTTTATTGTGTCACCACTAGAAATAGTAACATATTGTTAAAGTCTCTAATTTTTTGTGGCTGATGTTTGGGGGTTGGTGATTGGTGTTTGGCAGTTTGTATCTGTAACAGCATTTGGCAGTGGCTGTCTGTAACAAATGGCAGGGGGTGACATTTTTCATGTTAATGCCTTGTACTTTATTATTGCAATGAGCCATTCATTTCACAAACAAATCTTACAAATATGTACTGTAAAATGTAAATGTATTTTTCATGTTGTTTTATTATTATCATTGTTAGGTGTTAACCAGGTGAATCTAGTGGGCCGTGTGGGGCAAAATGTTGAATTACGGGGCTCAGATCCTGCAAATCCTAAGATAGCAACATTCTCTGTTGTCACAAACCAATCCTGGACAGATAAAAATGGTATTTATAACCTTAGTTTTTTGTTTTCCATACAAATCTTGTGGTCCAACATTTTATCCTCTTTGTGAATATTCTCATGGTAAGGCAAAAACTAGATTCTGTCCAATTGATTTTTTTTGTTTTGATCTGCCATAGCCTTTTATTACAAAACCTTGAAATGTGAACACCTGTCAAATGTCAATGTGAACACTTTTGGCTAGTCCCAGATGCGTTCAGAATCGACAGGTTTTACTGTGTAGTAGTCAAACTGAGATGGTACTTTGTTACTTCAGGTGAATGGAAAACTAAGGCTGACTGGCACAATATCCTTATTGGAAAACCTAACCTCCGAGACTATGTAGCACAAAACCTTCGTAAAGGGTAGGTAAACAGTCTAGGAATCAGCAAATAGAAACAACATTATCAGAAATGCCCTTATTTTTTGTAAAATCTTATTGTTGTTTCAAAAGAAGTTGTTGGTTACAGTCCAAGAATCAGAAAATAAAAATGACATTTTCAGAAATGTCCTTATTTCATAAAACCTTATTGTTATTCCAAAAGTTATGTCCCGAAAATCATTATTTCCTGTTCTTCTGTAGAATGTCCAAAGTTACATTGATTTGCCAAGTATCATGGTTCAACTCTCAAATGTGAAAAAATTACAGGCATTTCAAAATTTAGTGTTTGGTCAAAATTAAGTTCAATTTCACACCAAATCAATAGTCAATATGTCCTCCCGGGCCATCTTAACAGCAGCAATTATTTTCGGGTTGGATGGATATTGAGTAGGAAAAAGAGAACGGTGAGGTTAGAAACTCTAAGGAAACTCTTCTAAAGTTCCTTAACAGGTTTTAAGAGAGTTATAAAATTCCACACCCCTATTTGAAGGGCTTTTAAGGTCATATCTGAAAATAATTGCTGCTGTGAGCATGGCCAAGGGGGGACTCATTGACTAGTGATGTGGTGTAAGATTGAAATTTATTTTGACAAAACACTAACTTTTAAAATGACTGTAACTTTTTCCCATTTGGGAGTTAAACCATGATACTTGGCAAATCAATGTAACTTTGGATAAGCTTTAAAATGATATATGACACATACTATGAGGACATTGGAATATCTCTACCTAGGGGGGGCCCCATACTTTCGGGACACCCTGTACAGTACCAGTACATTGAGAAAATGTTAACATGGGGTATTGTTCAATTTTATATCAACAATTGATGTACTTGCTAAACTCATGCATATGTAAAAAGGCATGTAAGTATATTAATATTATCAATATGGAGTTTACAGAGCTGGAGGAAAAAATTCAACTTGTGCAATCTGCGAAATGTCATCAACTCAAATCCGCGAAATTAAATAGCCGCGAAATTGCAATTTTGAAAAATCGCGAAATTTTATAGCGTCGAAATTTACCAGGAGTACAGTAATTAAAGAAAATATTTGAGACATATTCAAAAAGGACAATAACACAAATGACCAATTACATATCAATACATATCTTTTAGTGACTCCATTTATCATTTCTTTATCTAATTTTCCTTTAGGGATCGTGTCATGATACAAGGAAGGATATCATATGATTCATATACCAATCAAGAAGATAGGAGAATAACAACCACCCAGATAGTTGCAGGTATTGAGCCAACCCCTTAATTGGCCTTTAAGATAAATTTCTCAAAATTTCTTGTCAAGTTTAATTTAAGACATTACTATCAAATATCTGATTGAATGTGAATTATTAAGTTTTTGTGAAATACCTCATTTTATGAATTACCTCATTTAATAACATTTCCCCCATATGTAGCATTCTATTTTCAAAATAAGGCAGTGATTTTTGGTCAAAAATGTATAAATTCCATTATTTATCCAGAAATATCAAATCATAAAGGGTGACTCTTATTTTGAAATAACAAGAAGATTCCATGATAACTGGGAAGGTGTTTTAAAGGAATATTCCTTGCCAAACCATCTCTCTCCTCATATGGTAGCTATAACCATATATATGCTTGCCATGTTTAGCAAAACACGCAAAAATGTTTTGATATGGTCAAATTTGATCTCTTAGAAATGTGATGCTCAATTCCAGTAAGCTGCCATCTTTTAAAATTTCACACAGGAAGTGATGTCATCGACTCTCAACTTTGCATATAGCATTAGATGAGGAGCTATTAAGAATTACAAAACCAGCTAAATATTCTTTTTCAACTTTGTATCTTAAAATCTCATCTTTTATTCTAAGTTGACAAGCCCTGAAAATATTTTTGCACAGTAAGTAATGATCACTTGTCTAGAAGTGATTTTGTGCTACTTTCCTATACTGTTATGGGCAAGGTTATAGAAGTTGAGAGTTGATGACATCACATCCTGCAAGAAATCTTAAAAGATGGCAGCTCACTGGAAATAAGCACTAGATTTTTAAATGATCAATATTGACCATATTAAAAGATTTCCCCATGTTTTGCTAAATATGGAAACTATATATATGATTATAGCTACCATATCAAGAGAGAAAGGGTCTGGCAAGGAATATTCCTTTAAAATAAGAGAGTTGCATATTTGCGTCTCTGCAGTATGTAGTTTGAATTGTATCTTATTACTATGTCAATAAAATGGTGTTTTTCAGAAAATTTAATCAATTTCTCAAAGAAACATTTACAAGAAGAAAGAGAGCAGACAGACTTTAGTGACCAATACTGAGAGATAATATCAAATGTATCTCATTGACTGAGTGATAGAAACAATATGGACAATTCTACGATTCTGAAATAATGTAGACAGTAGGATCTCTATAACAAACAATACAGACTACAGGGCCCAAAGTAGCCTTGTATACTGGATAGTTAAGGCAGCAAAGGGTAGACTTGAGGCTGCAATGTACAACGTAGAAAATGTGAAGTAGGATCTCCATTACAAACAATGCAGCCTACAGGGCGCAAAGAAAAACTATCTTAGCCTTGTAAACTGAATAGTTAAAACAGCATAGGTATACTTGAGGCTGCAATTTTAAAAGTTCTATAGACAACAGAAAATGTATAGTTTGACTAGTATATACTGCATATACCTACCTGTGAAAGAGAATAATCCTGTGTATTTTTAAACAGTATTCATGAAATTTTATACTGAATAAAAAGCTGACTTCAAAACTCGTGTTAGTTGAGTTTTAAATCAGTGTCACCACTAAGTGATTTCTGCATCCCCTGCACAAATTTTATTGAAATCCATGAATTATAAAAAGTTATCGCAAATATGGAGATTTTGGCCCAACCTATACATTTAGAGTCTGATGTCTGTCATAAGTTATTAAACTTTGGAACCATTTACAACTTGTACATGAGGTGGTGATATTTTTTCATGTTGATGCCTTGAATATTTCTATTGTGTGGGAGACCTTTACAGAGTTTGCAATGACAAAAACTGTAAATGAAGTTGCCTTTTTCATTTGGTCTTAAAATGGATGGCAGGTCTTTCAATGGGAAGACACCTTGAGAGTTGTACTTGAAAAAGTTTCACTGGTTATTATGTCACCACCAGAAGTTGTCACATATTGTTATAGTTGCCAACTATTTTGTGGACACCAGTCAGTGTTCGGAGGGTGGTGATTGGTGTTTGGCATTTGGTATCTGTAACAAATGGCAGGTGGTGACATTTTGCATGTTAATTCATTGTTATAATTAATATAAGAAACATAAAGTGAAATCCATTTCCATTATTTATTGAATATCAAAATGCTTAAGATTTACACTATTTTTGAATATTGTACAAATACAGGGTGGTGAAAATATTCCAACCCATCCAGATTGAAAAATGAATATTGTACAAATACAGGGTGTTGAAAATATTCCAACCCATCCAGATTGAAAAATGAATATTGTACAAATACAGGGTGGCGATAATATTCCAACCCATCCAGATTGAAAAAAAAAATATTCCTACCCATCCAGATTGAAAAATGAATATTATCGAACATTGTACAAATACAGGGTGGCAAAAATATTCCTACCCATCCAGATTGAAAAATGAATATTATCGAACATTGTACAAATACAGGGTGGCAAAAATATTCCAACCCATCCAGATCTCGGAAATTCCCCAAATTCAATGAGACAAAGATGCACAGTTGAATTTTAGAACTCAACCAAAATATGTATTCTGCGTAGAATATGGTCAAAGGTTTGGTAAAATGTTTTAAAGCATAGAGAAAAACTGAGGAAACAAGCAAAATGTGGTGATCAAAAGATCATGAACAAAAACTTATACTGAATTAGTCAACTACTTAAACTCAAATTCTGAATAATATACATAAAATTCAAACAAAAATATGAGTTTTTAAGTTATGCAAGTAACTTCCCTTATACCAACACAACATCCAGTTAACTTACCAATACCCTCAATATTCAGGTAACACTCAATTTTATATCATATTTGACAGAAAATTTGGTGAGTTCAAATATTTGGAAGGTCAATATTTACATTTTCAGCTAATTATCCCACATTTGTCCCATTGAATGAAGTTCAGAGGGATATGGGGAATGCCTCCTTCTGTCCAGGCAATAACTCAAATTCCATTATCCCAAATTTGTTATATTTTGTACAAATATGCCCTAAGGGGGTAGAGGTTCTGCTTGAAAACGAATTTTCAAAATGGCCACTCGTTTCAAATTTTGCAATTTTGTTCATATTTGATATGTGAGTACTCGTAAGCATAGCACACTGTTGTATGGCACTTTGGTTAGTAGGTGGCCATTTTGAAAATGGCCACCATTTATTACATGTGCTATTTTACATTTTTTACTTTAACTCAAAAAACAATAGAGTGATTTTGTTCATATTTGGTATGTATTGTGGATGCTCATAAGCATGGCACACTGTTTAATGACACTTTGGCTAGTATGCGGCTATTTTGAAAATGGCCACCATTTTTACGTGTGCTATTTTATGTTTTTTACTATAACTTAAACAGAAATAGAACGATTTTGTTCATATTTGATATGTGAGTACTCATAACTATGGCACACTGTCTTATGACACTTTGGGATAGTAGGCAGCCATTTTGAAAAATGGCCACCATTTACATGTACATGTGTGTGATTTCGTTGAAATTTTATATTTGTCTACTTAGAAGCAAATTACACTTTCTTATGACAATTTGGCTAGTTAGTGACCATTTTGAAAATAGTGGCCATTTTTATTTGTGATATTTATAATTTTTGCTGTAACTGAAAAAGAAGTCGAAAAATTGCAGCCATGGCTGTTCGATGGGATTTGCTACACTTTGGCGTTGCTGTTATCTAGTTTGATGATATGATTTTAAGAACACATCTAAATATTTGAACTCCTCAAATTAGGGGGCGCATCTCAATAATTCATCAGTATAGAACATTTAGTCATACTAGTTCCCTTAATCCAACAATGGCACAGGTTTTACAACACACCTAACCCTCTCCACAAGGTATAAAATATACAAGATAATGCACAATACATGTAGTTGACGATCAAAATACTAATACCATGTTTGTTCATGTACAGATACATGTAAAGGTGGAGATATTGCGAATTCAACCCCCCAACCAATCAGAATAGATTGCAATGTGTTAATTCTCTAGAATGCATAACCCACATACATACAACTGGCCACAAAAGAAATATTATCATTGTCACATTGTCCACATCTTCAGTTGTCACATAATCCATTGGTTTAATATTTACCTATGTTGTAACATAATCCATTGGTTTGATATTTACCTATGTTGTAACATAATCCATTGGTTTAATATTTACCTATGTTGTAACATAATCCATTGGTTTGATATTTACCAATGTTGTCACATAATCCATTGGTTCATTCCTTCGCTTTAGTTACCCGTGTTGTAACATAATCCATTGGTTTATTCCATTGGTTTATAATATTTACGTACGTTGTTACATAATCCAATGGTTAATTCCATTGGTTTAATATTTTTACCTATGTTGTAACATAATCCATTGGTTTAATATTTACCAATGTTGTCACATAATCCATTGGTTTATTCCCTTGCTTTTTTTACTTGTGTTGTGGCACAATTCATTGATTTTATCTCAGTTTATCTCCACAAGAGTTGGCAAATTAAAATTGAAGCATGACTTCATAAAACTACACATTGAATCGAATGAATAAAAAAATAATTTTGGAAAAGTGACAATGATTGATGAAAATTTGGCAAAAAGACTAATTTATAGTACAATATATTTACAAGTGGGTCATTAAATGCGCCTGAAATATTGCTTAGTGAAAATTCCCAAAATTCAATGAACCATGAAATGCCATCCCATTAAACCAACAATATACAAAGAATACCAACAACTGATTAAGAAATATATGATATCTTGATTGCTGATTTTGAATGAGAGCTAAATGCTTCGATTGAAACACCCAGTGAAATATAGGCTTAAGGGGCCAATATAGGCTTAAGGGGCCAATTACACCATATGCAAATATATTTAGACCCTCATGTCACATACACAATTTTCAATAACTAAGTTTGAAATATACAGTCATTGATGTTCACTGCTGCTATTCAATGCCAATAAGTTCAACTTCAAACGTCAGTGTTGCATTTCCAGGAATTCTGTGTCTGAGTTAAGAAAAAGGAATATTTTTGGTAAAGATTAAAAGGTGGATTGAAGGAATATATTTGGTAAAGATTAAAAGGTAGATTGGATCGAGTGGATTGGATTCATGTAAAAGGTGGATTGGATTGGCTATCTTCAAAATATGGATATTCCTTTAAAAATCTATTGAGCTCCGGGTCCCTCTCGGAAGATTGTTGCTCTCCTCACTTCCACAATGTCAAATAATAGATGTAATATTATTTTGCATGGGTGGGCTAGAAGGGTGATCTGGTACCTGCTTTTTGATACATAATTTTATTTTCATTCCAAGGGTAATCTTAGACGTTTCATAAATCATAAGGCAGACTGGTTTGAAGATCCATATCATCTGTTTTCAATCCAAACTGAACATAGCAGAAATGTTTTGCGAACATCCACACATCAATTTGAATGACAGCTTTTGTCTACAGATCTATGATTTTATGTCTTACAAAAGTTGATTTACAAGGGAAAGTAGTTAAATGAGTATCCATGAACTGATTGGAGTACATATTTGTGGTTGCTTTGTTCTGATTTTTCAAAGGGACCTGTAATACTGTAGAGGAAAATTGCTTAGAGGGAGATTGACAGAAAAAAATTCATAAGGAATTCCATATTTTGAAGATTCCCGATCCAATCCACCTTTTACATGAATCCAATCCCCTTGATCCAATCCACCTTTTAATCTCTACCATGTATTTAGCTAATGTTACAGCCTTTAATAAATATACATAATATCATGTGATACAGAATATTGAATTATAATGTGGCATAGTCTGACATTAATATAAAACCCACTTCACACAGTGACATGTATAATACGAGGCATTAACATACAAACTCTGAGCACCATCCACAAAAAAGTTGGAGACTAGGTATAAAATTTGTATTCAATGGTAGGAAAATCATATTTTCAATGAAACATCAAAGAAAACTAACACTCAACCAGCACTTCCAATTTATCAAGACAGCAGAAGCAATAAAAGCTATACTTTAAATCAATTTCTTTTCAAAAGGATACTTTGAGGCCTCAAGACCTCGTTTTCCATAAGCCCACACTGGTTCAATCTCTAGCTCCGCCTTTTCTCCAATACTCATCGTCTTGATGCCCTCATCCCACTAAAACAAAACAATGCTGTCAATATTAGACCTTGATATGCCAAAAATAAAGAATGACTCTATCAGAATTAGACCAACGGTCTTATAAATATATGAGACCCTTGGCATTAATAATAAGTGGCATATATTTTTATTAATATTAGACCTATGGTGGTAACAATATCAGGCATATGATTCAATAAATATTAGATAAATGAATTTCATAAATTAATGTCAACAAATAATGAAGAAATAATTTGTAGTTTTGCATGTTTTATTTATCATGGTTTCAAATTAAGATCAACTATACTACACTGATGGTCTCATCAATATAAGCCCCATGGTTGTGTAAATGTGAGACCTATTTTCTTATCAATATTAGACCTATGGTCTAATAAATTTAACACCCATGGTTTCATCAATATTAGATGCATGATCTTGTCAATATTAGACCCACAGCCAGATTAAAATTAGACCTTATCAATATCTGCAATAAAAATTGGGAACATCTTCATATATAAATATAGCAAAAATACAAGCCACTTTTTCAATAATCAATCAGCTATCTTAACGGGTCACTGTGGATGAATGCTTATGGGGACATGTTTCAAAATCTAAAATGGAGGGAAATAGAGGAGGATACAAGTTGCCTATTTGTACAGGATTACAAGAAAACCTGACGCTACATTCATATTACCATGGAATAAGCATGAAAAGAGAGGAATGTAGCCTACCCCTCTAATGACTAATCCTACTCCAAGCTTGAACTTCAATGGCTGGGCCTTCATCTTTCCTTTCCTTCCTGAAATGAGAATCAATTTTAAGATATTGTCTGAAATGAGAATCAATTGCCTGAAATGAGAATCAATTTTAAGATATTGCCTGAAATGAGAATCAATTGCCTGAAATGAGAATCAATTTTAAGATATTGCCTGAAATGAGAATCAATTTTAAGATATTGCCTGAAATGAGAATCATTTTTAAGATATTTTATTTCAGCGTCCCAAGGATTTCATTAGCAGCAGACAACAGGCGATTTTCACCAGTGGTTTTCACAAAACCGCCGGTTGTTTTAGGGGACTTTTAAACTTTTCCATGTTAAATTTGTCATTTCCATTTTAGCCTGTTATGAGGAATTCAACCTTTGGTGCCTGTTACATTGTATATGTCACCAGGAAAAATGATTAATACATTGTTAATGGTACATTATGGCATATTTTTTTGATCTTAAAGTAGTTGAATTTATTGATGTTAATGCTAAAAAGTTTGGATCCAGTTAGTGCTAAGACGTTCTGGTGCCATGAGAGTCAAAATGACATTCAAAATATGAACATTATGTGACTTAAGTGAGAAATTGGGTTCTTTTATACCATATAGCAGCATTGGCAAATAAATGTAATATGTATATGCTTTGGCATTCCACAGAGATTGACTAGAGAGTATTTGAAGATTGATAAATTCTCACCAGGTTTGACCTGAGTGTTGCTATCAAAAACTGTTCCATCAGCCAGTTTGCCAGTGTAGTAGACAAGGACCTGGTCCCCTTTCTTGGGAAAGTCCTTCTTATTGCCTTTTTTAATGGTCCTCTTTTTAAAGTGGATAACACCCTACAAAAAACAAGGCACATGGTCAACAATATGGCATCTAAAAATAACCACCTTACATTTTATCATTTAACAAAGTTCAAACTGACACCAAAGGCCAAGTTTTAGCCTTGCTCCAAGATTTCCCACCCCCTCATTCCAGGGTCTTGAAGCAAGACTAGCAAAGTTTAGGCAGAGTAAACTTACATCGTCTTTAGCTGCAGCTTCTGTGGATGCATCTTTGATATCTAAAGATTCAGTCTTCTCTACAACTTTCTTCATTTCTTCCTCCTCTTCACCCTCCTTCTTAAATGACTAAAAAAGTGTTTTTTATTAAAATATGGTTGTCTTGAAAAATAATGTTTTGGAATCTACTTTTAAAGAGGACATCCTCTGAATGCATCTGATACTTAGTGTTTCAAGATGATCAAGATAAGTTTCCATTTCCTAAATTTTTTTTGCAATACAATTACAAGGCATTAACATGCAAAATGTCAATGAATATAACTAAACAATATGTCACCACTTCTGGGGGACAGATGAAAAGCATTATAGTTACAATACCTCAGAATGTAGTTAGCTTATCATTACTATAGAACGCATTTAATTCAAGCATATCACTTTCACCAATTCAGAATTTCATAGTATTTGACATCATGTTGAATTCCTGTACGCTTTTAAAAATCAACAATATGTGATATATAAGATTCAAGAATAAGAATGAGTGAACATAGCACACATAAACAAGGCATTAACATGCTAATTGTCACCACCTACCATTTGTTACAGATGCCGACCACCAACCACTGACCGCAAAACACCATACCCACAAAAGTTAGAGACTATAACAATATATCACCACTTTGGTGGTACATAACAACATATTTTACAGTATAGTAAAATAGTTATTACTATTGTAATAACTGGAGATTTTTAACAACTGAGTACTGTACTTAATTTGGTGCTACTTATTTTGGCAGATTTGCTGTTTTGAACATTTGGCGGCTTATTTGGCAAACTTGCAATATTGAAATGTATATACTATAAATATTTATGATTGAAATATTGAATCTGGTGGCTGTTTAATTTGGTGGATCCGCCGAATTATAATGGCTGCCAAATTAAGAAGAAGTACAGTATGCTTTTAGAATTTAAAAGTACCTTGGTTTCATAAAGGGCATTGTAGTCTTCAATTAGTGCATCCTTTGTTTTGCTTTTGTTGACATTTTTAACAGCACCTTTTAACTTGTGTTCTAGTAGGAACTGAAAGAAAAGAAAATATAACAAACAATTTATAGCATTGTAAGTTGAACACAAAAAGTACCTCTAAAAATTAGGGGTGGGACGGATAACCGAAATACCGAAAAACCGCGGTTCATAGCCTTCGGATCGGTTTTCGGATCACGGCCCTACTTTCGGATCAGCTTTTCGGATCGTTTTCGGATTAATATTTCATTGGTCAAGTATCAATAAAACAGTTAAAAACACTGTTTTACAGCAACATTTTTGATATTCCTAGTCCCTACCTTGTCTGTCTTGTCTGTTGCTAGCTCACTCGTTTACTAGATTCGTTTCGTATCCGCGTATTCGTATCCCTCGGTAATCAATCATGTGGTCCCTGGTACTATATTCTTTAGTCGTGTATTCTAAATAATATGTATTTTTCATGAAATACTATAACATAAAATTCCATCTATACATCGGTCCCGAGTGAAAGGGTCTTCTCGACGGCTGGTGACATTGTAACAGCCCAAAGGGCCCAATTGAAACCAGAAGCAGTGGGCATATTAGTTTTTCTAAAGAAAAACATGAAAGTGTAAACTCACTAAACTTACACAATTATGACTTCCTCTGTAAAAAACGCATCACAGAATAAAGGTTTCTACAAGCATAAATTAGTTATTTTATTGGTTGTATTAAAAGAAAGTGACAGTCAGCAGTGAAGTCAGAGACAAAGCAGCTAATCATGTCAATCAATACAAATCCTTAAAATGAATGAACCGAACCGAAAAAACCGAACCGAGGGCTGATGATCCGAAAAACCGAACCGACCGAAACGAAACGAACCGTCCCATCCCTACTAAAAATGTTCCAGTTTCATTGTTCCATGAGGCATTTCACTTATAGAAGTTAATTGAACATTAAGTCAATTAGTCCTGGGACTCTGAAGTGTTCCACTTCTACTTTACAGGTTTCACTGTTAGTTTCCAGAATGAAGGACATTGCAGGTGACAAAAAATTAGCATGAATTAAAGCGCTTACCTCTTAAATATTCAAGTTACTTTTTTTTTAAAGAAATTATTTTTATCAACAATTTCTAGAAGTTTTTGCAACATTTCTGACAGAAATCCTTAAAAAAAGTTTCAATATCAGTTATCTTTTTCAGATATTGTATTCTCTGTAATTAGCACCCACCCCCTAAGCAGTATGATATATAAACATTATGTGAGTGCATGCAATAAAATAATCGAATACAGTAAAACCTGTCTTATCTGACATTACTGGAACAAGGCAAAAGTGATTTGATTGACAACTGTTCACATTTCAAGTTTTTTCTTAACATGGAAGTCTATGGCAGATTACATAAACAAGGCATTAACATGCAAAATGTCCCCACCTGCCATTTCTTACAGATGTTGACTGCCAAACACTGAGCGCCGAATGATCTACACTGGCCATAAAAACTGGAGACTATAACAATATGTCAACACTTCTAAAAAATGGGACCAGATGTAAAAATGGGACCAGAAAAAGTGTTCATATTGAGAGATGTTCAGATTAGAGAGGTGCTTGGATATACAGGTTCCACTGTTTATTGTTAAATAGAATGATTAAGGTTTCTACTTACAGCTCCTGTGGCATTTTCTTGAAGCCATATAATCATTTCTTTCTTGCCAACTTTTTCTCCAATGAGATCATCATCTGTCCATGGCCGTGCTGGTTCTGTCATGTCTACACTTTTTTACTACATAAAACAAGAACAGAACAAGACATTAACATGATGAAATATTTTCACATGATTCAAATCATAAGCATATTTACCATTTGTTGCAGATACTAATGTTGAATGCTAAATGCTGGCACCAAATGTTGTTTATAACTAAATAATAGCTATAACAAAATGTATAACACATTCCCACAAACTATGACTGATAAGTGTCATGACGTGCTAGCGTCAACCGTAAATTTGAATTTTAGACCTACCAGGTGTTTGAATATCAAGGATTGTGAGTCTCATACTGCACTGTTTTTCTTCAAACTTGTTCCATTAAAAGCAAAACAAAATGCCTTTCTGTTGGTATATTATGCTGTTATAGTCCCTCGTTTTAGCTGGTATGGGTCCCCAGCTGTGACAAGCGCTTCTCACAGCTGAGGACCCAAACGCCGCTAAAAGAAGGGACTCTGTACAACAACAAAAAATGCACCAACGGAAAGGCATGACAACATTTTACGACCCCAAGATTTCAATTCAATTGTAAGTACAGACCTGTCAACTTGGGAACACCTAACATGAGTGACTTGGAAATGTTGAACACCTCCCCTCAAAATGTGGACACCTTGGTCCAAATCTGAACACCTTGATCCAAATTTTGAACACATTGGTTTAAACTTTATTACATCTTGCCAAATTTTGAAAAAAATTCGAACGGAATGCGTGACATATACGTAATTCGCGTGAAAAGTCTGAATGAAATGCGTACGTTTTTTTTCGGCGTTCGTATTTTTGCTGTGTAGATGAACTTTTTTTGAAATTTTTCTACAGAAATATTTTTGCTTAACAATTACCAAGTAAAATGCGTATTTGTGTGACATTTTCTGTCACGCAAAAATAACTGACCAAATCAAAATGCCTTCAAATTCTTCAGCAAATGCGTGACAAATACGCAAATTGCGGGACAGTTGACAGGCCTGTAAGTAGTATTTGAAAGGTGCAAATCGAAGTGTTTTGACAACATTCAGAAGAAAATCTGACTGTAGCACAGTCATATAAATCAGACCGTTGTATGCTGTTCTTTGTTTATATATGGATATTTATTCTTCATGATTTTTGGCAATTTTTGACAAAAAATAATAAAAAATAATCATCCAAATCAGAACAAACAATAGATGTGTTGTCTATCGATTTTGCTTTAGGACTTAATTGAAAAAGTAATCTATTTCAGTTCATAAATATTTCTGCAAAAGGAGGACAGTGATATTTTTAGAAAATTTCTAAAAAAACGTGGGCGATAATATGTGAATTAACATTTCAACAGTGAAGTTCGTCATTCATTCAGTGATGAAGCAATAATTTTCCATGTAAACATATTTCACATGGATTGATTTTGCTATAATTGTTGTAAAATAGTACTTACCTGATATTAATGTGCCGTTATATGAGTTTGTCTGACAAAATGTTTTTGCCTGCATGGGAATGTTGAGTAGAGCTAGCAACCAGTAAAAAGTTAAGATTTTTTCGTACAATCTGAAATCACTGAGATCATTGTATATGCAATCAATAAAAACGTTGATTTGTGAATTACTAAAATATGTATTTGTCATATATAGGCTGTTTTTCTAATTTAATTGCTTGTATTGTCATAACTCAGACCATGAGACATGTAAATGGACAATGGGGGGGGGGGGGGGGGGGGCACAGATATTATGCCAGTAATTTTATGATGGAACAATGAGAAATCCAAATCACTTTAATTTATTATTTATTTGTTAATTTAAGGTGACAAAACTTCTCTTTTTAAAATTCAGTAAACATTTTGGGCTCTGGGATGCTGATAATTCTTTATCAAGCATCAAAGTTGCTTTCCATGGTTTTCTGGCCTCTAATTATCTTCCATTCACTTTATATTTATTTTCTGGGGTGAATATCCCAATCTTATTCTATTTTAGGATTTCCCCATATTAACTTGTAAACTGATAGTTGTAAGGTAGAAACAGTTACAATTAAAAAAAAATTAGGCCGATTGTTTTTCTGTTTTCCCCATTGTGATTTTTCAATCTGGGCCATTCTGGGACTCATGGCTTTCTATTCTTGCCATGTGTACAGATAGCCCAAGTTTTTTCTGACCAATTTGATTTTACCTTGGACCTCTAATAAAGAGTCACCTTTCAATCTGTTCTGTTATTGAATTAAAGCACACATGTAACTTTCTAACTCTGGACATGGGCTTTCAAGAGAGGCCCGAAATGAATTTACAAAAAAGTTATTTAATAAGCAATGTCAATCACTGAAATATATAATAAAACACTTATATTCAGTTTTTATAAAATTTATTCTTTTTATATCATAATCAAATATTGTAGTTTGACAACATGATCAAAGTACAATTAATTATTGTTGTATGTTTACCTTCCTGACAAACATATCAATATTTGCCAATGCTTTTATTGTAGCCAGCTTTTATCAGATTATTGTGTAAAAGCATAAACTTTTTTGTTACTGAAGAGGGCAAATGGATATCTTAAGTTGAAATTCTCTTTTTGGCTTAATTGATAATGTTTACTCATCCAATTGTTTTACTATACACTTGTATACAGTGAAACCTGTCTTATCCAATAGCTACTGGAAATAGCCAAAAGAATACGGATAGGCTGGTAATCACATTTTGAGTTTTTTAACATGAATATCCATGGCAGATTCAAAAATGGAACAAGAAAATGTATTCACATTGAGAGATGTTCAGATGTTCAGATGTACAGATGTTCAGATGTTCAGATGTACAGATGTTCAGATGTACAGGTGAGATCAGATCACCCAAACAAAATCACTGCATAGCCTTCTCCAAAATGGAGACTTGATGCAATGTTTGAGAGAAAAATTGGCTGATGGTACAAACTAATTATAGCTCAAAAGTACTGACATAATCCTAAATAAATGTCTTCTTAAACTATTTATATTAAGAAATAGTCCATAATGGCAATTCATTTCAAGTCTCTTTAAATTAAAATTTAGAATGTGGACTTTTATGATTTTCCACTATTGTCACTAGCATCTCTTGTTGACCTCTTGCAATGACTATTCATACATGTTTCCCTGATAAATCGCCAATAGCGTGATTTTTCCAAAATCATAAATCTGTGTTGCACATTTCAGGTCCAAGTTACTCAGAACATGCACACATTTAGTATGAATTTACATTTTTTAAAATACAATACTGTAAAACATACTGAATTCACCTTGTACAAGTTCACATATCTTTACATCACTGTACATATTAATAGCAAAATTCAAGACCAGGTGAACAAATTTGTTTTACAGTACATGTATGATGAGACCATAATTTTTAATCATTTTTGTTGTTTCACCGCAGGTCTTTCAAAGTTTTGTTTCATTCCACCACCCTTTCCAGTGTGGAATTTGAGATTTTGCACAGTGTCACTGGCCCAAGGGCTCTCAAAGGAAGTTGTGTCTTGGTCGACGAGATGAGTATATTTAGTTCTGCCTGATCTACCAAAGTTTTTAACCTGAAAATAAAGCAAGTAAATTATTGTACTAATTGTTAGAAATTATGATAATTACGTAAGTAGTTTGAACTGTTAAGTAGTCAGAATTAAACTTCTTTTATTTTATTTAAGTGGTATATCAAATCCATTGGATTTATCTTCAATGGGTTGATGTATTAATTGTTTTATTGTATTTGAGACTCTTTATCCAAAAGTACATGTAGCTTAACACAGGAACTTTCCAATTGTACCACCCTTACAACATCGAGCTACAAAAGTGGACTCGTAAGGCAATTTCAAATTCAAATTATCAATGACTTCTTACTTATAGCCTGTTCGGTGTCAATGTCAAATTCAAAAGCTATGGTATATAAGCTATGATAATCTTAAATCAACTTTGAGTGCCCTTGAAATCGTGTATAATTAGGCTGGTATATCTTTTCTTTTGATCCCTCCCAAAGCCCCTTACTCAGATATCCAAGTGAAAACTGATTGAGGTCTTACCTGCATGACTTTCGGAAGGATAGTTTTATCAAAGTGGTCTTCCAATGTTGCGGAGGATGCATCTCTCTTGAAGACATCTTCTTCTTTGTCCTAGAAAATATAGTACAGGGTGTTCAATAAGAACAGAAAATTTTTTTTTGGTTTTATTTCTTTGTCCTAGAAAATAGAGTTAAGGGTGTACAATAAGTACTGATAAACATTTTTGGGTTGTATAAAATATAGTACAGGGTGTTCAATAAGTACTGATAATGAATTATGGCACAATTCTCAAAATATAATCCTGGTTATATACATATTGTTCTTTTCTTTCTCAGCTGGGTGTAAAGTACTGACTCAGTAATATCCAACGACCCAACCTCTGAGCAATATACAGGGTGGGTCACAATTATCATATATTTCATTTATATGACTGAAAAATTCCTCCTCATCCAAGGGCTATATGTTAAAAGTTGTTGCAGGGATTTTTCAAGTAGAGACAAAAAAAAGCCCTGGATCTACAGCCTCTTTTCGATAAAATCAGAATGACATATTCTCCTTACCAAGAAGAAGGCCCCTCTGTGGTAATATTTCTGCAGAAATTTATATTTCCCTTTAGCTGCTTTGTTAGTGACGACTTTAGGATTGTTACGTAACTCTGCACGTCTTTCTTCCTCTGTCATGCTGTGCATTCGGTCCAGCTCTTGCTTCTCTTTTTCAATACTACAAAATGGAATCATTATGTGATTACCCTTTAACATAATATAAAGCCACATAACTACAAGTTCATGTGCATGATAACCATCAGTAATTTTTATTCGTAAGACAAAAAAAATACCAATGAATTGTGAAGATAAACACAGTAAATTGTTAAATGAAATTAATAATATTCAAAAATTCTTTAACTTACGCTTCTCGTTCATCACGATCACGCTTGATACGTTTCAGTTCTCGTATCTTCCAGGCTTCGTATTCCTCTTCGTCATCTTGCTCATCAGCACTATCCAGTGCGTCACAAAGATCTTGCACTGATCTGGTCTCCTCGTGAGCCTTCCTGGCCTCTTCTTCAACAATCTAAACACAATATATAAATGATATTATTTTATGAGTGTTTCTTACTTCCAACCACCGGTCGCCAACCAACGTTACAAAAAAAACGGAGACCATAACAATAACTTTTGATGGTGACATGAAAATCATGATATATTCGGGAAACAAACCCCCAACTGATATTTCACGTTCAAACACCCAAATTCTTACCTTAAGTGTATGTCTCCTCCTTTCTTCTGCTAATTTTTTAGTTTCCAACTCTAATTCTTTTTGCCTGAGGGCCTCTTTTTCTCTCTCTTGGACAGTTATACGATCTTTCCTAGAATCCAACACACGTATTGTAACATACATGTATTACATGCATTGTTACATAAATATGTAACAATAAATAGACTGATGTAAACACAAAATTCAATGAATACAGACAAAGTGTTGTTTTGAAGTTGATGAGGGGATGTGACTTCTCAGACTTGAAGAGAAAATAAGTGGATTTTCAGAAAGAAACAGTGCTACATGAAAAAATTCTTGATAAAGAAATTTAAGCTTTTCTTTTTTAACTTTGGTACCAACTACATGTACAAGTTTTGCCAATTCTCGAGTTATGTATTGGTTTTGGTTGCCATGCTAACTTTTTGTCAAGGTACTATCGCCAATCTTTGAGAATCAAGCTCTCAAAGTTATACAAATGCAGTTGCACAAATACATCTACTAATAAATCAACTTACTTCCTAACAAAAACTGGCTTTAATCTGAGACCAGTATCTTCCTCCTCTGAGTCTGTATATTCTTCATATTCTGATGATTCTTCAGCCTCATCACTTTCGTCGCCAGATTTCTCATCTTCAACGTCCATCAGTTCTTCCTCTTCTTGTTTCTGTAGCGCTCTCTGTCGGAGCATCATTCTTCTTTGTTCAATTTCCTAGAACATCAAAATATGACAATATTAGGCTGAACTAAATACAATATCTAGTATAAGATTTCATTGATAAGTTCTTCCTAAGCTACAGTCAAATTCTACAAACAGCTAAATCACCATACAAACCTCATATAAACCTTCAAGAAGGTCATAAATATCAATATTTATTAAAAATTATAATAATTAATATTAACCAATAGATAGATGATCATACATTATTTTTAGTATTACGTGTATTCTTTATACTTGACCAAAGAATATTTAGAATAACAAAAGGAGTTTTATATAAGAGGGAGCCTTATTATTTTGACCACGAGCATCCCTTAGGAACATTTCTCACATCTTCATCTAATTCCTCTTCTTCCTCACTGGACTCTTCCATATCTTCTTTCTTTTCTTCAGGTTCATCTTCATCTGAGGAGCCATCTAGAACTTCAGGTTCGTGTAAACGCCTGTGCCTTGATACTCTGTAAAGCATGCACAGATAAAAAATACAATCTTAATCTCCAATTTTCAATCTATATTATTTTGAATGATCAAAGTTAGTCCTTCAAAAACATTAACTGAAATCAATTATTTTAACAAGATGTAATATTCTTAGTTAGCCAGTTTTCACTCTTTTAGCATGCAAAAAGGGTTTCAAAAGTGTAGCATGAAATTTTTAGATTTTCAAAATATTTTACTCTTTCCAATTTATCAGGTTTATTTGAATTTGGTCTGATAAGCCTCAGTACAGGACTCAAATCATTATTTAAGGAACAAAGACCGAGATTTTATGATTAATATATGATTGCTTAGCGATTGAGGTCTTTGACAATGGCCAGAATAAAATTTGAGGTCATATATTTGACATTTTTCATAAAATCAAGGTCTTTGTTACGATTCTAATATGATAAACCGTCAAGAATCAAAATTATTTGCATTTATGAATTTTAGCGGTCATACATACTCCAATATAGACCAATAAATCAATTGTTGTAGCTATTGTGACGTCACGTATCATATTAGAATCAACATTAAACTTCAAAAAATGTTTTAAATGTATACCTGTCTTCTGTGTCATCATCTAGTTGTCTGTTTTGTAATCTTTTCAATCGACGATCATCTTTCTCAGCATCTATTCTGGGCAGTGGTAACGGAGCTGATTTTTTCTGTCCAATACCAAATTCAACTTCCTCCTCGTCACTTGAATCTTGAGGGGCATATTCAGGTCTTTTTCCAGTCACATACCTACTAACCTTCACTTTTTGCATGACAACTTTACCTGGAATTTAACCATTATGATAAATATGAGTACAGTAAAACTTGTCACGTCACAGTCACAACTGGACCTGACTTCATGGATATGTATACGTTCAAATCGAGGTGTTCATCTCAAGATTTCTAATATAATTCTAATACTATCAAATGCGACATGCAAAGTAAGAAACAGAAAAGGACGCTCTCTTTGTACACGCTTACTTCATAAATTAACGGTACTTTTCCCTAAATTTGCAAATTAAACAGGAACAACTTATTAAATTTGCAGTGATTCATTGAATCTTCTAGAATGCAGAAATGTGTGTAATTTCTTCGATGCAAAGAATGAAAAAAAGAAAGGCACTATTTAAGATCATTCAGCTAGTAATTTGGACTTGGCCCACATGCTTTCTATCTTTGCTTTCTAATTACATTCATTATGTGATAAAAACGTCACCTATAAGATTGACTCTCATCCCTTAGAAGCAAATCAGTAAAACAAATCATAAAAGACCCAAAAGATTGTGCCCCTTTTCATTTAGCGCTTTAATGTTGTCTTCAAAAATGAATCTTGCAGATATGTCGAATTTTCTACAGAAATAATTATCTCCCTCAATTCATTTATTCCATTCTATGAGATTGTGTTTATGATTCCTTACCCTTTTCATCTTTCAGAGGGATGGCTCCAGCTGTTGATAAAATAGGTGCTTTGCTTTCAATTCTCGACATTGTCCTTTTTGTTTGTTTAACCCCCACTGATATTTATTTTGAGGAAGCTGTTTGCAGGTCTGAATACGGCTCCACCATTCACTTCACTGGAACAAAGCTTATAAACGTAAGATTTGGTGTAAATTCATCATCCTTTGAAGTTCAAAATTTGAGTATAAAGTCTACACCTCTATATATTATGATTCCAGTTTGTTCCCAGGCTATATGCTAAACTGGCATGCTTTTTGATGCTATCTGGGATTCAGCTGTTCAACCCTTGATCGCTGCGTGAGATAAAAATGTCCAAATTGAATCATCAAATAATTATATGTGTGAAGATGTACAATCCCAAAAATATGAGCATGTTAGTTCCAGTACCAATGCGTCTTAAATTCACTAAAACCGTGTAATTCATGAAAATGTGAAACTTTTTGTTGGAAAACGAAAACTCTCGTCTCAAATCTCGTACACATCTCGTGCACCTGCGATGGCTTTTATTCTTGTTTAGCGCTGTTTAGCCTATATTTTGTTACAACTTGTGTATTTTTTTAATTTTCATTGTTCTTTTACTACAATAAATAGTATGAAACATAGCTTTTAGAGAGTTTGAAGCATATTTCAACTTGAGATGTCAAGGTCATTCTTCAAAACATGGCGGCCAAATTTTGCAAAACTTTTTGAAAATCTTAAAAAATGAGTGATTTATCCTACTTCTATGATGCAACTAACATAATACACATAGGAATAATTTAATCTTTACGTTATAATGACGCACAGACTCAATAAATCCAGGAACAACCCTACTGAAGGAATTCCAACACCAAGGCCAACACCTCAATTTTTTAGACAGGTTCAGACTTTCTCAACTAAAAAGGTAGGTACATTTATTTCATTACTATGCTTTGTTAGAACTTCTCCTTGTTGAACCATTGAAAATATGGAATCAAATCAACCAACATTGATAAAATGTGAGTGTTACATACAGTGCTGGTATATATTAATCTGTGCTTTCATTAACGCCGTCCCATAATGGAGAGGACGCGGTTTTTACTATAGGGACCCCAAACAATGAAAATGAGGGGTCACTTGGACGCAGTGCAGGTCATATCAAAAAAATTAACTCTGGATGAATGTATTGATAAAGATCTTAGCTTCAGTCTTTTATTTGGTCAAAATCCGCTAAATAAACGAAGGATATTCTATTTCTAAAAGAAATAGAATTTTCTTTCGGGGTTTCTTTCCCGGAAGTTGATTTCCGATCAAAATAGTATGAGGTACGTGATTGGACAATCACTAGTAGTTGATTTCCGAGGGGTAATCGGTACGAGTCCTATGATTGGCCGAGATTATTAATCGCGCATGCGTCTTAATAATTTTAACTAATCAAATTGCTGGATTTGCTGCGCATGCGCAAAAACCTGAACCAAGAAATGGAACCTCACGGAGATTGCTCCTAGTGAAACTTTCTGAGCGATCAAAATCAATAGCAAATTGCTTTGAAATACGCGAAGAAAAATTGTATTTAATGGTTGAAAATTAGTTATCTCTTTCTAATGAAGGTATCTGCATCATTTAATGACCTACTAGACGTGTGTAGTACACTGATCTGGGCCAAAAAATAACAAAACTGATGCAAACTTTTCATCAATTTTTTTCGTTCAGTGCAAAAATGTGACTTTGAATTCCCGGGAACCCTTTTTCATGGGGACGCACTTTTTTGAGGGGGGACGCGATTTTGTAAAATCAATCCGTCCCAGGGAAGCACTTTTGGACAAGCCTACTGAAAGCACTGTTAATTGATCAGTCGTTTAATTGGCATATTTTCTTGAATTTTAACATTTAATGTCCCAAACTCCCACAAACTGCAGAAAAGTATACACCATAAATCATATTTACCAAAATTAGTGTCTCCAAGGCTTCACACCAGCGTATGCATTATGCATTTGTCACGAGTTTGAGCTGAAATTTCCCCAAAATGAAGTAGGCTAAGGGTAGTCTCTGCCAGGTTTGTTTATTGTGGTAAGCTTGTAAGTGCTCAGAAGCAAATAATTCACGTGCGCAAAAAAATCAAATAATATGATTGGTTTAAACTTTGCTGCACATGCGCACAATGTGTGCCATATTTTTTCTAGTGATTTCGTTTCGTTTCATGGAGTTTCCGTTTCAGTGTAACTTCCGCAAAAATGGCTGACCATGGACAGAATTAACAGGTAAAATCACTTCGAAATTTCAAGAGAACTTTTTACCTATAATAGCAAAACTTTTGTTTTATTTGTGCATTCTATCTATCAGATAAGAGTCTCAGGGGTATGTAGGCAAAATCATTTTGGTAGGAGCACTCTGTTTAGTTTGAAAACGCACCCTTAATTATTATATATCAGCACTTTACACTACAATACAATGTTGTTGTATGATTTCACTGAATTATTGTTCAATTTGTGTGTTATACATGTAAGGTATATGCAAGAAAATTCCTACAGCGAGTCAAAGCTGAATGTTTACAATCCATGATTCATATATATATTATTACACACATTCTATTTAGAATAGTCTGTTGATTGGAAGTGACACCATACATGCATATTTGTAAGGTTGGGAGAAATTAGAGTAATCACTGATTGTATATGATTGCTGGCTTTACCTGATAAAATCTATTTAATTTCACTCTAAAGTCTGTTAAATTTACTTTATAGTCACCAGTTGAAGCTAGAAAATAAGAAATCTAAAGACCATTATACAATGGTATAATATATGGAAAAACATATTCATACTTAACATGAATGACATTTGTATATCTTGGATTGCTTCTTAATTGGCTTATAAAGTCTGTAGCCTCTTATATTTTGATGCTTTTTCCGCCATGTTAATTCTGCAAAATTTCTGAAAATTTAACATGAGTGATAGACCTCAAATTATAAAAGGGCACAGGCTTATTGCTCTAAAAACTAAATAATTTGAAAAATACAAATGTCATTGATTTGCAGTATGAATATGTTTTTCCATACTTATATATACTCCAATAGACCAGCTAAACATTTTCTGGTTATTGTGACATCACATATCATAACCAATATATCTTGATCTTCTTATAGCAAAGAGGGACGCCTAAGGATGCAGCACCACCGAGACCACCAGTAAAAAGTGCACCACCAATAAGTCGTATTTTCCAACACAAACCTATACAAAAAGCTGTTCCTGTTTCCTTCAAAGAGTCAGAAACCTGTATCCTTAAGAAATGAACACAGAATTTGGTAAAACCTGTAAAGTTCACCTCAGTGGAACACTTTCATATTGGAATATTGTTACTTATCATTTAATGAAAATTAATCTCTGTGAGTTGAACACTTCACAAGTAGAACACTATTTTAAGGTTTCAAAGGTGTTTCAGAAAGATTTTACTACATTGACCTTTTATGTGACCTATGTCTTATGAAAATGACCTTGACCTTCAAGGACAACATATCCCATAATAAATGACTGAAATTATATTATAGATGTTGCCTTAAATTTAATAGTACTATGTAAAAACTGGGATAGGATGGCATATTTTCTAAGTGTTTCCATGTAGAGTATATAGTTAATAGTACTACATGACCTTGAACTTGGTGTATTATGATACAGTTTAAACCACTTAAGAGAATTCTGAAGTGAGAAAGTGGCATTCCTAAAATACAATACAAAACTGTAAAATGCTTAAAACAGTACCATTCAATTTATTTCCTTAACTTGTTCTCAGCTGTTTTGAGTCCATTTTACAATGAACACAATAACGAACTTTATTTTGACCAGTGTTTTCAAATTGAAAGAAAACTTGGAGCAGGATCCTTTGGAGAGGTTTGCAACTTATAATTGTTGGGGAATGTTAAAGAAATTTTAAGTTATTTTGCCTCTAACTTTTGGAAGTTACTAAAATATCAGAATGATCTTTAGATTTCGATATTTTCCTACTTTTTTATAGATATCAGAGCTTGAAATAGTGTTTACCAAATGCTCCGAATACTGTTTGGTTCATATATTTGACATCACATTGACTCCCATGTTAAAAAACCTCTTTATCTAAACATTAGTTAAACATAATTATTACTCATGAATAAAAAAAAACATACATGTGTTTTGGCCAGGTGTTTCAAGTGGTCAGCAAAGAAGACGGAAAAAGATATGCAGTGAAGAGATCAAGAGAACGTTTCAGGGGAGGAACTGACAGGTAATAGCAGCAATCTCCCAGCATTAAAGCAAGTGGGCATTCAATTTCAATTTATTCCTTAATAATATGATAAAATACAGTATGTACATATAAAAAGGTTTAACAGGTGACATCATTTCTGATGTTTATACCGGTACATGTTAAAGCATAATATTACGAATATTAAGAACAAGGTAAGGTCAAGGAATTATCAAACATATCAAGATTTAAGTTTTGTCTAAGAGAAGATCGAAGAGGAAGTGTTGGTGGGGGAGGTGCATCACAGATATAAATATTTACAGGTTTAGTATCCAGTACCCAGGCTTCGAGTTATATTTGTATATCATTTTTTATATAAAATACATGAATATGAAAAGTGTAAAATGAAATCATGTATACAAAGCCAAAATATGTTTCTTATATTTAGATTTAAGGCATTTACTCGACCTTGAATTTTAATTTCTGAAGGGAGGCCATTCCAAATAAATGGTCTGGAAAATGAAAGCATCTTTCTTCCAAAGGATTCTGTTTTAAATTGGGGCAAGGCATAGCATCCACCTGATATTTTGAAAATAGGCTTACACCCACCTGAAAATCTATTTGCCCCCACTTGAAAATGAGAAAAATCATGAAAAATTGGCATATTTTGACCAATTTTGGTCTGAATTGTGAAAATGAGAGTTGCACCCACCTGAGAAAAATGCTGGGGAGATCCGTGTAATAGACTCTAACCCTTCATTTGCTTTCGTTCGACTTAACTTCTTAAAAGAGAGCTTCGACTTCACTCTTTAAGTTTACAATAAATCTGTGATCTCACAGAGCCAATCAGAGCTCGTCGTCTGGACGTATGGACAACTTTCTATATATGGTCATTTCCTCTGACAACATCGTGAGAATTCACCATGTGTTCCTTCCTGTTCGCTGATTGGTTGAGAAATGGTCAGTGTGGTAGATTTGAAATGATTTATGACCTGGGCTGCCACAGGCACCAATCGCGGGGTGGGGTTGCTAAACTGTTATATAGTCTATGCTAGGCAGAGGGTAGATTTTGAAATTCCGAAAACCATAAAAACAGCAATATACACTTGCATTCAATTTACCTAAGAAAAACTCCTGGAGAAAGCACTATGGTTACATAACAGAAAACAGAGACTTTAGGTAGCACTTCAAATTGTAGGGAAATAATTAGATTATCGTTCCTCATTAACTTATTGCACACTCCCTAACACTTTTTGAGGTACAAAAGATGTTGTACTGTATGTTATAAAAAAGCCTAGTGAACACCTGTGTTCAGTGAACACCACTTCAAGGCACATTCTACATTGATTCCTGTATCCCCTCTCAGTAGTGAACACCTACCTACATTGAACACTTTTTGTAGCTCCTTAGGTGTTCACTATAGACAGGTTTTACTGTATTTGCTCATACTCATACTCATACACATTCATTTGAATAATTTAGGAAAAGGAAATTGGAGGAGGTTGCTAAGCATGAGAGATTGCCAAGACACCCTAACTGTGTACACCTTGTGAAGGCATGGGAGGAGAAACAGCATCTTTATATACAAACAGAACTCTGCGATACCAGGTACAGTATACAGTATAGGCATGCTTGCCTAATTTCATGGAAAAGTGCTCGTTTAGTCAAAGCTCAGGATCTGCTTTGATTTGCATTGAAATTTACAAGTGCAGTACATGTATTTTTCTCATGTGTAATACTGATAAGGCTATGAAATCCATGTATAACTCTTGAAATATAATGTAATTCATAATGGCTGCCCCTTTTCGAAGTGAAAACCACAAATTCTTGATTTCAAAATGTCCAACTTTTGTTGCTAAAAATAAATACTAGTATATTTGTTAAAAGTTTGTAGACCAATTATTTCATATGTAATAACAATAAAGATTGGATAAGCCCAAAATTGTCATAATTTGGCTGGTGACTTAAATCACTATACCATGTGACCCCAGTTCCTGCTGTACTTTTTATTAGTCTGTATGTTTGATACACCAGATAGTGTCACTGCCTCCCCCTACAAACACATGTCCCCCTTTGTCCATTGCCACAGCCGCAGGGTACTGTAGTCCATCTGATTCTCTCAGGAGGTGCTTGATGAATTTACCATCTGGACTTAACAAGTGGACCCTGTGGTTGTTCCAATCGGCCACTAGGATGTTGTCAGCTCTATCTGTACATAGACCATGGGGATGGGACAGCTGGTACTGTCCACTGCCTTCAGAGCCATACCTAAAATCATTAAAAAGCTTTCAATTGGAATTCAAAGCATATATCTACTTGTAATCTACCTCAAGTTACAGATATGAGAAAACAGTTAATACATAGGGTTTTGGAAAATTGCATCTAACTTCACTGGCGGATCCAGAAGCTAACAAGGGGGTCCAAATTTCAAGTAAAACTTTTTAAGGCCCAAAAAAGGCCAAGTAATGCCCACTAGTAAAGTAAAGTAAAGTAAAGGCCCACTAATTGGGCCCAAATTTTTTTTTCTGGGCCCACCAAAGGGGGGGGGGCTTCCTGGATCTGTCAGTGAACCGTTTTGTGAAACCTTTTTAAAATAAATATTCTAATGAGAAATAGCTCTAACAATAATTATATTGTTTAGACAAAACAACAAAATACTCTTGAATGGATTTAAAAACCTTATTTGACATTGGGAGGTACGTAAAAAGTGATAATTTGGAGGGGTAGGGGTAGATAGATTACTGGTCTAACTATATTGCTGCGATTTCTTGACTGCAAGAACCCACAGGCTATATAGACCAGCTATTGGCGATCACTTTTGATTAATATGGAAAATATAGCACTTATAGTGAATAATAAAAATAGGCCATACCTGAACAGCTCATTGCCATCTCTGGTCATTCCCACCACACAGTTTGCAGCATAGTCAGACACGATTGCCTCATCTTTACTGTTGATAGCTACGAAGATAGGACAGTTGAAATTTGATTTGGATTTGGTCAGGATAGCCCCAGTTGAGCTGTCGATGTGGTACACAGATTTGGTGCCTGGGTCGCATATAACAAGTTCTTCTTTAGAGTTCACGGCGATACCTTGGCAACTTTTAAGTCTTGGCACCATCAGATCTCTATTGTGTCGGCCATCTTGGTTGTATATGTGAACTGTGTCAGAGTCACTGGTGAATAGGATTTCATTGTTTTTGGACGTAACGTTTGTAAATCCAGTACCAAATGTATTTTTTAATGTCAGATGACTGTCATAGATATGCCCTGGAGTTTGCCAGCCATTTACTATAATATCACCATTGTTTGTTACAGCAAGGTCCTGTGCATTAGTCATCCCATTTTTCATGACTTTCTTAAATATTCTTGAGATTTTTGGTGACATAGTTTTTTTCTTTATTTCAGTAGGACTTGGGAGTTGTTGCTCGATAGTGCTTACATTGTGTATGTTCACATCACCAAACAGTATTCTATCATCAAATACTTTAACTCTGTTTATTTGGAATTCATTGTTTGCTTCAAATTCTGTTATGGTAGGTTTTGTTGTCAACTCAATTGATTTAACGATGATCTCTTGACTCATGTCCGAAAGCTGTTGGTTATTTCCTTGTTGTTTTACTGTACGTAGCTGGCTCATTGTGCTCTCAGTAGTGGCTTTCTGTACATGAAGGTGTTCTAGGTGGGCCAAAGCTTGTTCATTACGTAAGGCTCTTTTCTCAGCCACTAAGTTAATATTCTTTGTGTAGTTATCATGAATGGCTTTTATGGCGAGGTTCATATCGTCATCCAGTTTATGAGAAACACTGTCAGCTTCCTGTTCCATTTTGAGCCTCTTGGCGTGGGTACTCTGTATTGATTGCTCAAGGGATTTAACCAAAGTCTCACCTTTCTTAAGGAGTTCATCAATACGTTTGGCATTGTCAACTTCAGCTTGTTGGATTGAATGTAACATATCCACCAACGATCTTGTCGTGAAGTTGACCTGGAATTTGGCCACTCCCCCAATAGGTATTTTGTGAACTTGTCTACATTCTGGGCAGCTTAGTGTCATTTCCTGTCCATAGTTTTTCATTTGAAATCTGTCTACGCAGTTGCAACAGTATGTGTGCATACATGGTAGCGTCCTTGGATCTTTGAGTGTCTCATAACACACGTTACATGTTAGAGTTTCTTTGACTTTCTCTTCTATTGCAGTCGCCATTTTAAATAATTAAGATCACATACTTTAAATCGTTACATGTATTAGCTAACAATTTATTTAGTGAAAGCAAGTCAACGACGGTTCTTGATTAATTATTAACGTATCATTAAAATGTTATCAAAGGTTGAACTTGTTTTTGTGTACTCTAACATGTATGAAGTAACAAAAAATGTATGTTAACCTAGGCAAAGTGTATTCGAACTTTGAATTCCCACGATGAGGGAAAATTTATTGATTGTGAAATGAGTGGAAAATAAGCCAGGAATAAATTAAGAAAGCATTTTATGAACACCCTAAATTATAATGAAATGAGAGGAAATCTCACAGTTCATTTTTTATGGAAATTTTTTAGAAATTTTGCTGATTGGAGGAAAAATGAGGGTTGACTGAAAAATGTCCCAAAGTGAAATAAATGTGCTGGATGAAAATTGAATTCAGTAATTAAATGATATGTTAAGAAATGATTAATTTCGAACTTATTCCAACGCCCAGTTGCCAATTTTACAATTCTGTTTGTGATTGACATAAAATCTATCAAAAATGAAATAAACAATTTCATCAGATTTCATTTTCATTCTGAGTGATTCAATCCATGTTTTGTGGATGAGGTCTTTTAAATGATTGAAAAGTAGGGCTGCAAAAAGGCAGTCACATTAAGAGGTGTTCAGATATACAAGTTTTGTTTTAAATTTTTGTTTCAGCTTGGAGAACTATTCAGAAAATAATCACAACATTCCTGAACGTCTGGTGTGGAACTATCTTGTTGACCTGCTCATGGTAAGTTATTTTTATATTTGTTAAAGCACTTCTCCAGATTGAAATATTGCAGGTTTTAACCAAAGGCACTGCTACAGAACTGATGTTATAATTTGGATAAGCTTTCAAAGTTGATATAGTTCAAACATCAGGCCAGTAGCTAGGGAGGGGGGATTTTTGGGCCAAAGTTGTCAAAAGTGAACCCCCCTGGAATTCTTTAAAAAGTGAACCCCCCTTGGCGAATCCTGGGTCTGAACTTTGAACTAACTTTTGTTGAAATTAATACATTCTGCATACATGATACAACTTCTTAAAAATGAAAAATAGATCACATATATTCAATTTCTCCATAGGTTGGTCCCAGTACCCTCCATACCTTAGCTTATGCAACAAGCCTGTACACTTTTCCTCCATGCCCAGAGATGATAAGATATGTAATTGTTTGTAATATGTCTGCTTAAGATAGATATATAGATAAAAAATAAATGTATTCTTTCCATCTCGTAGGCTGTTGAACACCTTCACAATCATGACCTTGTTCACCTGGATATAAAACCCGACAATATCTTCATCACTAAGGATGGTGTCTGTAAACTAGGTGATTTTGGACTTATGATCGACATATCAAAGGTAGGTGGATTTATTATAATCTGAATGGCATTTAAATTAAATGTCTGCTCTTTCATTTTGTCACCTCCACAAGTGTAGACATATTGTTATGGTCTCTTTTTATGTGGATGGTGTTTGGTGTTCAGTGGTTGGAGTCTGGTGTCTGTAACATATGGCAGGTGGTGACATTTTGCATGATAATGCCTTGTTTATTATTAATTTGTTGTTATCCTGTGTGTGTTGATTCTTTTACTTATGATTAAGGTAATAGCTTATACGTGTCTTGTGATATTAGGTATGTATTGGATAATTAATGTATCATAGGCCCCCTAATATTTATCTAGTATGTGACATTCACCAAACCTATCAGGATTGACAGTGTACACTAAGAATAAGGATATCACATCTACTAAATAGTATACCGTATAGGGTTTTTAGGGGTTTTCTTATGTCATGTTTGCCTATAGGAGACTGAAGTTGCTGATTGTATGGAAGGTGATCCCAAGTATATGGCTCCTGAGTTGCTACAGGGAAAGTTTGGGAAACAAGCAGATATCTTCAGTGTGGGGATGACAATTTTGGAAATTGCCAGTGATTTAGATTTGCCAAAAAGTGGTGATGCGTGGCACAGGTTGAGGTCTGGGAGTTTGCCAGAAGAATTACTGCAAGGTAAAAATTTTTCTAATTCATTTTCATTAAAACAATAGGTGCATCTTTTGTGCAAATGAAAATGTTACGGGAGCTTAGGCATAGAGTGGGACTTCTTGGCAAAAAAGCTATGAAGACCATTTCAAAATAATTACTAGTAAATGCCATAAAATACAGAAAAAACAGTTAAATTTTGATTAAGCTAAGGCAGTTAGATTGAATTAATTTTGACCTTTTATATTCACATTCATATCTGTTCATTTTGATTCTTATTTTCAGATAAATCTCGTGATTTACGTCGTGTAATTCGTCACATGATTGAGCCAGGCCATTATAGGCGACCCACAGCTAAGCAGCTTTTAGAACTACCCTTTGTTAAAAAAGTAAGATTTTTAATTCTTCATTTTACATTAAATACTAAGTTTTATATTTTACCAATATTAAAGCATTATACCAATTATACACAAAATATTAATGTCCATTATACCCAATAAATAAATACATTATAAACAAATGGTGTGTGTAACAAATGGTAGATATTGACATTTTGCATGTTAATGCCTTGTTTTTGATTTATTTTCAGGTTTGGAAAAGGCGAAAAAGGGAACAATTTAAACAACATATTGTGAGTATATTTTTGAAAATTATGTAGCAAGTAAATTGTTGATGCATCGTTGTACTTTCTTTTGATTTTAATTTGTAATCCTGGATGAGACTTACTTATTTATTCTATAAATCAAAAATGTTACAAAAATGACTATGACTTTTGAATCTCCTGCCATTAACTTTGTGTTCCCGGGACCACACCCCCCTACGCATTCAGCTTTTGTTTTTAGTTCTTTGTAGTTTGCGCATACATAGTCTATATAGTAAAAATCTTCAGAAACATAAAAATAAAATTGAAATGTTTACTTTGTTTATCATTTTTAGAAGTGTTTTGAAATATTTTATGCTGATTTTCGGTTAGACCCTTAAGTGTGACAAAATCAAATGAATATTTTCTGAATTATATGATTAATCTTGGCCTTTCTTCATAAAAAGAGAGCTTTATTACATTTAGCTAACCTCTGTGATCTGGGTATTAATCTTCTTGTATTTATCTTTCCAGGTTTCATATTTTGCTAAAATATGGCATAGTATTGTGTTGATGATGTTAGCAGTCTGGTCGTGTATAACATACCCTCTACGTGCGTTCACCAAGCCTTCCATACAGACCCCACCTAAAATACATGTTCCCAGGCATAACTCATACTGGGACCAGAGTTTCTCAGATGGTATGTACATGCAGGTACTCTGTATAAAGCTCAATTTTGTCTCTGTTCTTTTGTCTACCCTAGATTTTTCATGGTTGATATATTATAGCGTGAGACACTGAGACCCCCTCCTTCGCAGGGAGGATTGGGAATTTGACACACAATATTGTCCCAGTGGATGAAATTTTTACCTTGTCCCAGGAGTAGGGACTTTTTAAATTTGACCAGCTATTATTCACTCATATTGCTGCCATGGTGGAGGAAATTAACCCCAAAATTCCCAACTCTTCCTGTATGGGGTCTCACTTTCACTCAAACCTTTGAATGATGCATAACACACTGTACAAAACACATTCATGAAATGTACCTTTTCTCTTATTTCCTTGGATTTGGGAAGCTAACCTCAATTGATTTCAATCCCATGCCAATTTCCACATTTCCTCTGTATTTAAAACATGGCCTCTATTGTGTGTTTTAAGATGATGCGTTTGAAGCAGATGAGTCTGTAAACTTAGCAAATAACTCAATGGTGTCACCTTTGGATCTGTCTTCCTCTATGGATGAACTTGATAACAGCAGGAATGGCAGCTTTGCAGTGCCTACCAGGTAAATGTTAGCAAAATATATATATAAGGGTTATGTACTGGGAGGTTTTGGATACAGGGTTTATCCCAAGGGAAATATGTGTATCTCCCGAGGGACCGCAGGGACTGAGGGAGATACACATATTTCCAGCGGGATAAACACTGTATCCAAAACCGACCATACATAACAGATGTATTTCATTCCTACTGAGGTTCTAGGTACATCTTACCTTATAAAGATCCAAAATTCCAAAACATACTTAAGGTACTATGCGTTTTCTTGGTCTTAAAGTTTGCGAGATTTTCAAAAAACTGAAAAAAAATTGAAAAAAATGTGGAAAAAAAATTGAATTTTGGTAAAAAAAAATTTTGAAAAAAAATTTGAAAAAATTTGAAAAAAAAATCTTTCAATTAAAATTTTTTTCAGGAGCGGGACCGGGATGGATACAGCGTGTATCCATCCCGGTCCCTAGATACACTATATATTCCCACTCTTTATGTACCTAGAACCTCAGTAGGTATTAAATACAGATAAATAAACTCTTGGAAAAATAGCTGGACTTGAAAGCATAATGAAAATTTCTTAAATCAATGTAGGCTATGAATCAAATAAGTTTTAAATGGGAATATGTTTGCTTTTTAATTTTAAACGGTTTGTCATTTGTGCAAGTAAGAGACAGACAATTATGAATTTAAAAAAAACAATTTAGACTATTGTGAACTCTAGGGTTTAAACCTCTGCACTTTTAACATTTACTCTTGGATCCCATTTATCTGCAATTGAACATGTTGTTCAGGCCCATAGCCAGGGGGGGGGGGGGTTTGCAGGGTTCAGGCGAACCCCCCCCCCCCTGGCCCAAAATTCTTTCAAAATCATGCAGTTTTTCACCATTTTGAGCACTTCTCCAGTGATTTTAGTCATATTTGGGCCAAAATTGTCAAATGTGAACCCCCCTGGAAATTTTTGAAAACTGAACCCCCCTTGGCAAATCCTGGCTATGGGCCTGTGGTTCAGTAATGTGTTTTGGACTAGTAGTTAATAAAGACCAGGAAGAAAACCATCCCTGACTCAGGGCTCCAGACATATCTTCCACTTATGAACGTGGATGATGTCTGGAGCCCTGTGCTTGGATGATGGGAGAAACCAATTTTGTGAGTATTCTATGTTAGACTAATTTAGGTGCACAGAATGTGTATGTTTGAATATCTCGATTGCAGTATTGCACCAAGGAAGGCTAAGACGACACCCATGATGCGCAGTAGGAAGATTATCACTCCCAGGAGTTCCTCTCCAATCCTATCTCTGGCAAATATGGACCACTTTAAGCCTAAGTATGTTTGATTGTTTAATGTTGTTTTAATTTTGACCATATCAGTAATCAAGATAAATCCATGCAGTCAAATGGAATATTCCACATTTTTGAACAATCAGGTGTATCTTGTTATTTCCATTATTCATTCACAATGGACATGATTCAAAAGCATTTTAAATATGTATTATCTATTCTATTATATATTACTAGTATTTGATTCTATATAGATATGTATATTATCAGTAGCACAGTTTTGAATATACTGCCAGGGTCTGATTATTTAAAATCAATACTGAGAAATCTATTCAACAAAGCAAAACATATATGACATAATTTTGGATCGCATACTAAAATTGCTAGCAATTCTATATTTGTTTATTTGAGTGTGATCCTTGCAAATGTCTTTTGTACATTATTCCTGAGGAATTTAAGGACAAACAAAAGATTTCAATATAGTGCTATATTTGTATTATCTACGTTTCAGCACCAGTCTGCGGTCAGAGAACTCGATGACACCAGATGGTAGTAGTCATAGTACCCAATCAGATGCCAGTTCTGAAGATTTGGTGAAATTAGGAATAGAGCCAAAAAACCTTCTGAATGTAAGTATATTATTCATAAATTTCATAAAGTAATTAATTATCTTTAAATTTAGATTTACTTCACCCAAGTTTACCACTATTCAAGCAATTACATATATTAACTATCTTTGATATTCATAAATTAGAAAAAGCAAAATTCATGTTTAATATAGTTAAAGAACCAGCACATTTTCCTTCTCATTTATTTAAACAGTATTTTAATTTCAGACACACTTGTCCCACGAGACAAATCCATCACATTATCCCATGCAAATTTAAATCAAACTTAACAAAAAAATCAATTCAATACTCTGGAACAATAATATGGAACAATTTACCAACATCCCTTCAATCTCTACCATCATTTTACTCCTTTAAATACAATTACAAAGAAACATTAATGAATTGTTACTGAGCCATGAGCATGTACTGTTATTCTTCCACAATTGTATTATGTTTGTATTTTTCACTTTTGAATTGTTTATGTGCAGGCATTTTTGTATTTTGTATATTGTCGTATTTTATAACATGAACTGGCATGATATCTATAGTTGTATTTCTTGCTTCATTCAATTCATATAAATTGTAATATATTTTTTATATTGTACAACTTTTGATCTTAGCACTGATATGCCGTTTGATATGCCCTCACACATAACTGAAAACACTCCAATGTCAACTTGCATGTAATGGTGAATTGTTCCAATTAGTATATGAACATTGAACATCGTTGGTGGTGTTCATATATGCAGAAATACCCTTTCGAAAGCTTCAGACAGCTTCGGAAGAATGCGCAAAGTTGGGCTTTGGTTCGCATATGTTCCCAATCTCCAGAATTGCCATGATTGTACCCTATTCACCAGGTGGCGTTAAATGGATTTGCCTATGTGTGAGGAGGCCTTAAGCCATTTTGAAAGAATATCACATGTTATTACCACGTTGCAGGGCCTGTTCTAGGGGTTTTAGTACTAGTTGAGAAGGCATTTAAATTGCTATATTGACGTGAGCAATATTGTGTCGGGCGTTAATGACTTTAGTCGGGCAATAATGACATTATCCGCCCGGCTATGTGATATCGTTCAGTGCGTAAGATTTTCTATTTCAAATTTGCTATTTTAGCCCTGGGCATTAACGGTGGTAATAATAGTTATTGTACTATTGGTGCATACGATTTCAGTCATAAATTACTTCAAAGGAGACACTCCACACAACACTAATGAAATATTTGAGACTTGTGAAGTATTTGGACAGATATGGCATCCTCAAATGTTATGGATGATTATGCATGTACATTATGTCATGCAGAAAGTGTAAATTTAATGCCTACATGAACTATTTCCACCATATAAGCACTGACATTTATGAACAGTTTCAATTACAACGTGTATCAAAAAGTATTGAGGTTCACAAATAACTCAAAGCATTAAATTTCAGATAGCTTAATAATGGGTAAATACTCGCATTGTTTTCAGTTTAATACAGACACATTTTCAGAAATATTATGGGTGTTTGAAAGGACAGTGGCTTTAATTTTGGAAGTATTTATGCAGACCTCATATGAAAATTATTTAATTCTTTACCTAATTGTTTCCAGGCATTTGAGAGTGCTTCCGATGATGAGTTGTAAAAAAGAAAATGGTTGTACCTCAAGAAGGAGGTATATCTTACCCAGTGGGCAACATGTGAAGGAAGTCTATCTGTCCAAGTGAGCAATAGATGAAGGAGGTGCATCCATCCCAGAATGAGGGATTTATCCTATTGGACACTATATGAAGATAGTTCTTTCCCACTTGCTAACATCTGAAGGAGATTCAATCCCAGTAGGCAACATAACTGGGAAATTAAGAGATTAACCCCTTGTGAAATAATAAGTGAGCATTTTCTTCAAAGAATTGTTATGGAGATGTGATATACAAGTGGACAAAGATATAGAGATGTTGGAACATAAATCCCATGTATTGTTGGGAAAATGAAGATGTGTAATGAAATCCTTTCACACATGTACATATGGTATAGACTATAAATTGCATACATATGTAGTATGTATCTGTGAATTGTAAATGAAGGGATAAGAGAAGCATTCCTGGTAGATAATTGGCTGATATAAAGAATTTATAATTTTCTAGCTGAAGGTCAAAATTGTTAATGGCTGTAATGAATCTTTCTTTAAGGGAGAATAAAGCATAAATTCTTGATCCAAAAATGAATGTATTTTATAATGACACTATGTAATCATTCAGCAGTTTCGCGAAAAGAAAGGAAGCAGACCAACCTCCAATACAATGTGGCCAATTATAATCTGGCAAACATATCCTAGATATACTATCCTAATATCCTAGTTTCTTTTGTGTACAAAAGGTGGCAGGGTTTATTCAAAAAGCGAATTGATGAGAAGTGAATCTAAAATGCTGCCCTAATATAAGGATTGAGAAAATTAATTTCCATTTCTCTGAGAATCCCAATTGGCATTTAATTAAGTTTAACACAGGCCTCAAGAGTTTAATTTCCTATGGTCTTTAACTTATCTTATTACTTTATTTAATCCTATTATGCAACCAGTGATTTGGATGAGCAGTTAGGAAGCTATTACAGTCAAACCTGTACATAGTGAACACCTATGGAGCCACAGGTGTTCACTACAGAGAGGCGATTTTATACAAAAGTCAGTGGAGTAGGTGCTGAAAATAGGTGTTCACTAGACACAGGTGGTCACAAGAGAGGGGTGTTCACTGAAACAGGATTAACTGTAGTTTCATTCAAGAATATGCTTCGCTAGTTTATGATAAAGAATTGCATTCTTGTTAACTTGAATTTTGGGCAAATTATGACATTTTTATACTGTTGGCAAAAATACCAAATTCTACCGTATTATTGCATCTTGGAAATGCTTAATTGTTAATGTAGTTGTACATGCTATACTCAGGAATCGTGAAATATGCTATTAAATATTACTAGCGAACTAATCATTATTATCCCATCGAACGAAGTTCGGAGGGATATAGGGAACGCCTCCGTCCGTCCGTCCGTCTGTCCGTCTGTCCGTCCGTCCGTCTGTCCGTCCGTCCGGGCAATAACTCAAATACCGTTGGCCCGATTTTGTTCATATTTTGTACACATATACCCTATGGGGGTAGAAGTTCTGCTCGAAAGCCGATTTTCAAAATGGCCGCATATTTCAAAATGGCGGCCATTTTAGTGCCGATTTTACAGTAATTTAGGTGCAATATGTAAAACTGTAATAGCAATATGTTTTAAATGTAAAAAAATTATAAAGGACATTAATAATGCTACAAATGTAGATATTAAAGAAGCACGTGGCAGCCATCTTGAAAAATGGCGGCCTTTACTCGTCATTTTACGATTTTTGCTATAACTCAAAAAATAGTGGAGCGATTTTGTTCATATTTGATATGTGAATACTATAAGCATTGCACACTGTCTAAAGACACTTTTGGTAGAAGGTGGCCATTTTGAAAAATGGCCGCCATTTTAACGTATTTTACTATATCTCGAAAAGTAGTGGAGCGATTTTGTTCATATTTGGTATGTGAATACTATAAGCATGGCACACTGTCCTATGACATTTTTGCTAGAAGGCGGCCATTTTGAAAAAAAATTTGAAACGTATTTTACTTTAACTCGAAAAGTAGTGGAGCGATTTTGTTCAAATTTGTGAATACTATAAGCATGGCACACTGTCCTATGACACTTTTGGTAGAAGGTGGCCATTTTGAAAAAACTTTGAAAAATGGCCGCCATTTTAACATATTTTACTATAACTCGAAAAGTAGTGGAGTGATTTTGTTCATATTTGGTATGTGAATACTATAAGCACCGCACACTGTCTATTTCTAATGACACTTTTGGTAGAAGGTGGCCATTTTGAAAAAGGGCCGTCATGTTAACGTATTTTACTATAACTCGAAAAGTAGTGGAGCGATTTTGTTCATATTTGATATGTGAATACTTTAAGCATGGCACATTGTCTTATAAAACTTTGGGGAGTAGTCGGCCATTTTGAAAAATGGCCACCATTTTTATGTGTGTTATTTTACAAGTACGTGTGCGATTTTTCAAAAATTTTAGAGGTGGCTTCTTAAAAGCATATTATTTCTCCTGATGACAACTTGGCTACTGAGCAACCACTTTGAAAATGGTGGCCTTTCTGGTGTGTTGTTTTATGATATTTGCTATTCTTTGTAAAAATGCCAGCCATTTCTGTTCGATGGGATTCGCTACGCTTTGGCGTTGCCGTTGTTCTGGTTTTTCAAATGTGCCTCACATTATTGTTCAAATGTGCCTCACATTATTTTTCAAATGTGCCTCACATTATTGTTCAAATGTGCCTCACATTATTGTTCAAATGTGCCTCACATTATTTTTCAAATGTGCCTCACATTATTTTTCAAATGTGCCTCACATTATTGTTCAAATGTGCCTCACATTATTTTTCAAATGTGCCTCATATTATTGTTCAAATGTGCCTCACATTACTGTTCTATGTTTAATCCATTTTTTCTGAGAATTATGTATGTAAATTTTGAAGTGATATCATTTTTGTCAATGAACATATTGAATGACCTTTGAATTGAATTGAATGAGTTTGATATTTGTATTTCTGAGTCCATATGTCAAAAGAGGAATTTAGTACAATAGAAATAAGAGTTTTTATCCTATGCCAAGTAGAGTTCTAGGGAGATAAGTTGGTAAGATATATCCCGTATCTTGATTTTGAGGTTTCCATATCTAGAACCTCCATATCTCCCGCTTCGGTGCATATCTTCCCGCTTTTGCTAATTTCACTTCACATTTTTTCAAAATTTATTTCAAATTTTTTTTTTCAAAATTTTTTTTCAAAGTTTTTTTTCAAATTCTTTTTTCAATTTTTTTATTTTTTTCTAAATTTAAAAAGAAAATTATATTTATAAAATTTTTGGATACATTTATCCTTTTGTTACATTGTTAAACAACACTTTTGTATTTCAAAAAATTATCAATGTATTTAAAATTTAAAAGATGAAAAGGCAATAAAATGACTTTGCATATGAATGATTTGTTTACTTTTACACCTTGCACTATTGAAATGGCCATATGCCCCTGAAAACTCTACTTGGTATAGGATAAAGCAGTTATGTACGGTCGGTTTGGATATTGTATTGGGTTCATCCCTCGTGAGATATACACATCTACCTTCGGTTCCCTACGGTCCCTCAGGTAGATATGCATATCTCCCTCTGGATAAACCCCATATCCAAAACCTCCCAGTACATAACCCTTATATATACCGAATGATATCACTCAAAAGCCAAACATGTATTGAAATCAATTACATGTACAAGCAAATTGTTGATATTATATAATTGATGATATTACACTAATATTGGCAAAATCATGTAGTGTTTGAAGTAATACACTTTGAATGTAAATATTAATAGCTTCATCGTATAATGACCCTAAATCCGACAATTTCAAATTATTATAAAAACGAAACTTCATTGTATTTGGGATAATTAATTCAAAATTTTTATTAATGGTACTGATTTAAAACTAAAAGTGTCAGGTCTCATGGATGTCCAGAGGTGACTTTTCATGAAACCATGAAGCTCAATGTCACTCTTGTTCAAGATAGAACTGACTTTAATGTCTCCTGATAAATAGATTATGTATTGGTCCTTTGGTATATTTTGACACATTTCCTCAGTTATATGTTGTTTAATATAAAGTATAATCACTTACTTTATTGTTGTGTGTTATTGTAAAATTAATGTGTATTTTTGTAAGTTAGCTCATATGTATTGTGTAAAATATGTCAGACTCAGATCCTATACATGGAAATGAGTTGCACAATAAAATATATATTTGATATAACATTTGTTTATTCATTTTTGTTGTTCACACTACCAACATTTATTGAAGAAACACTCTCTATTTCATTCCATATCGTTTCTGTAATTTCTACTACACTGATAAAGAAGTATGGCATTCAAACTCACTCAAATATACCTATTGTAAAATACAACATCATTTCTGTTCAGCTGCTAGTCCAGTCGCTATGGCTCAGTGGCCATGGTTAAGAGTCAAGGTTACCACTTGCTTGGCCCTGGGTTTGATTCCTGGTTCAGACAAGTTTGGTTGTGCGTTATGTAATTCTGGGTGTTTGACTGAGTGGTTTGACAACTTGTATGTCTATATACCCATGCACACTAAAGAACACAGGGCTCCTCATAGGAGGGGTTTCTGGCTCTGTCTTTGAGTGTAAAAGTATGTTACCGCCAAATATACCAAGATACAATACAATGTGCTCAAGGAATTAAAGTGAAGCTTAATTCTGAACAAAACACATATACAACACAAAACAAATAATTATTATAATGAATAGATGGACATTTATTGCACCTAGTAGTCTAGTATACAGACAAATGTAAATACTCTGCCAAATTGAATACCCATGGTGACTTCGGTGGGAATTAAAACTCTAGAAAAGACTAATGGTAGAATGGCATTCTATAAAGGTGAACAATTTGAAGTAGACAATCTGCACTAAACAGAAATACCAGAAAATTGTTTACCAATGATATTCTATAAAGGTGAACAATTTTTAAGTAGACAATCTGCACTGAACAGAAATACCAGAAAATTGTTTACCAATGATATTCTATAAAGGTGAACAATTTTGAAGTAGACAATCTGCACTAAACAGAAATACCAGAAAATTGTTTACCAAAGATAATCTATAAAGGTGAACAATTTTGACGTAGACAATCTGCACTAAACAGAAATACCAGAAAATTGTTTTACCAATGGCACCTAAAAAATATTTTTCTAGTATCTTCAAGCTGTATATGATGAAAGATTTTGATTTTTGTGTATAAACAGATAAACTAACCAAAAATATTAATAATAAATCATATATATTCCATAGCTATTAAACTGGTGATATTGGCATGTCAGAATTATGAATAAATTAAAACTATTAAATTAAATGAATCTCACACAATTGCTTCTATATTCCTATAAGGAAGACTATAAATTGTATAATTAAATACAGGTATATGTAAATTTATACCATAAGTAGATTTTATAGCATTTATAAATATCATACTATTCTAGTGTCAATGTCTCCAACCATCCCCCCCGCCCCCACCCTCAACCCTTCACTCTCTTCTATCCAAACAAAACAGGTTGGTAAACTTGAGCGACTCACCAGAGGCATGATATGTGCCTTATATCGTAAGCAGTATACAAGAGACTATGACCCCTGCAAAGTCATTGTAGCGTGTGCTTGTACATATTTAATTAACAATATATCAGAAGCAAAGCACATACCATCGTGGGGTCTTTTATAAACTCTTGGACACTTCCCATCTGTGAATATTACCACATTTACTTCGATGTTGCTTCAAGTTAATCAATATTTTGTTGAGTGTGAAATACAAGTACTGTTTTCTTTAACTTTGAGTCAAATATGAGGATTGTTCTATAACTTTGTATGAAATATGAGGAATGTTGCATAACTTTGCGTGGAATACAATACAATGAAATACAAGGATTGTTCTATAACTTTGTATAAAATACGAGGTGTGTTCTTTAACATTGCGTGAAATACGAGGACTGTTCTATAACTTTGCGTTGGATAGTCATTGTGCCATCTTCTTCCCTAGGTTTTCAGCTAGTTTGTCTAAGAACTCAAAAGTGTTCAAATAATCCTTTCTTTCAGTACTGAAAGCACAAAAATACATGACAAAACTTTCAATTTTTTTGTTGTTTGACAAATTGAACCTCTAGTCCAGGCAAATATTGAAGCTAGAATCAAAATAACAACACGTTATGTTTTTATCTCACTACTGGGCACTATATTACGATCATTTCTTTTGGTATTTATTATTTTGTACATTTATTACATTCAGCATGATGTTATTAAATGTATATAAATGTAACAAATATAAAGTACAAAGCGCCTTCAGATCACAAGAATTTAAAAGATAAATGACTTCAAAAATGTCATTCTGGGACTTCAGACTGAATCTGACAGTATCAAAGCTAAGACATGGGCACTGCATGCGTCACCATATTCAGCGGTATGATCAGCTCAATGCTGAGCCTTAATACATGAATCAGTGTCTTCTTAATTAATTTCTTCAAATGTATAAAATGTTCACAGTTAGGACAACACCCTATGCAGACAGAGCCTGTGGGAAATATTGGGTGCGGAGCAAATGAGCGGAGGGTGCGGAGCTAGCAGTCATTTTTGAATTTAAATTTGGGATATTTCTGAAACTAAGCCGTTTTGGGACTTCAAATATACCAAGATATGTGTATTTGACACCAAATATCAATAAAATTGTGAAAATAGTAGCGCAATTCATTCTATAGCGACGCAGTGTGCCTTAAACCTTTCCCAGACCTATATATTTTGAAATTATCCTTTTAATACTGAGTCCCCAGCATTCATAAAAAATGGTGTTCAAGGTACACTATCTATACAAATTATTTTTGCATCTTGGAAGCCAGGCAGTATCTGTGTGATTTTATAAAAAATCGGAATAGTTTTCAGATATGAGCTCCCTCTAAATATTGGGTGCGGAGCAGCTCCATAAACGTAGCTCCGCACCCAATATTTAGAGGGGGCTCATATCTGAAGAACATTTCTGAATTTTTATAAAATCACACAGATACTGCCTGGCTTCCAAGATGCAAAAATAATTTGCATGGGTAGTGTATCTTGAACACCATTTTTTATGAATGCTGGGGACGCAGTATTAAAAGGATAGTCTCAAAATATATAGGTCTGGGAAATGTTTAAGGCATACTACGTCGCTATTAAATGAATTGCACTACTATTTTCACAATTTTATTGGTATTTGGTGTCAAATACACATATCTTGGTATATTTGAAGTCCCAAAACGGCTTAGTTTCAGAAATATCCCAATTTTAAATTCAAAAATGACCGTTAGCTCCGCACCCTCCGCTCATTTGCGCCGCACCCAATATTTCCCACAGGCTCTGTCTGCATAGGGTGGACAATGGCTATTGAACTTACTTGGCAAGGCCTTTAATGCAGATTGCTAGATCCTTGGTAAAGAAACCTGCCTCTATGGTTTCTATGCATGTGGCCTCAAGGTTGGTTGAGAATGTAGCTAAAGCTGGATTATTATCAAGTTTTGCTCGATGGGCCAGACCTCTAGTCCAGGCAAATATTGAAGCTAGAATTAGAATAACAACACATCATGTTTTTATCTCACCACTGGGCACTATATTACGATCATTTCTTTTGGTATTTATTATTTTGTACATTTATTACATTCAGTATGATGTTTTTAAATGCATATAAATGTAACGAATATAAAAAAAAGCTCTGACAAACCAACCTTTCACAAAATGTTATTTCTGTTCAATCATAGATAATCTTTTTTCAATATTTTTCCAAGATGGCACCTTTTATACAGAGCTGTGAAAAAATAAGAAATAATTGCTTTATCAGGCCCATAGCCAGCTTTTGCCAAGGGCATTTTTTCCCCAAAAATTCAAGGGGGTGTTTTGCATTTGAAAACTTTTGCCCAAAACATTTGACAAATGCTCAGAATGGTGAAAACTGGAGGAATGAACCCCTTCTGGTTATGGGCCTGTTTGTGCTAAATATATTATTTTTATACCTATAGGGTTGGTTGATGTTTCTTTGCCCTGTTGATGGAACCTATAGTGCCGGGTCACTGTACCATGGGCAGCCTCAGCCTCTACTGTCTTGCCATCTGGACACACTAATACACTGGTCATCATACCGAGGGATCCATAGCCTAAAAATACATAGCATGAGATATATCACTGTTGTTTTCGCTTCAAAAATACTCAGGAGTGTGTTCTTGGATCAGTTGTAACTTATGATTTAGTCTCAAGTCATTGTTCGTCAAAAATAGAAAAGGGTTTTCTCAAAATTGTAAGTTACGATGGTACCAAAAATAAACCCCTCAGATAGATTCTAAACTTGAAATAAATAGTACTGTGGGTACCATTGGGTGCCATTTTGAAAATAGAGCTTTAGAACCAGGAGTCAAGGGGGGTTTTCTATATTGATGTTGAGCAAAAATAACTTAAAAACAGAATCCTGTTGACAGAGGTTTTAAAACTGGCCAATTGTTGACAGACTGACAGACGGACAGACAGATGGACAGACAGACAGACGGACAAGTGAGTGATTGCAAAAGCTCACCATGTGAGCTAAAAATATGAGAGCTTTGCTCTTAATTATATGTGGTAAGCTCCTAATATCAACATTTTTCTTAAAAGGTTGGTCAAATCTTTGTTTATCCCCCAATAGGGAGAAAAAGACATGGACATTCTTTCTAAGCTTTTGCATTTGGTCAATTCCGATGTCATAGGAAAGGTTGTTGAAATAGTTTCACAAATAAAAATATTCTGAAACCTGGATTCACAAAATCATTGTGAATAACAAGTAAGGACTGAAGCATGACATCTTCAATAACATTCAAAAATAAAATTGCCAATATTAGGCCTATTTATATTTTCCAGACCTTAACATAACAAAACATGATTTGAGTACATGTACAATACAAGGCATTGACATGACATAATGTCACAGCCTAGCTGCTTAGAATATTTTTACAGAAGCCGATTGCCAACTGCCGATCGCCAACCGCCATCACAAAAACGTACACCATTACATTATGTCACCACTTTTTGGTGATAAAAACCTGATATTCTAGTATTCTGATTGATTAGTCTCTATTTCTATTTTCTAAAGCTAAGTTCTCCAAAGAGGCTGGTGTCAACCACTATGTTATATTTAATCAAAGTTTATATGACAATTGTAGACATGCTGCTTCATTGATTAAATTCACTGTTGCCAGCGGAAATGTGTTATCTCCTGCAATGACCTTTTGAACAGTTTTTGCCCATGACTTTAATATGCATTCACATGTCTCACCAGGATTGAGCTAATGCTTTATACGAGGGGTGATCAATAAGTAATGGACGCTTTTTTACACAGATACTTTTAATAGACCAATCCCTTTGAGTTTCCTACCAGTGATACATCATTCAATTATCTATCAATTCTGAAGATTTGAAGACAAAATATGTAATACATGTTGATATATCCTTATTTCCGTGAAGGAGGTACAGGAACCCCGGGACCGACATTTACGTCACATATTCAGTTTTTAGCCAGTTTGGTAAATTTCAGTTAAAAATTGAACTTTTTATATGCAACACGAGTTGTGTTGTTTGAAATTTTTTGCTGACTGGTAACACATAAACAGAAAGTATTGTGATGTCAGAGTGTTGTATGGAAGGGGTTTGCAGGTCAATTTGAGAAAGCATTGTGGAAGAAAGGGGTGGTGAGAGAAGGGAACACCCTACTCCATATGGACAATGCACCTGCCCACAGATCTCAAAATGCTCAGAAAACAATATCCCTGTACCTCAAAATTGAGCCCTTGGCCAATGCACCATATTGTCCAGATCTGCTGACATGTGACTTGTTTATTTCTATACTACTTATTTCTATAGAGAAAGGACACAGGTTGATTGACATTGATGAAATAAAACAACCCGTGCAATTGCATCTTGCTACCATGTCAGAGAATGCATTCAGCCTTGTCTCACAATCTTGAGTTAAGAGGATGAGGAATTCTGTACATGTAGCAATTGATGGAACCTATTTAGAGGGCCCTGTGGAATGAATGTGGCATAAATACCACATAGTGATGATAAATTATTTAAAATCAACTATGGCATAACAAAATGGGGTAATTCATGACCATTATGGTTTGTTTTGTTCAGCCTGCATTCAACTGCATTGCATCTTAAACAAGCTAAAATAGCTTCAGAATGTTTGACGTCATGTCGGTCCCGAGGTACCTACACATCCTTCACGGAAATAAAGATATATCAAAATATATTACATGTTTTGTTTTCAAATCTTTAGAGTTGATAGATAATTGAATGATGTATCACTGGTAAGAAAATCGAAGGGATTGGTTTATAAAAAGTGTCTGTGTAAAAAAGTGTCCATTACTTATTGATCACCCCTCGTACATGTTATAGACCATGATACAGGGTGAGCAAATAAGATAACCCAAACATTCAGCATGGGTTTAAAGTCATATTTGGCACAATTAAACTTCGTTCCATGTTTTCTCTCATTCTACCAAGTTTCATCGATTTATCAACATAAAAGTGCCGAAAGATATTATATCATAACTAGCATTAATCTTGACAAATTTTTGTCCCAATTCAACAAAGCACATGACATGAACGAGACCACACCATTAGAAAACCCTCAAAATGGCCGCGAGAATACAAGATGGCCATCCAAAACTTGATCAGCTCAAGAATTTGATATCCTCTATCATACAAGCGAGTTTGGAGAAAATCCGATGAGCGGTTTTCCTGAAATTGTGATGACAAAAAGGGGGATAATCAGGATAACGCCATCATCATGATGACTTTATCCCACCGATGGTGTGATAAAATGGCAACTTTAGTAAGAAGCAAATCCCAATAAAGAGAAAATGTTTTCCAATGTCTGATTCACTTCCCAAATCTGACACAACCTCGCAATAAATTCATTGTCAAAGCCAGACACGAGGCAGTGTCTCACCAAAATTTTACAAAAATACATTTTTTCACCTGAAACTTATGATAGTATTATATCGCTGTAAATCAAATTTGCCTTGGCAAACAAATTTGGCTCGCCAAATCATAGATCCTGGCAACAACCCTAATAAACTATTTTAACTGCATGTTATAAAAACATTTTTTGATAAAATCTAGACTTCAATGTCAATTGCAGCATTTTAAACTTTTCAAGGCACAAATCTAAGGCATTAAAATGCAAAATGTCACCACCTGCCATTTGTTACATGTATCAAGCCCCACATGCTGTTACAGACACCGAATGCTGTTAAAGATGCCGAACAACAGCAACAAAAAAAGTTAGAGACTATAACAATATGTCACCACTTCTGGTGGTTACATAATAAAATCATTATCATGAATGGTGACATAATAAAATCACTGTCATATACAGTACTCTTCAAAGCATTTTGTACGAAATGCAATATAAGTCATTGTCAAACTTAATACATGTACAAAATGTTTTGGGTTTGACAATATGAAGATCTGTTATTTTGAATTGTCTTGGCCAATTTGAAAAAAAATATTTGTCATCTCTTAATGAATAGTGAAAAACGGTCCATAGTATTTGAGCTATTTCTAAGACATGTTTTAGAATGCTGTTTCATTTACACCATTCCCTGCTATTCTATTGAAGGAAAACTAGAATATGATAATTCTGGAGAAGGAAACAAAATATGTTTTCTATTCCCAAATAATCTGGGCTCCTCATTGTATTTCATGCTAAAAATAGCAGATATACAAGACTAATCTAATCATGTGCAATACATGTATATATTTCTGAGGGTGTATTCCACGCAGCCCAAAGGCCAAGTGGAATACATCCCCCGGAAATATATATTGCACGAGAACAGAGTTTTATTATTTCATACATATTAACAGTTTAACAATATTAATTTATTAACTATAAATTGTCTAAAAAATCGAAAATTGAATAAATAATTCCACATATTCACACTCGGATAGTAGTCTATACATGTGACGTCACATTCATTGAATACCTGTATTTATTTTTCTAAAAATACACTTTTCATATCGATGACTTACACATGAATGGAATACCTTGAGGTATTTTTAGTCACATGGTACATGACTGACCAATCACATGCTGATTATCTCTACAGAGAAATAATAACTAATCTTATTTGAAATATACTTGAATTAGAATGGATAATATAAAACACCGAAATCAATCTTTTCAAAAAGTATGAATCCCTCACTATGAACCAAAAACTACTGTAAAGAATAGGTATCGATATGGTGAACTGATATTCAACAATGTTTTTCTCTTAAGCCAATTATTGAAAACATTCTGTAAAAAAACACGGTCCTGTATAATGTTGACTGATTGGCTACAATTTCATGCAAAAATTATTTATACATATTTAATATAACTGTTTTTGTGAACATTTTTTGTTTTTAGTGCAATTGTTTTTTGTTCCTTTCTACCAATTCTTAATAATGAAATAAAATGTCTTTCCGAACCTAGTTGGAACAAAATACTTTTTTAAAATCAACCAAACTTTCCTTTGTACAATTAAAATATTGAGAGACCTAAACATGTTGTGTTTATGTCGTTTTGTTCCAATGAGGTTCTGATAGATGTTTCATTTCATTCCGAACATATGATACCAAGAACAAAAAAAGTGTCTAATGTGTTTTCTACAACAATATAGAGAAAAGAATATATATATAATTCAAATTATAATGTTACCATCAAAAAGATAACCATTAAATTGACGATGTGTAAAATTTTCAGAATGTTTTGATAACTGGTCTAAGAGGAACATGTGTTAAAAAAGTTCACCATATCGATACCGCTCCTTTGTTTCATTTTTACTCACTTTGAAAACATTACATTGTTTCATAAATTACCATGTCAATCTCTCAATTGAAAATCACAAATTAATCGGTCTTTAGGAAAGAGAGGTGTGATGAATGTCAGAGAATTCTTTCATTGCAATAGCTCAATTTCCTGAGAGGAAATTAATCCTACATGTACTAATTGGATGACAGATCAACCCACAGGCAATCAGTTACATTTGGTAGGCACATTCACACAGATACAGTCTTGAGACAGAGCTGTAAACATGAAGAGTAAATATTCATCATATCTGACGATATCACAAATTGCCATATTGTTTATAGGGCTTCAATACAGCAACTGCGATATAGAATTACGTAAATGTAATGGTGTGAAAGTTAATCAAAATCAGCATTGTCCGAGTGCTACAGTAAGCTGCGTAGGAAGATGTGGAAGTCACATGAATGGCACGATAATGTCGCTGACATGCTCATGCGACAGAGACTGCAACATGTACAACGATTGCTGCGAAGACTTCAGAGATGTGTGCCCAAATATGGCAAGAAGAGTCATAGATGAACCAGGACCGAAATTCCACTGTGGAGTGTCATTCGGAGAAGGGAAACATGCCTCAGTTATCGCCACATGCCCTAATAAGGGTGAACTAAATAAAAGTCTCCTGGACAAGTGTTTGAGTACAGAGAATAAAATTGGCTTGCTTACGACACCAGTTGTCGACAGGCAAACAGGGTACCACTACAGAAATATATACTGTGGATTATGTAATGGAATCAACTCAGAACAAATGGTAGCATGGAAAATAAACATTGCATTTCGAAAAGGTATTCCGGGACCCACAGATATCAAAGATATGATGTCAATTCTAGATATCAAGAAAACACACCGGACTATTAAGATTACATATGATCCATATGTAGTTCCTGACTTTCCGCCAAGGGTATGTGTGTTAAAATACGACTACTGCACAGGTGAATGCCTTAATGCAACAATCGTCGAGAAGTGTGCGGAATCTGGAGGGATGGTCGTTCATAACATATGGGGAGCTACTTTCAACAATATATACTGCGCAATTTGCTCCTCTCATGGACTTCTTCCAGCAGGAGGAAGGATACTATGTGGACACCCACCTTCGTTCGGAAATCCTCTTGCAACTCAAGCATTTTACTCAGTCGAGCTGCAGATTGAATTCAGAGAAGATCCCGATTTTTATGTTTCAATTGTTACACCAGGGATTGGTTACCTAAGCAACGAACCAATAAGACATATCTGCAATGTGATAGATCACCATTGTTGTCTCATTGATTGTGGAGCCTTGGCAATTGTCTCAACAGATGGCGCTAGATGTAAGCTAAGGAAAGACAAGTGGATGGCAAATGTGAAGCTAACAATTTCAATGTACAGTTATACGAGTATAATAACTGCCCTATTGCAGGAGTATCTGGACCATAATGGTTTACAAGGATCAGGCCATGTTCAGGTCACTCACATGGAAATGTATCGTCTAGGTTTTTTGTACAAACTCAGTCTAGCGATACTGTTTGATCAAGACTACACAAGAAACAAAATGAATAGTATCATAAATGAAACATTTTCAAATCTTGATAAATTCTACAAGAACAACACCAAAATTAATATCTATGATTGCGACATGACGTCGGTTGAGTTCGAGTATATTATTGGTGAGGATGTCACGACGACACATAATACAACACAAGAGAATTGTGATATCATGGCAACACAGAAAACAACACAAAGCAATGGTGTAAATGCGACACAAGAGGACATTAAAGGATCAACAATTAAAACCAATGGTGCAATAACAGACAAGAAATCTATTTTTGTTTGTCTTGTGTATGCACTGTGCATCTATAATTCAGTTCGGATAAGATATTAGATATATTAATAACAAATTATATTATTCATTAGACAGCAGTATAACTCAGACTATACAATGCATAAGCATGACAAAATGTCACCAACTAGTTTCAATTACAAAAATGTAATTTTCAACAGGAACCATTGAAACTGGTCACTATGCCAACATACAAAAAAACACGATACGTGTATTATATGACAGTGGTTCACAGCTGAGATACATGACATACTATCCATACATGAGAAAGAATTCTGGCTTTTATTAATTCTCCGTCCTCAAACAATGACACTGGAACCTTTTATTGCTGTTTGTTAGCATTATTGTACAATTTATATAGAGAATTTATGATTGGTTTATATCATTGTCAAAGCAATATCGAGTATATCTATTGAATGCCCATGATAAAAGTGAGTGATAAATCCCATATTTGGGATCTGCACTGATGCCTGGACTAAACATTGATGGTTTTGAAAAAATCAAATCTGCTAAACATTTGCTACATCATTTTCGTGCAAATATCTTATACATTTCCCATAATTCCTTTCTTTGTTTGGAATGATTTTGGATTTGATTTTGTTTTTCAATGTTTTAACCTGTCAATATATCAACAATAAACACATCTTTCTAATACATGTATTTCAGCTTTGCTTTTTGTCTTGGCTAATTAACTTAATGCCGTTTACTTTCTTACTTTCTTAATAAAAAATGATTTTCGGTTTGGAGAACCAATTTCGACATTATCAATGTCGCCAACGATTTTTATATTTTTACATATTGTAGATTTAAATGTCCTCTTTTGTATACTTTAGTTTTAATGGTAATATTATTAATTTTTTCATATAAAAATATGAGCGAACCCCCCTACATCGTTTTAATGATTCATACAGAATAATCCTGTTAAACATGATTTAAGAGTTTTTTTCAATATATTTTAATAAGCATACTTAAATGATTTTTTACAAAAATTTACTTTGAAATATGCAGATGAATTTGGTTCTCCAAATCGGAAATCATCTTTGCTTCTCCAAACCGAAAATCGTCCTTTCTCCTCAATGGTATTTAATACATAATGGCAAGATAACAGTCAGCCCATCAACAGGCCCTTATACCTGTAATAACTGACCCATCACTAAACACTGAATGGCCTAACTTCCCATAAATAGTGAAAACAAGATTTCCGTTCTGCGGATACCAAACTTTTATAAACACCATACCCAGAAAAGGAGACTCGGAGCTAGATCTTATAATATATAACAAAAGCATTCATCTGATACAAAATTTAATGTTTGTCAATTTTATTTCAACTTCAATATATTTCTTCTCTCCATTCTGGGGAAATGGTTGCCAAAACTTTACTTTTTAATGGATTAAATAGGATAATGAAACTTGTAAAGTGGAACACCCCTAGAAGTAGAACATCTGTGTTTGTGAAACACTTTTCAGCGTCCCAAACTGAATTAAGTGGAACACTTTTTAAATGTACCACTTAGACAGGTTTAATTGTACTTCAATACTTAATAGTTAATCAACTTACCCTGAGCGACTGAATCTGACTGCACATCCCCGTCGTAATTCTTGCATGCCCATATAAAGCCTCCCTCGGATTTCATCGCCTGAGCAACCATATCATCAATCAATCGATGTTCATACCAGATTTTCTTTTCCTCGAATTTTGATTTATATTGTCTGAAATATATTTCATAATAAGGGTTAAAGACAGGTATTTTATTGTTCATGGCACAATTATGATCACAGATTTTTTCTGATGTTAACAGACTTACTTAGAGAAACAGTTCATATAAATCAAGTGCGAAAAGCTTGAAAGTGTTAAAGAAAATTTGTTGTACAATCAAACCAGATCGTTCAATGACTCCTCTCTGATATTTCAAAAGATGGCATCTCAGTAAAAATTGCAAAAGACATACATAGCAGTTCAGCAGTAATTCCAAAAGATGGCAGTTCAGTAAAAATGAGCAGTTCTTATAAATAATCATTTTCAACCTTTCTTTCCTTCAACAACTTAATGTGTACCTTACTTTTCATAAATTTCCTGGAATATGTCTTTAAACCTGCCATCATATTTCTTCAATATAGTGTTCTTGGTACTGAGATACAAGGGCCAGCCTTTCTCTAATCCAAGTTGGAACGAACAATGAGCAAAGTCCTCAATTGACTGAAAATTAAAGTCATCTTTTTTAAATTATTTATTTTCAGTTGGGCTATTATTTTTTTTAGTTAGTTACATACTTTATTGTCAAACTATGATACATAAATTATACATCAACTGACACTTTAACAAGTGTATGAAGTTGTTTTAGTGACAAAAATGAGAAACTATACGTATTGATAGCATATGTATGCATCTAACAGATGCATCTAACTTATTGTCATTGACATCTGTCAAAAAGATATTTCAAATCAATAATGTCATTTCAAACTCTCGAATATATTCAAGCTTAATCTGGTTCAATTTTTCCTCACCTTAGACTTTTACTAACAATTTTGTATTAGCTAGACAATTCAATAATATTGTGAATAAATGAATAAAAAAAACAAAGAAGCATGGCCACTGCAATGGGACTCTTGAATATTTTCTAACATAAAATTCTTAATAAAAAAACTCAAGACTAACCTTATCAGTATTGTACATTGCCATTGCAACACCGCCACCATTAGCAAAGTCGTAAACATTGTATTCTATTGGCTCCCCACCATCTTTGGGTGTGAACTTGATCTCAAGTTTCCCTTCACTAGGGACAACAAAGTCTGTCGCCTTATACTGAAACATAAAAGATGGTCTTGTTGTTGAATATTGGTTTTGAAATAGACGATATGTCAAAAAGTAAAAACACTAAACAGATGAATTTGGCAAAGTATTTCATCATCAGACAACTTACAGTTAAATAAACAAGCATCTGGTAACTACTTACAGGCCTGTAGCCAGGATTTGCCAAGGGGGGGTTCACTTTTTGAAAATTTCCAGGGAGGGTTCACTTTTAACAAAGTTGGTCCAAAAATGGCCAAAATCACTTAAAATGTGCTCAAAATGATTAAAAACTGCATGATTTTGAAAAAGATTTTGGCCAGGGGGGGGGGAGTTCGCTCAAACCCATCGAAACACCCCTGGCTACAGACCTGACTTAATAGTATGGCTACGGGCCTGCATCATGTATTGATGAATTTCTATTTAATTGGTCCATGACTGACATATACGTGATGTCAAATCATCATCACTGATTCGTTGAGAAATATTTATTGATAACATAATTAACTGAAACAAAATGGATGCTTCAAAAAACAAAATATAAGCTTCTGGTGTAATAAAGTGATGTTATAACTTGTTATTCTACAACAAGATAAATACATGCATAAGGAATATGACTTTGTCACATTCAATGAGTAATATTCAAATGTTAGATGGTGAAAACTTACATGAAATGAAAGGAGTTGCAAAATACATGTATGTAATTATGAGGTGAACTATGAAATATTACTTAATTACTAAGTATATCAACTAAAGTCATTAGGTGAGTACATGCTTTAACAATGAACTCTAGCTATTACATTCCAAACTATTCAAATCAGATACTTATTTATTTACAATTTTTCAAGGAGGATACAGAAAAGATATTCTGCACAAGAAAGCTTGTATTTCACGAGACGCAGGCATATTTTCTGAATTTTATAGATTTCTTTCATTTACCTGATCAGCATGAGCGTGACGTCCAATGATAATAGGTTTAGTCCATGTGGTAACTAATCGTGGAATGTTCTTACAGATGATGGCCTCGCGGAAAACAGTGCCCCCTAGGATGTTCCTGATTGTACCGTTAGGTGAACGCCACATCTTTTTTAATTTGAATTCTATAAATGAGAAAACATAAGAATTTATGATTTGCATTTAGCGCCTGGTCTCCTCTCCTCAAACATCATTCTACTAATCGCTAAGAGAGCTTAATTGAACTTTGAAGAAGGACGAAGGTTCCTAACTATGGCAATGTTTGATTGAAAATAAGGGGGAACAAATGTGACACTTGATGTAAAAATAAAATACCTCATATATTTGTCGGTGAGAGTTTAAAAACAGATAATCTTTTACAAACTTACATCCTGACTCCAACATCCAACACATTTAATATACAGGGTGGGCCAAAAAATTTTGCAACTTTTGTAAAAGGCTATAAAAGTATCATAACATTAATATATTGCCATAAAAAGTTATCTACAGAAACTTAAAGCAGACATGAAATGGTATTTTTAACCTACAGGAATCAATATAATTTTTTGATACATGTATTTGGACATGTTTTCTCATCAGTAGTGCGAAAACTATTTCACTCTAACCATCGTTATAGCTGCTTAATAAGCAATATTCGAATTGGTTGTGACGTTATTGGCCCCCACGTGATCTCTCACTGGTCCCCACGTGGCCCATAACGTCATAATGCCTAAATGTTTTGTTTTGGTTTACACTACAATCCTATGGTTGCCGTGACGTTGTGATTACTAAGGAACCAACACACTATATATATATTTTGTATATGACGTTACTTATCACGTGGGGGCCAATTTGATTGATCAGTTAGTTTTGTTTCGTTATTCATGACCGTTAGCAGTTATCTAACATTTATTTTATAATGACTATCGCAAGAACTCTACGTTGGGCTTACAATGGAGAAAACCGCATTTTTGTAGCTGCAAGTTGAGAAAAGCTATTTCAGTTGTCCTTTAAGGATAGGCATATTTTACCAATCAAATACTAAAGCTTAAACCTGACTTCACATTTTTTGTCAGATCTTCGAATATCAATGGTCAATTGTTCATGTGTCCGAGATTTACCATTTTCCTAGAAAATGTGACTTTCTATGAGTTTATGTGATCAACAATAACACATGCATTATGTTCATCTAATCTGCTACAATCTTGGAAAACTGTATAACCTATGTCTAGTACAGGTTTATATCACTATCTTGTCATTATGATATAATGTTAGACCATATCTATTGATTATTTATTAAACAAAATTATGTCTTATGCATCTACATTTCAACTTCACTAGCGCAAGAATACAAAGGCGGAACGGGTCAATGGCGCGATCCAACGATTCTTGTGGTAGTTCTCTCTACTTCTGCAGAACTTAGTGATCAAAAATTCGTGGGGGAATACCACTAACTGCAATAAGCTGCTCCAGGTGCCCCCATGTGTGATAGTCACAGGGGTAGGCATCTGGTGTATTTGGTGGCCATTCATCATGACTAATGAATCAAGGGGTGTTCTCCTCCAGACTTTTGCCCGATGGCTGGGAGCGAAAGTAAAGGTGAAAGGCGGATGCATAGAACATTTAATTGATATTTAATTAGTAGAGATACACTCAACATAACACCATAGTGACTAGATACTAATATAAACCTGTACTAGACATTTTTTAAACAGTTATCTAAGATTGTAGCAGATTTAATGAAGATAATAAATGTGTTATTGTTAATCACATAAAAAACGTAGAACGTTACATTTTCTAAGAAAAACGGTAAATTATGGACATATGAACAATTGACCATTGATATTCAAGGACCTGGCTAAACAAATTGAAGTCAGGTTTAGCTTTAGTATTTAGATTTTAAAAATATGCCTATCCTAAAGTTTCTGTAGATAATTTTTTATGGCAATACCTTCATGTTATGATACTTTTCTAGCATGTTAAAAAAGTTGCAAAATTTTTTGGCCCACCCTGTAGATTGACCATCAGGTCATTTTATAGGTTTCCATACAAGTTAAAAAGGCTGGGAAATGTATTAAATGTATATAAGAAAACATACCTTCAACTCTATTCTCATCTGGAGTTATGGTGGCACATTTGATACCAACGTTGTATTTCTTGATAGCGTTGGCACAATCAATGGTGACTGGAACAAGCAAGATTTGAATGATTAAATGATGTTCAAATGGCAAATGGTTGCATGAAATGAAAATTTAAGTGACAGTCAATGATTATGACAGTATTTCCAATCAAAGCATTTATCGTATATTGCTTACATACAACATCCCAAAGCCTTCCCAATCAAGCCATTTTTAAAAAAATGCAATATCAAATGTATGTATATACATATATATTTCTTTTATCGACAAAAGTGTCAAAGCATGACACATTAGTCTATGTACAAACTAAGAAACTTAAATGTAAATACTCACTTTGATCATCTGTGGCATCTCTGCTCTCAACTGAGAGATCATAGAACTTAATGTCCAGATCCACATATGGAAATATCAACTTTTCCTTAATCAGGTCCCAGATGATTCTGGAAATAATACAAATGCATGATTATGATAATCATAGATCATAGAACTTAATGTCCAGATCCACATATGGAAATATCAACTTTTCCTTAATCAGGTCCCAGATGATTCTGGAAATCATACAAATGCATGATTATGATAATCATAGATCATAGAACTTAATGTTCAGATCCACATATGGAAATATCAACTTTTCCTTGATCAGGTCCCAGATGATTCTGGAAATCATACAAATGCATGATTATGATAATCATAGATCATAGAACTTAATGTCCAGATCCACATATGGAAATATCAACTTTTCCTTAATCAGGTCCCAGATGATTCTGGAAATAATACAAATGCATAATTATGATAATCATAGATCATAGAACTTAATGTCCAGATCCACATATGGAAATATCAACTTTTCCTTAATCAGGTCCCAGATGATTCTGGAAATAATACAAATTATGATAATCATAGATCATAGAACTTAATGTCCAGATCCACATATGGAAATATCAACTTTTCCTTAATCAGGTCCCAGATGATTCTGGAAATCATACAAATGCATGATTATGATAATCATAGATCATAGAACTTAATGTTCAGATCCACATATGGAAATATCAACTTTTCCTTGATCAGGTCCCAGATGATTCTGGAAATCATACAAATGCATGATTATGATAATCATAGATCATAGAACTTAATGTCCAGATCCACATATGGAAATATCAACTTTTCCTTAATCAGGTCCCAGATGATTCTGGAAATAATACAAATGCATGATTATGATAATCATAGATCATAGAACTTAATGTCCAGATCCACATATGGAAACATCAACTTTTCCTTGATCAGGTCCCAGATGATTCTGGAAATAATACAAATGCATGATTATGATAATCATAGATCATAGAACTTAATGTCCAGATCCACATATGGAAATATCAACTTTTCCTTGATCAGGTCCCAGATGATTCTGGAAATCATACAAATGCATGATTATGATAATCATAGATCATAGAACTTAATGTCCAGATCCACATATGGAAATATCAACTTTTCCTTAATCAGGTCCCAGATGATTCTGGAAATAATACAAATGCATGATTATGATAATCATAGATCATAGAACTTAATGTCCAGATCCACATATGGAAATATCAACTTTTCCTTAATCAGGTCCCAGATGATTCTGGAAATCATACAAATGCATGATTATGATAATCATAGATCATAGAACTTAATGTCCAGATCCACATATGGGAATATCAACTTTTCCTTGATCAGGTCCCAGATGATTCTGGAAATAATACAAATGCATGATTATGATAATCATAGATCATAGAACTTAATGTCCAGATCCACATATGGAAATATCAACTTTTCCTTGATCAGGTCCCAGATGATTCTGGAAATCATACAAATGCATGATTATGATAATCATAGATCATAGAACTTAATGTCCAGATCCACATATGGAAATATCAACTTTTCCTTAATCAGGTCCCAGATGATTCTGGAAATAATACAAATGCATGATTATGATAATCATAGATCATAGAACTTAATGTCCAGATCCACATATGGAAATATCAACTTTTCCTTGATCAGGTCCCAGATGATTCTGGAAATCATACAAATGCATGATTATGATAATCATAGATCATAGAACTTAATGTTCAGATCCACATATGGAAATATCAACTTTTCCTTGATCAGGTCCCAGATGATTCTGGAAATCATACAAATGCATGATTATGATAATCATAGATCATAGAACTTAATGTCCAGATCCACATATGGAAATATCAACTTTTCCTTGATCAGGTCCCAGATGATTCTGGAAATCATACAAATGCATGATTATGATAATTATTTTTGTGCATTTTGAAACTCCATATAAGAAGGGTAGAGGGGGACACATTTAGGCATTGAAGTATTATTTTTCAATATTAGACAAAATGATCATCCTAAAATTTTAAGGTCACCTGGCACCTGAAAAAGTGGACCTGTCCTTTTTCATATCTAAATCATTTCTTTGTGAAAATCGAAATTAGGATTGCAATAAGGAAAGCATTGGCATAGTTTCTGAACAGATAGTTTCCAAAATTTAACACTCTCTATCCTTTCTTCCTTTACCTGCTGTAGTTTCATTGAGGACAATAAGGCTAGAGTTAGTTAATCTTACGTTTTGTGTTAATTAACCTTTTCTCACTATTTTCAAAATTTTATATCAAACATACACAGTACAGCATAGATATTTATGTACCTTTGTATTTTTAAAACATGTAAGAACACTCTACTCTACCTCACCCCTAGAAATGCATAAGATACTCTAATTGCATTGTTTAGTATATTTTTGAAAGTACCTATATTAACATTTAACTTTCAACCGATAAACCATTAATAAGGAACAGACAAATAAAAACAAATAACATAATTATTACTAATAAGCCAAATGGGTTGCTCATGAACACCAAATGCAATGCTCAAAATTTAACTTGGTCTAGCCTCAGAGCCTTGATCAAAGCCTGTATGATAAGCTAGTTTCAGACTTTGTCCCTTGAATGGTGATAAGTGCACCTCTTGTTATATCACTATTATACAGCTGATGTCCCAAATCTATAATCTTAACTAATATTTACTCTTGTTATACTATGATCTAGGTTCTATGGACCAGGGTTCAATGGGAGAATGTCCTGAGTACCCTTAACAAAAGTAAAACTGCGTCTATGATCTTAAAACTAAAGGCAATTCATGGATTTAATCAGACAATGACAACAGAAAATTATTCTATAATTCATTTAGTATCCCTGTCATTCCTTTTACAATCAAACTTTCATAAAAGACCAGATCTCTACATTTGAGATGATTCATCAAATCATCAAAACTTGAAAATTGTCGGTAATAGTCAGAGGGCTGTGTTGCTAGCTTATGGTGATAAAGGGTACAATAAATTGCACTGAGAAATGTGAGGAGAGTCAATAATTGTCATATGACTTACAAATTTGATTTGTCTTTAGGCTGGTAGGTGTGACAGTTGTAGGTGTTAGAGATAACACCTGTTAAATTTAACTATGTATTCCACAATCTCTATTTTGTCTTGCATTAAATCTTTGGTCATCTCAAGGCTCTGGCCCAACACTTTTTTAAAGGTTATTATCTAAGTTTTATTCAGACCGTAGCCAGGATTTGCCAAGGGGGTTCACTTATTTTAAAAAAATAACTCGGTGGTGCTCAATTTTGACCAACTTCAGCCTCAAAAAAGGCCAAAATCACTTAAAAAGTGTTCAGAATGGTGGAAAATTGCATGATTTTGCTCAACCTCCCTGCCTGAATGATTAAGAAAGTTTAAAGAAATTTCGACTAAAAGGTGGGATAAAAATATTCTGTTTTGACATACCCCGGTATGTATTAGTAAAGTAGGCTACATAGTGCTCTTCTTGAGATTTTATATCAATGCAGTAGAAAATCACATTCTTATCTGCCAGAGTTCCTCTTTATCTAATATGCTTGTATCTCATTTATCTGTTCTGGTCAAAAATCTCACAAAAATATTTCACAAGAATTAGGTACAGGATGAGAGGTAATTTTCATCAGGATGCAGAACCTGGTTAATATAAGGCTGTTCAGATCACTGACTGAATGATAAGTTTCCTTTGCTTTATTACAAAGGCTCTATAGGGACTGTAGCTGCCCTAGATCAAGTTGACACTTTATTTTTTTCTTGCATTTTTGTAATTGAACTTCAGTCAATGTGTCCCATATGCAGTATATTGTTTTACCTTTATATAAAGTACAGTACTAGTTCAGTAACTTAGGCAGTACAAAGGGCAAACATTGTACTATGCAGCCTAAAGCAAGGTAATACAAACTCTCATCATATAAATGAAAATTGGTTAATATTCGGATGAAGAAGTATTCCTCAATAACGAAGAATAGGTTTTCCTCTCTAATGAAATACACATTCTCATCTAGAAAGAAGAACATGCTTTCCTCTGTATTGAAATACATATTTCCATCTAGGAAAACAGGTTTTCCTCTTCATTAAAATATATTTTCATCTAGAAAAACATGTTTTCCTCTCCAATCTGCTTTATATGGGCTTATTAGCCTTTTGCAGATTATTGATATAGACATTGACATAGACAATCAAATAGACATTTTCATCTAGAAAGAATAATGTTTCCTCTATGATGAAAGACACGTCATGTCCCTACTCCCTTATAAAGTAATATTTATTTCTTCTGATTTGTTTTGCAAAAGAGTAAAAGTGAATACGTTCTCAGGATTCCCTATTGGAGAGCTTCATGTATACCTGGCAGTTTGAAAAGCTGGCCGAATTTACTAATTAGCAAAATGATATCAGCACGACTCCACTTCAGGGTAGGTGTGGCACCCGGTAATCTAAAACTGTTGCACCTTACTCACTTCGAGAGCCATGTTAGATTTTGAAACTTATGGCTCTCAAACGGAGAAATTGACAGCTGAATAATAAAATACAATAATACAATACTTGTAGTGACCTTTGAAATACGAATTAAGTCTATCAGCGGCTTACTTTTGTTCTATACTTATGTCATACATCATTAAAATCCTTCCGTGAAAGTATTGGAGCGCTGAAGTACTTCCTTTTCGATCAAGACTTGTAATTATTAGTCGAGTGAATGTTTTTTCTGCCAAATTCCAATATGGCGTTTTCTGCTAGGACATTTTCGTAAATCTTCGGAGGTTGTCCGAACCTTACTCATTCTCAAAATTAATCTCATTCATTGCGTATCTCGTTCCTAGCAAACCGCCATATTGGAAATGAGTCAAAAAACATTCACTCGATTAGTGGTGGGACTCGTGTGAATTATCCTACTCGAGTAGAGGCTCTTGAACACTCGATTTATTCGCGATTAAAATGAATGATTTTGGAAAAAATTGTTCAGAAAAACTTTCTTCGGAAAGTTACAAACTTTCACTTCCGGTAGCAATGTTTTCAAGTGTTCTCGGCTCAACCTACCTTGAATAACTCCAACATACCCATCAAATTATTCAAATAGAATAACTCAATACACTTTATATGTTCTTGTTTTGCATTGAAAAGTAAATAATTTAGCAATTTACGCTAATTGGTTTGACCTCGTTAAATATTGCATTGCACATGCGCAACCGGATGTAATCAATAAATAAAAACAAACACGAGAAAGCCTATCGTATTTGATTTATTATCTCAGTTAAGGTATCAAACTACAATGCTATATATTAAGGAAGGCATCATTGCTAAACATTGTACAGAAATGTTGTACATTGGATGTGTTTTTTTTACGTAAATTGCGGTTGAAAGGTGGGTAAATCACATTTTCTTCATCATTTTTTCATTTTTTTTTCAATTCGAGTCAGAATTTACCAATCGATGAATCGTATTTACAGGGTTTGGCGAGTAATATTCGAGTCCACGAGTCAATCGTTGCTCCACTACACTCGATGAACAATTTACAAGTCTTGATTGAAAAAGAAGTATCCAATACTGGCACGGATTGATGATGCTGATGTAAGACACAGTTAGAGACCAATGGTAAGCTGCGGAAATCTTTATTCATGTTTTAAAGGTCACTATTATTCAGCTGTCCAAGTGCGCCGTGGGAAAGCTATTATATCAAAATCCACATAGCTTTTGCAGGAAGTAAGTTGCACCAACATTATTTTCTCAAGTTCACAACATTTTCAATTTTCTCTGCAGACAGTCGACCATTTGTTTGGGGTAGGCCTAAGTTGATTCCAACGATGATCATTCTCGAGACAGAAAGTGGGCGCAAGATGAATTTGATCTTGTGACATTTCATTTTCAAGAAGATAGGATGAAGTTTCAAAAATTTTTAGAGAAAAAAGTTTACCTTGTCATTTCATCGCCCTGCATTTCCACCACAGTTCCACCTGAAACCAGAATAAATCAAGATTGAAATATGCATAGATACATAAAAAATCATTTGAATGTCATATTTTCTGGATAAAATCTGTACTTACCATTAATTTTACCCATTTTGAAGGAATGTTTGAAATTCTGACCAAATCACACGAAAACGGAAGTAAAAGACCGACGCTTACTGCGCATGCCAAATAGGTCGTCTGTGGATCGATCATTCTCCAACAAGGAGGATTGGCTCCCAGGATCGAAACTCGATATTTTCCAACAATGAAAACGTCGAAATGTCGTTATTTTCTGAAATTAAAACCGACTATAAATTCAAAATAAACAGTTCAAAAGATTCTAACCAATATCTCGATCATTTCTTGTGAGTTTTGGAATTTTTCGTTTGGAAATAAGACCAAAATTCACGATTTAAATGTTGAAGTGAACAAAATGGCGGCTGTTTGAATTCGAATTTTGTATTACGACATACCCATATATGGGACAGAATATCGGTGGTGCACTCTGGGAGCCAATCCTCCTTGATTCTCCAAGGAGGATTGGCTCCCAGAGTGCACCACCGATATTCTGTCCCATATATGGGTATGTCGTAATACAAAATTCGAATTCAAACAGCCGCCATTTTGTTCACTTCAACATTTAAATCGTGAATTTTGGTCTTATTTCCAAACGAAAAATTCCAAAACTCACAAGAAATGATCGAGATATTAGTTCGAATCTTTTGAACTGTTTATTTTGAATTTATAGTCGGTTTTAATTTCAGAAAATAACGACATTTCGACGTTTTCATTGTTGGAAAATATCGAGTTTCGATCCTGGGAGCCAATCCTCCTTGATCATTCTCGAAACATTTATATTAGAAATGTTTTGTTGACAAAAGTTTTGGTAAATACAATAATATATAAATTACTAAGTATCTAGTACAAATATATTATTTCATTTTCCCTCAAAATAACAGATTTTCAGAAAACCGTCGAATTATAAAACGAAATGAAACTTGGTTCAAAATGATTGGACGAGTTGACCGGGCCGGGAAACTTTGAAGTCTGAAAAATGGCTACATTGTAACTGACAGACAATCATAGTTCCTCTAATGATGTATAATTGGAATTGAATCGATAATTAAGCAAATTGACAATTGCTATGGAAATAAACTTTACCTCAGGATAATAACGTGAAAATATTGCTGCTAGTGATTATCATGGACAAGGATTTTTGAACTTGAACAATTAAACTTGAAAATTATTAGAAATATCAGACTACAATGAGTCAAAAGATTCTCTATGGTCTGGAAGAGCATCTCTTAATAGATTGCATAAATGTCAAATTGAAACAGAATAAATTTGAAGACTGTTTTGATTTGCTCAAGGTAGTTGTAAAATGATTATCATTTCAAGGGGGGGGGGTGGAGAATAACCTCCAAGCTCGTGCGACAAGTACTTAATGGGGGGGGGGTGTATAGAGATATTGTATATCGTATAAGAGGCTGAAAATTTATTGTATATTGTATAAGAGGGGGCAAAATTTATCGTATTTGGTATAAGAGGTGTAAAAAATATGGTATATGGTATAAAAGAAAATATATGGTATATGGTATCTAGAATTAAAAAAGGCTAATTATGAAGAAAGTGCACCCTAAAGTTCCCCATTGTGCCAACTCTCTTACTGGTAACCGTGTTGGAAAAACATGGAAAAGTAGTCTCTCTAATTGGTTCCACATTCCAGGTCAATCAATACTGTAAGTTTAGAAAAAATCCTTCTCAAACTAAGAGTTTTGTGCCCTTTTCATTCAAATTTTCACAGGAGGTGTTAAATATAGTCTCAAATAAGAATCACGCCGGATGATCAGAAGAAATGAACGGAGGGAGGTAGATCTAGCTGATTTTTGGTAGAAAATTCAACAAATCTTGAAGATTTATTTTTTCAAGAGAAAGTTTACAACTGAATGGCTAAATGAATAGACGCAGTGGACGGGGGAATATGTTAGGTCTTCTTGGATTTTTTTGAACTGTGGAGTTCTAAAATAAAAGATCTATTAAAAAAGTGCAGCGTCGTCAACGTGCAAATGCCAATTTTTTGCTATAAATCAACCAACAGGGCTTTACACGACCTGTAATAAATACTTGTAAGTGAAGTAATTATCACAAAACTATTGTCATCATTGGTTTTGTAAAACATGTTACCATACCTTATATAAAAAGTAATCGAACGTTATTAAAATTGAACGGAGGGGTGAGTAATGTGTCTATAAGACATATGAAAACTTCCATTAACTCCATATGTCCCCATTTTTCACTTTTCAGAGTTGTAACATCAAGTTACTGAGTAAGTGAGTTCATTTTTCAAGTACACGAATTTGTGGAAATTTCTTCCACCTTAAAGACATATTACTCCACCCCCCTCCGTTCACTCCCCCCCTCCGTTCAATTATTCGATTATTTTTTATCTATCATTTGAAAAATTATTTTAAAAAACCGGCAAAGAATTTTGTGATAAAAACGTTGCTTATATATTTATTACAGGTCGTACAGACCATTGTTGCTTGATTTATAACAAAAACATTGGCATTTGCACGTTGGCGACGTTGACTCATCTTAACTTTGATGAAAAATATGGTCACTATGGCTACTCGTGTTTCGGGGTATGTGGGATAAATCATTAAAATATTTGAGTATAAAGTGTTCATACAGCGCATGTTTTAATACAAGCATCACAATGCTAATATAGCATAATATAGCAAAAGGTTTTTATTTGGTCTTCAAACTGTCATATGTTGGATTTCGGCTTTTTATTGGGGATTTGGACAGGTGCATATGTTAAGCCAATGCATTACCTCCAGATCAAGCACTCATCGAGGTAATAAAATAATTTGGACTTTGAGACAGGGAAGGTTTTTCTGAAATGTTGTCCTGATTTTTAGCTCTTTCCACATATGTTTTTTCAATGTTTGATGCACCAATATGTTGCACTTTGAGACACAGTTTTGAGACACAGTTAATCTCTAAAATATGATTTATTTGGGATAAAGTGGAAAACAGTACATGTATTTCCCATGTTATTTTCCCATAGGGAAAACTCATGTGACCCATTGTTTTCAGCTAAATTTTGGTCATTCAAAATTGATATCTTTAAAACCCCTGCATGAATCATATTTTCATTTAAAACGCAACAGAGTGAACGATGCAACAAACATTGAAAAACAGGTGTGGAAAGGGCTGGAAATCAGGACAACATTACAGAAAAAACATGTTGATGGGGTGCAAATTTGCACCTTCCCTGACTTAAAGTCCAAATTATTTTATAATCTCTATGATTGCTTGTCCTGGAGTTAATGCATTGGCCTAACATATGCACCTGTTCAAATCCTCAGAAAATAGCCAAAATCCAATATATGACTGAAATCTGTTGCGATACTGTCTGTGGTCCTTTAAAAGAAAGTTATTTCTAGTTGCATAGAGTAGTTTTCATTCTCATCAATACATCTTTGCCTTGAAATCATTCGTGAAACATGTGGTTTGAACTTTATGGAAATTTGCTTTATTTTGACACACCTTTGTTTAACTTATACTGTCTTTAAGGCTGCCTTATCTGAAACCCCGAAGTGTCTCTTGTTTCAAATGTTTAAACAATCAAGTCTCGTCTTGCCTTTATTTCAAACTCTAATTTCCAGACTCGAGTCCAATCAAAAATGAATTATCTACATGGAAGTTTGTGAAGTCCTTTATTTCTGAAACTGTTTTCAATACTTAATATTTTCAGGTAACTGCTTTACAAAATTATTGTGCATTGTGAATCTTCATAACCTATCTGATACATATTTCCCTCAGCAAACTTTATTTTCATAGAACACATGATGAATCTTTTATTCCACATTCTCAATTTTGCATCAATTATGTTTCAAGGATTTATTTCCCTGGCTCACTATGAAGGATTCCATTGACATTAAAATATGTCATGGGAAAGTAGGTCATAAGAAAGAGGAACACTGAGTTCCACCCATTCCAATGATGCAGGTTTTGTGCTAATTTTGAATATCTTTATGGTACTTTTACAGGTAATGGGCTAATGGCTTTAGCAAATTGCAGAAATGTTAAAGTTAGTTTTTTGGTCAAATTAGGTTGTGAAATCACTTAAGATAAGTCATGAATCTTATATCATAAATGTGTTTTAAATCAACTTGTTGACCTGAAAATAAAAAATGGTCACAGCTTTCTGAACATGTGGATGTACCCGAATGGTGTCTTATTCATAATGTAATAAATGAAATCATTGTGATATGTATGTGGAGTCTATTTCCCTTATAATAATACATTTACTTTAGTACATGGATTCTCTCCTAATATTATTTCCTTATAAATATCCAAACTTTAATCAAAAGCAGTTTCAAAATTATCGTATATTGTATTTCACCTAAAATATTGTATATGGTATAAGAGCTGTGAAAAATATTGTATATGGTATAAAAGGGGTGAAAAAATATTGTATATGGTATAAGAGAGCTGAAAAATATTGTATATGCATTTCCAAGACCCTCTATACACCCCCCCCCCCCCTTAATATCGCATTTAAATTGAAATCATTTTATGTCATTTCAATTTCAATATGTAAGACATTGTAATTGCCAATATGGGCACTGACAGGGGTGGATCTGGGAATCAACAAGGGGGGGGCCCAAATTCCAAGTCAGAGAAAGAAACATCCGCGCCTGCGCGGAAAAAAATTTAGGGCCCCTAAAACCAAAAAGTGGGCCCAAATTTTGAAATTCTGAGGCCCATTTTCTTCAAAATTTGGCCTGAAATTAAAAAATAAGGCCTTAAAAAGCCCAGTAATGACCAAAAAGGCCCACTTTTTGGGGCCTCTAGGCCTTTTTTTGCCCAAAAAATTTTTTTGGGCCCAATTTTTTTTTTCTGGGCCCACCCCCAGGCCCCCCCCCCTAATCCGCCAGTGCACCGGCACAGCCATTGAAATCAGTTTATAAAAAAACCTCCTTATTATGTAAATATCACAGATGGCAGAATTATTTTATAATATCTACAATACAGGGTTTTAAGGGCTATTCTCTATTAAAAATTCTGCCATCCGTGGCAAATAGTACTATGCACTATTGTATTGGTCTATGAGTAATCAAGTATCCCACATTTATCTTGTGCCAAGACCATCTCAGAGTCTTGGAACTGGGCTTTGACTAGATAAGTCCCACATCACAGCTTCAATTGAAAAACATTTATTGATCATATCATTTCAAGTCAGGAGCAAATATTTCCGCACTTTGGTGGAAACAATTTTGGGCCTCAAAAAACAAAAATTATTATTAGCCCCATATTTCCAAAATTTAAGACTCATTTTCTTGTATTTTTGGTCTAAAATCAAAAATATGCCCCAAAAGGCCCAATAATACCCAAAAAGACCCACAAGTTAGGGCCTTATCATTTTTGATTTTCTGGGCCCAACCTGGGGAGGGGGCTAAATGTCACTGGTGTAATATGTAGGATACTCAGAATACTCTTATTAGATAAAAAAAGTCGCTCCATGGTTGATCTTTTGTTTTACAATGGGCTTTCAATTAGTCTACTAATTGAAATTCTGTGATTGGTTGATACCTGTGCAATATTTGATCCACATCACACCACCCTTGTATATGACTTTTTCCAGAATGGCTGTTTTGTTGAATTGAAACGTGAAGCCTTGAGGCTTTGGGATGCGGCCCATTACAAGAAAGCAGAGTTCCTCAACATGGACAAAGAAAAGTTGACTTCATTGAAGAAATACAGAATAAGACAAAGGTATGACTACAAAATCAAAACCTGTAAACACCTACCTACAGGGGATATTTTTCTTTGCAAAAAATGTTCATTACACATGTAGCTTTACTTGATATGGCCCATGAACATGCTCCACTTAACAATTTATTTTGACTCCAATAGGTTCCCACCCCCGAGAAATATCTGTCCCACTGGAGAAAGGCCAAGTCAAAGACTACCCCTATCATCTACAGATATACTGAGGTCATGGGTGGTTGAACATAGTCCTTATCCTACAACCTTTGAAAAACATGAACTGGCAAAAAAGGCCAAAATCACAGTGAAACAGGTTTCAAGTTGGTGTCTAAATTACAGAAAAAGAAAAAAGGTAAGGAAATAAAATGTGTAAAGGAAAAAAATATGAGTAAATGTGAAGAAAGGGAGTTTAAGTAAGGGAAGTAAGTTAAGGCAAGGAAAAGCAATGAGAAATTTAATATGAAAATGAATAGCAGTTTTGAATCTTTAATTTCAAATGAACTCCTTCAAAATATCTAAATAATACACATAAATCCATTGGTTAAAAATGATGGTCAATCACCTGTAGTTTTGAATCAACAGTAGTGGAATCATATTTTTCAGAAAAGAGGAACCGTTTCTTGTGAAAATCTTCAGAACACAACAAATCAAAACAATGAAACAAGTGCACCTAATGTGGCATATGGTGGTTTAAACATGTGCAGAAATGAATATGAGAATAACAAGGAAAAGCATCAAGCCAGGAAATCTCCAACTAAACAGAATCGTGTCCAGACAATGAATCCTGTCCAGACAATGAATTTTGGCCAGACAAATATTCATGGCCAGACATTAAATCCGCAGACTGTAAACCATCAATGTAAAGTTGTAAAATATGTCACACTTGGATCTAATGTAAGAGATGATGCTGCAGTTGGTACCAATGGTTACCAGACAGGATTGCCACATGGTTACCAGGAAACAATGTCAGGCCTTAGTTACAAGACAAAGCAATCATCACATAACAAACCTGTCATAAGTCATTCTCATAGTTACCAATCAGAAGCCACTTCCCTTAGTTTAGAGACAAGGGGGCCACCAAATGTTTACCAGGCAACAGGCCCATCACCTAGTTACCAGGCAACAGGGCCAACTTATGATTACTATGCAACAGGTCCATCACAGACTAGTTACCACACAGATAAATCAGCATACAGTAACCAGGCAACAGATGCAACATACAGTCAGCAGGTTACGGAACAATCATATGGTTACCAGGCCAAAAGAAAACGATTAAATAGTTGCCAGGTAGAACCACAATGTACATGTAGCAACTCAATTAGTTCACCATATCTTATGATTCCAGTGCTATACTCAAACCCATCTTTCTTTCCCCATAGTCCGAATATTTCACCAGACCATGGACAATTTAATACAAACCATGGCTCATATTTACCAAAAACATATGATGGCAACATCCACACTCAGGATAACTCAAGTGCAGCTGTTTCACAAGAAAATATCATTGCCAGAAATGTTGAAATGGACACTGTGCAAACTGTACTTGGTAACAATGTACCTGCAGTGCACAAGATGGATTCCCAATGTGTTTCAAGTGTTAAACAAAAACAAGCATCAGATACAGATGCAACAGTACAGAACTCAGGGGTTGAATCTATACCTAGTATCATGCATTTCCTCTCACCATTCACAAATAATACAGGTACATCGCTGATTAACAATACAAATGCATCACTGATTAACATTTCAGGTGAATCACTGATTAACAATGCAGATGAATCATTGATTAACAATACAGGTGAATCACTGATTAACAATGCAGATGAATCACTGATTAGCAATACAGGTGAATCACTGATTAACAATACAGGTGAATCACTGATTAACAATATAGATGAATCACTGATTAACATTTCAGGTGAATCACTGATTAACAATGCAGATGAATCACTGATTAACAATGCAGATGAATCACCAACTTACAATACAGATGAATCACTGATTAACATTTCAGGTGAATCACTGATTAACAATGCAGATGAATCACTGATTAACAATACAGGTGAATCACTGATTAACAATGCAGATGAATCACTGATTAGCAATACAGGTGAATCACTGATTAACAATACAGGTGGATCATTGATTAACAATACAGGTGAATCACTGATTAACAATACAGGTGAATCACTGATTAACAATACAGATGAATCACTGATTAACAATGCAGATGAATCACTGATTAACAATACAGATGAATCACTGATTAACAATACAGGTGAATCACTGATTAACAATACAGTAGAATCACTGATTAACAATACAGATGAATCACTGATTAACAATACAGGTGAATCACTGATTAACAATACAGGTGAATCACTGATTAACAATGTAGATGAATCACTGATTAATAATACAGGTGAATCTCTGGTAAACAGTAAAGGTGCATCTCCTTCCAGTAACCATGGTGACTGTAGGGAAGAGGTAGCATATGCTTTGTTACAGTTATCTTATGGCCTCTCTCAGGACAGTAACACAGCATAAATTTTATTAGAGAATTCTGATTGAAAAAGCAGCAAATTGATGGAGAAGACTAATAGTAGTACTGTTCTTCTGATAATACTCAACTGCTCAATATTTTTGTTTTTGTGAATTTCAAATTTTGCCGCTTTTGACTAATTTCAAAGCTGATTTTGTTTTTTCAATTTTTGCTGCTATTAATTTTAGTTGACTTTTGCCAACATTTTATCAGAAGTACAATACAGTTTTTTAAACAATAGGTTCATTTTATTATAATCTAGTACATATGCATAAGGAGGACAGAGTGAGAAAAATATTGATTCCATTTATGCCTTTGAAAATCTCTAAAATTTTGTTTTCTACAAATGTTCAACTCAAACATACAGTATTGTTAAAGACAACAGAAACAAGGGAACTCATTCCATGACAACAAGGGAACTCTGGGAAAACTCACCTCATCTTAATTAATCTATAATGCTGCCACCTTTTGATACATCAATGGACCTACATATAGGCCAGATTTATGATGTAGGTAGATATATTGTTTAAGAACAACATGTAGTATTTTGGTCGTGTTATTTACAAATCATAAACTAAAATGTTTTTCAAAGCAAGCCTGTTCGAAGGAGATGGTATCGGGGCAACCGCAACCCCCCCCCTCTACTTTTTCCAGAAAGAAATCTTTTTTTAGAGATCTGTATTAAATGATGCACAACCCATCTGTATGCAAAAGTTTTCACCCTCTTGGGAAATCCTTCGGACAGGCATGCAAAGTTAGCAACATAATTTTATCGTTCTATGTATGATTTCTTCAATCAATAACAAGTATAAAAGATATAGTATTGTACATATTTACATGCATTTTATTTCAGTTTAATAAATAAGTGTTACACAGGATATCAATAAGTGATGTGCATTTAAAATCATTGGTGCTTGTACAGTAAAACCTGTCTAATCCGAACACCCATGGGACCAGCCAAAAGGGTTCAAATTGGCAGGTGTTCAAATTTCGAGGATATTGTTGGTCGGGGGGGGGGGGGGATTTTCATTGTTCAGTTCACTATATTGAACACTTAATACTAAGTCAGAAAACAATACATGTTGTTGATGAGTTAATTCTACAATAGGCCTATAGCCTATATGCTATGTTTTATTTATATTAACAATTTCATCATTTTAGTAAAAATAACTCTTATATTTTGGCAAAAATTTGTAATACACTGTAAAAGTATATGATAGTCTCGTACAAAATCTTATGCTTATCAAATGGCTTATCCCATATTGTGGTTATATAGCACTGCTTTACTTTTGCTTGAAAAAGTCCTTCATTGTTGTTTGTTTCTTGGCACTTTTAGCATTAGCAATATTTGAGTAGATATCCTCTTCAAGTAAAAATAATTTTTCATGAGTGTTCATTCGAGATGATGTATAATTCTTCAAAATATCAAGGGCATTCAGGATGTCAGATGTATGCGAATATTACTATGTTGAATTTTTTCTCCTTCTCGTGATATAATCGTGTCTACAAATGGTGTCTGTGTTAACTTTGTGATTATAAAACATTTACTGATTGAATCTTAGCTATCATAACAGACGCATGGGATATAAAACAGTTAAGACCTGTAATCCAAATCAAAAACATCCAGTTAATTTACAATAAGGATAAACCAATTATCTCCCAGACTCTCACCTTTCTCTTAATCCAAATCAAAAACATCCAGGTAATTTCCAATAATGATAAATCAATCATCTTCTTGATTCACACTTTTCTCTTAATCCAAAAATAAAACATTCAGTTCTTTTCTAATAGGATAAACCAATTAACTCCTGTATTCACACCTTTCCAAAACATCCTGTTGTTTTCCACAAATTAGGGATGTCACTGAGACTAAATAAGTTAATTAGGACAATTGGTTCTTTGATTACATTTGTATATATGTAAAGATAAATAACAACTATAACATTGACTTAATATGTGGCTTTAATTGAAATGTCCAGACATTTGATTTCTGATAAAAATGTTCAGATTAGACAGGTCACTTTTTCAAATCTGGTTGTTCACTGTTCAAATTAGGAGGTGTTCAGATTTCAAGATTTTTTTAACATGAGAGTCAATGAAAGGAAAAAATGGGACCGAAAAAAGTGTTCAAATTGGAAGGTGTTCGGATTAGCCAGGTGTTCAGATATACAGGTTCTACTGTAATTGCATAAATAGTCCATGAAATATTTAGTCCAGAATTTTGATAACTCAGCACCTTAAACTGTTTTATATTTCACAATGCAACAGTAAATAACATGGGTCTTGCTATTATGGAGTTTTTGCCATCGTACAGAATAATTAATGGCATCATACCACATCCTTTACAGTGTTCTCCCCAAAAAAAATTTTCAACTGGGTGCCAACTGGGGGGCCTTTGGTTTCAAGTAGGGGGAGCCCCCGGTAAAAGTGACATGGGGAGATCACTGCTTTATTATATTAATTGCAAGTCCCGCGCTCACTTTTTAGAAAAATATTCTATATATAAATATAATTTTTTTGTATATTGTCCTATAGTCTATATAATTCACAGTGTTCATCACCGTGTCTTTATGATAAACCAACACACCATGAAGACAAACAGTGCAAACATAATAAGATAGAAGATGAATCTATTGTGTCCAGCTTTGGCTATTGCACTAACACGACTCATAGCTTTTCCTAAGAATCCCCCAGTAGCATCGAAGTCATCATCCTGAAAAATTAAAACAAGGCATTAACATGTAAAATGTCACAATCAGCCATTTGTTACAGGCTCCAAACACCAACCACCATATGTTGAACACCAAACGCTGACAACATCCACAAAAAAGTTGGAGACTATAACAATATGTCACAACTTTTGATGGTGACATAAAAGTCCAAAATTACTAAAAAATATTGAGTTAAAAATTCAATTATGTATATGTTAAGTTATTTTGGTACAGTCACTATTAGGGCATGGCCTAAAGTTGGAGACTATAACAATATGTCACAACTTGTGATGGTGACATAAAAGTCCAAAATTACTAAAAAATATTGAGTTAAAAATTCAATTATGTATATGTTAAGTTATTTTGGTACAGTCACTATTAGGGCATGGCCTAAAATTCTGGATTGGACACTACCACTGCCTTATAGGTTCAGATATGGTTAAGTTTTTGAATTGGGCTCTTTGCTTTCAAAGGTTTGAGAAATAGTGTGTACTATCTGTCTATTATTCCTTTGTCATGACGATGATAGAATTGTACAGTAAAATGATACATTTACCTATCAAACAGTGCTCCAAGATAACAATACTAAATACATGTAAAGTACAAAGACATACGTAACACTTTAAATCATGTGAATATGAATTGTTTTAATTTTACAGCTATGTTAAACTTACCATTCCTTTTAACATTTGATTTTGTGTCTTCACTTCTGTTCCAATATCTATAGTCAGCTAAAAATAAAAAAAGCATAAAAACGTTATTCAATCAGAGGTTACAATGTTAAGGGATAACAAAGATTAAAATTAGAAATGAGTTACTTCAAGAGTCACTTTCAGAGAATTTCTCCTCATTCAATGTTATGCTTATTTTCTAAAATAAAGTCTAATAAACTAGATGCAAGTAGAAATAATTTTGATTTACATCATTTAATACTCAAAAGTCAGTTAAAGTGATATCATATTTGAAATGTAAAAATTTGTTTAAAAATGTGACTTCTAGGTTGGGTAGATTCCCCAAGTTATAAAATGACAATAAGGGAAATATCTTTTCTCGTGTTTGGATGGATCATATTTTCTTTTCCTGGAAATAAGGATAATATGAAAATTGATCCACAAGAACTGATGAAACTTTCTAGTACCCTGCCATGTTTTCTGACCTGAATGAGCCACCCGGTGGTAAAACTGGTAACTACCTACTGGCATCTTGGTAATTTATTCGGACATTTCCGGATATATTTTTGATTTTTAAGATTATCCGTTGTTATTTCTAGAGATCAAAGCATTTGTATTGAATCTTAAAAAAAATTCTTACAGATTTTAATGCTTTAACTTTATATGAGAGTTGATCCTCCAAATGTTGATTCTCTTCTTCCATGTGATTTGCCTGCTGTGTCATCTGCGGGTTCATCTCCCCTAAACAACAATGTTAAAAAGACTATATTTAGCCATCAGTTTTTTTTTAAATAACATGGCAGAGAAGCATTTAAATAACAGGCCACACATTTTATTAGCCAATCCAACATATACAACATATACATGCTTGTATACAAACCTGGCTGCCTCATGCTCGTACAAACGTTTCCCATGTAAAATATGAATGTAATTATTGAAACAATATTGCACTATGCTCTTTTGATTACTTATCTTTAAGATTTGATTGACTGCAAGAAAAAATGAAATGGACAGAAAGATGTTTTGATATATTTCACTGAAATCGATTGGCTGGAACTGTTAACTGTTATGTTACGCTATTGAACAATATTATTCCTTGATATTTTAGCTATGAGGAAAAGTGTGGATAGTTTTACCTATAATTTCAATTAATCATTTCATTTCACAATTAGAATGGGCGATAATATGTGAAAACAATATTCATACTTTTTGAAACGTAAAACGCTAATGACTTTAGCACATGAACTTAGTGAGATATGTTTAATTAGAAAGGTTATATACACATGCACACGTTTAGATCACTAACCTGCATGAGCACGCCTCATCTTGGCTCTTGTGTGTTAAAATATTTCAGAAAAGTTGATTTTGATGATTTGGAAGTTTTTCCGGAAGTAAATAACAGACCTCTTATACTATTAACTGATAGCTGAAATGAACACGTTTCTTTTATTACACGAACTACAAAAGTCAACAAACCTACATTTTTGTATATATCTAGAGAGTAAACTATATTTATTTATAATCATTATTCAATAAAAAAAACACGCAAAACTAAGAAAAAATGGAATAATATTATGCAGAAGTTAAGGGGTCTTAAATCTAAAAACTCAAGGTACAGGTAGGTTTTATCATCTGTGCCACTTTCATCTGTTGCTCTACCTCTGTGATTTTTCTTATACAGGTAGCCTCCATTGCAATATCAAAATACAATTCATATTTCGTCCGTGCACATTTTCAGTATTGTTTCAGGGTCAGAAATGGAGGAAAATGACAAATTTTTGGAGCTGGACATTTTTGTTTCTGAAAATGCAATTGAAGAGGGTGCTATTGAGTTGATGAAAAGTGTCAGACCAGAATGGAAAGCTGGAGACATAAAGTTCAAGGTAAATTCTTAAAATTGTCATGATTAGTTTTATTGGCGAGTTAAAATATAGGGTTGTCGTGATTAATCGATACATCGTGATGTACACGTGCGTACATGTCCCGGGGGGTTCACTGTATTTACTTCGGTCCAAAGCCTTCTCTATATTCCGGCTTTGAGGAGGAAGATTGAGCTGCCTTAGTATTATAAATATTGTAAATCATTGTGTCACACGCACAGTAAATATGGCATAATAATATGAAATATACCTTTATGTATAGATTTGAAGAACATCAGCTCACATCCCCGTCTGAATCTATTGTTATATTTGATTTCTTTAAGCGAGAATAATTTCAAATGTTATTCACGTCCAGAACCGGAAGCCATTTTTAGCTACAGCGAGAAAATTTCACCATGTGTCAAAACTCCGAAATGAAATTTTGAAATATCTAAATCCAGACAAGCAACGCTTCATCCTAAATATGATTAATATTCTTAAAAATATTTATAAAATTTATTAAAAATGAGTTCTAGGTGCGTGTAGTTGCGTGTAGCACAGTACATACGAAATCAATGAAGTTTCGTCTAGCTGTAAGCTAGAGACTCGAGTAACACTGTATATAAAACTCGACGGGGGTCCTAGGCTGAAGCCTCAAATATCAATATGTTCCCATACCAATCTGTCAAATTTCAATGTGTTCCCATACCAACCAAAATAACGCCCAAAGGCCATACCAAATGTCCAAATATAGGACCAATGCCATACCAAATGCCCAATTAAGGGACCAATGCCATACCAAATGTCAAAATGTAGGACCAATGCCATACCAAATGTCCAAATATGGGACCAATGCCATACCTTAATTCAAAGTAAATGAAATATAGGATCAATGTCATACAAATTTGCAACTACTGGACCAGTGTTATACCACGAATGTTAGGTAACGTATCTACAACGACCATTCTCATACCAGAAGAGCATAAGTCCGACCATTGCCATACCTCAGAAGTCAGAATTTTCCGGGCATTCCCATACCAAATCCTAAAATATGGGTCCATTGCCATACCAAATGTTGAAAAAGGTACCCCACATGCGCCGAGGATCCCCGTCAAGGTTTATATATAGTGAACCCCCCGGGTACATGTACATCCCCAAAAGTGATTCTGGTGATGCATGCACGATGTTAGACGTGGATCCACGGCTCTAGTGACTTATTTGACTATCAGAGTTTTGATAGGGTCTGGGGCCATGACAAATCTCAGATATATATATAAAGGCCCAGAGGCGCATGAATGCACCTAGCACGATGTCTGAAACAAAACATTGATGTTTTTAAAAAAATCAAATCTGCTAATAATCACCTTTACATAAACTTGTTCATAAGTTCTAAAAATACATCACAATGTGAATCAATGTTTACTCCTGATAATTGCGGATGCATCTAGGGGTGGATCTGGGAACCAACAAAGGCGCCGGGAGCTCACCTCAAGTCTGCAAAATAACTTTGAAAATTTAAGACCCATTTTCTTAGAAATTTGACCTAAAATTTAAAAATAAGGCCTTAATAGGCGCAGTAATACCCTTAAAGGCCCACTAATTGGGCTCCTGCAAAATTTTTGAAACCAATTTTTTCTGGGCCCACCCGAGGGAGCCAAGGGGGGGGGGGGCATCCCAGGACATTGTTGCGACAACACTAATACTAATATAATGTAGCAATATTGCCTTATAGGAACACCACAAACCTCTTTGAGTAATTTTTAAAGTTACTTTTCCCGGGGAATTTACTTTATGGTGTTGTGGAGAAAGCAACTCAGGAAAGATCAAGAAGAACTATCAAAATTACTCTCTGTAAAGGCATGTGTAAAGGTAAACTTGTAACTATCTTATATGGCATATGGATAAGATCAATTTAACTTTTAATATTTATTCAAACCATGTCTTTTCTTACCTTTTCCACTTCACTAGGCATAAGATTAATTATGTGCAGCAGGCCCGTAGCCAGGATTTGCCAAGGGGGATTTACTTTTTGAAAAATTCAAGGGGGGTTTACTTTTGACAATTCTGGTTCAAAAATGGCCAAAATCACTTAAAAAGTGCACAGAATGGTGAAAAACTGCATGATTTTGGAAGAATTTTTGGCCAGGGGGAGGTTTGCTCGAACCCATCGAACCCCCCCCCCCTGACTACGGGCCTGTACAGTATGAATTTAAAGACAACAAAGGTTGCTATAAGATAATGTAAAACCTTTCTCCTCGAGTTTAAGGCTGAAGTAGTCAAGATTTTAAGAACCACCCCCCACCCTCTGGCTACTGGCCTGTTATCATACATTGCTGCTCAAATTAGGTTTGTAAAATTGTGTTAACCTGGATGTGCATATATGTTTGTGTGTCTGATGGTATTTTAATAAATTCCTTTACAAGCTGGTACTCATGTATTATTGATTTAAATGCCATTGTATGCATTCTATAAAAATTGATTGATTTTTGAAGTGGAATGTTATTCAGGTTACCAATAATGAAGTGATTGAATGTGTTGAAGATTACAAATATCTAGGGTGTATTATTAACAGAAAAATAATTTTGATAAGCAAATAAGCTATCTTAAAGAAAAATCCAGAAAAGCTCTATTTAGAATAAAGCAACAATACCATAAGTTTAATGACATTCCTATGTCTGTTGCATTACATTTATTTGATTCACTTATCCAACCAATTACTCAGATGCGAGTAGGTAGTTATCAGTTTCGTCCACCAGGTGGCTGATTCGGGGGAAATAACATGGCAGGGTATTACAAAATTCCCTTAAACTTGAATATTTATCAGTTTTAGTGGTTCACTTTTCATATTACCCGTATGTATTTGATAGTTATACAAATTAGAACATGTCCAGTAAAAGAACATATTATCTGCCCAACACAAGAAAAGATATTTCACTTTTTGTGGTTTTACAACATGGGGTCTATGGGGAATTTCCCCGACCTAGAAGTCACATTTTCAAAGAAAATTAAATTTTCAAAGTTGATAAATTCTTTTCAAAACCACATTTCTAGATGTAATTTTACAAGTAGATTCCAAATATGACATCAGATTGACTGAACTGTGCATGAATTTTTAATGACGTAAATTAAGATTATTTCTACTCGCATCTAGGATATTCTGATGTATGGTTCAGAAATATGGACAAGTAAAAAACATAGAAGACAATTGAAACTATCCATCTTTCCTTTTTAAAAAAAACATTTTTGGTGTGAAAACATCAACTGCAACACTAGTAGTTTATGGAGAGCTGGGTCGTTTCCCTTTGAGTCTATGTTTTGATATTCAACTTATTAAATATTGGATAAGGCTTATAAAATTGTGTCCATACAACATCCTTTATAAATCATATTTTTATGATTATGATTATATCTTTATGATTATGAAATAATTTTAAAAATACATGGTCAAGTAAAGTTTATAACATTTTAAAAGATTGCAATCTTCTTTTTAACTGGAATGAACAAATTGTTGAAGATGATTTCACATTTATAAATGTTTTAACTAAGACATTGCACCAAAATCATAACGACAAATGGAAGTGTGATTTACAATTATATCCAGTTCTGAGAACATATGTTAAATTTAAGACTACTTTTGAATTGGAGCAATATTTAAGCCTTCAGAACAAAAATCATAGGCAATCCTTTACCCGATTAAGGTTAAATTCTCATAAACTTCAAATAGAGTTGGGTAGACATGTGAAACCACGGCCAAAACCTGAACATGAAAGAATGTGTAACCTTTGTGGAGAAATAGACAATGAAATTCATTTCATGATAAATTGCCATATACATCAAGAAAATAGAAAAGTATTGTTTGAGAACATCAACAGCAAAATTAAATTTGATAAATAATGTACCATCCTGAAAATGCATTCATAATGTTAATGTCATCAAAAGCATAATATGCCCAAAGCAAGTTGGAATTTTAATAAATAAAGCATTCAAAGTCATTGAACTTGTCTGAAGAACATTCTGGATGCATCACACTGCTTTAAGTATTATGTATAGTTAAATACATGTTAATAACATGTTTTTGTGTATACTGTATTTGTATAATAATAGTGTAGTGGAGTGTAGTGTAATGTAGTGTAGTGTAGTGTAGTGTAGTGTAGTAAGCTTTTATTTTTGTACTGACTAATATGTCATACCATGACATTCTAAGAGTCAATAAAAGATATATCTATATATACCATTTACATATCCTCAAAGTTCAAATTGCTTCAACTTAAAGTGGCAACAAGGCCTGTAGAGAGAAAATATAAAAATTTTAACTTTTCCTGAGCTATCAAGGCAACATTTTGGCTTAACATCTTCTTTGACATACCTTTTTTCTTAAAATGTATTGATAAACTATCAATTTTAGCATTAAGAAGTGTAAATTCAGTTCAAAGCTTCAAAAAGGGGAAATCTACTTTTATATTTTTATGATCCACCATGTTTCAAGAGGAATATCAGCTGAAATAATGTTTATCTAGAGGTTTTTTTTGTAGATAATAAAAATATATGTATCCAAACCTTATACATTTTGACACTGGTCCATGATCGTTGAATGGCCCGCTACACTAATTGTTGCAACTTTAAATACAGAATTATTCTTTGAATAATCAATATGTGTTATAAAAACAGGAAATCCTCAGACTGAATTTATTCTACATATAAACTTAAAGTATTGAATAAATGGGGTAATAAGATAGAATACTGTTTTTACCATTACTCTTTTGTACATGACATGCATGTTGTTTAAAGCGGGTATAACGACTGTGGAGAGAAAAATTGATAAATTTTACCTTTTCTGAGCTATCGGGGCGAAGTTTGGTCTAACATCTTCTTCCTTATTCCTATTTTATAAAAATGTATGCATATGGCAATATTCATCAACCAGTAGAACTTGCAAATCGTTTAGAATCTACAATTCTATACAAGGAGTCCCACTCATAGATTTTTCAAATTCTTTCCGAGTCAACGTCGAAACACCTAGCGTGAGAAATTGAAACTAATGCTCGAATCAATAGAATCTCTGATAGTGTGAGTCTTTTTATGTAAATGTTTCGTATAGAAATCACTTGACGATTATTAGAAAGCATTAAAAGTTGAATCCAAAACCTAATCTGAAATAAAAGTGAACAAACATTGCGTGGACGTTAGAGAACAAACTTCCAGTTTAATAAAAAATGGCGGAGACGAAGGAGAAGAAGAAGAAGACAAAGAATTAGAGGATTTTCTTTTGCCATTATCGATCGATACAAGGTTTGTGCACAAATTCTAGTTGCATACATGGAAAATAGATACATTTTTAAAGGCTATAACATATTCAAAGCTTTCATTTTACGATAGGCCCAGGATCACTGGATACGACTCGGCAGTCTTTATACCCGCTTTAATATGTCCTTGCTATATGGCTTTGTTGCGATATATCCAGGGGAAATAAATATCTTAATTGCCAAGTGGCTGACCAGTGATATCTAAATCTGCAATAGCATAATTTTACCCATTTTTGTCAAAATGTCTCAGCATATTTTCATTTCTGCAGGGTGTATAAGTAGATGTTTAACAGGGTAGCATGTAATTTTTGACTCATAAAACATTTAACAGGATGTGACACCAAGCTGTTCTAATGCTGTGGAGATCACTAATAACTCAGTATATTTCATTACATGTATCTCCAACGGGGTCAACCCAGTTGTCCGAAACCCAGTTGTCCGAAACCCAATTCTCCGAAACCCAGTTGTCCGAAACCCAATTCTCCGAAACCCAGTTGTCCGAAACCCAGTTCTCCGAAAATTAGGGGATCTTATCAAAAAATACAATTTCTTAAAACGAATCTTGCCGCAACCTCTGCGGATCACGACAGCATAACATTTGAATTTGAATCACGTTGACATCATTGCAAAATTAGGCTAAATATGCTAAGTCAAGACGTTAATTAGCCCACGAAAGTTCATGGGTAACTTGAGAACTACAAAATACAACCAAATACTTTTCGAACGTACAATAGCAATATTTCTCACCTAACGTTTTCATAGTTTTAGGAACGTATTTTAAACGCATGATAGCCAAATATATCAAGATACTATATCTGCCTAAATGAAGTTATCTAGTGTTGACAAAGTTTTGAAATATATTTTATCCAGATCCATCAGAAACTAACTTATCCAATACATTACTTTACTAGTTCTAGTAGCTTGCATGACTCGTTTCCCCTCTACCACACCAAACTAGTTCTTACCCGTTCTTGCCAGTCCTACGAAAAAGTTGTAAACCGGGCTCAATCTGGCTGTGGTCGGGAAATATGTCTGAAATAATTAGCTTCTTCGTTCTTAAACAGTCTTCAATATGTCCATCTCGTTCGCAGTTCGTTCAGGTCGCACCACGTCGGTGTGCAACGGCGTATAACGCGTCCCTTAGTCTAGAAGGTCATCATGACCTGATTACAGAACGGAATGGTCGTCATCGAATTTTGAATCGATTCAAAATTCTAAATCACATTCCCCTCTGGGAAAGTCCATGAAGTTCGTAAATAGACCATAGAAAGTTGCAGCTACGTTCATTCCGTTTGCACACAGTTTAAAACCAGTTTTGAAGAACGCAGTGGCAACTTGTTTGGTGTGATAGCTATATTTTTGCTAATTCGTTCATAAGCAGTCTTAAATACGTTCTTAATCAGTTTAAACACGTTTGCAATTAGTTCAACCTCGTTCTCAATACGTCCTCGGACAGTTCAACTCGTTGTTAAAACGTCCCTAGTAGGATTGAAGTATGACGGTTCCGTTCGTAGTACGTCCAGCTCGTCGTTAGTACGTTGTCACTCGTTCTAATTGTAGAACGTATCGACCACGAGAAAATTTTGAGCATGTTCTAAGTTCTAGAGGACCTACCCGTTCGAGTACGTTCGATGAAGTTTGTAAATAGACCCCAAACGGTTTTTAGTACGTCCAGTCCGTTCATACACAGTTGAAGCCCATTTTCGAGAACGTAGTGAGAACTAGTTTGGTGTGATAGTAGGGTTAGAATCACAATGTAAAATAAATCTCCCGTTCCTGCCATTCTGGTAACGCCATGCAATGGATGCAATTCAAAGTGAGAGAGAGATCTATGAATATCAGAATGCGTCCATGCCATTAATTTGGCCAAATACATGGCATGAAACTGACGTAAGCTTAAGTAAGCTACGCCCCCCCCCCCCCCTTCTCTGGTAAATTATGACTTTATTTTTCGGAGTAATGGGTTTCGGACAACTGGGTTTCGGGGAATTGGGTTTCGGACAACTGGGTTTCGGAGAACTGGGTTTCGGACAACTGGGGTGTACCCATCTCCAACACAAAAAGTCTCCAACTTTTTGTGTTTGGTGGTTGGCATTCGGCGTTAAGCTGTCAGCTTGTGTAACAAATGGCAGGTAGTGATATTTTGCATGTTAATGTTTAGTATGTATGATGCTGTGTTGTTTATTTGTATCTAATAAGAACTGTCTTTTTTATTTATATCTAATTTGTATTTACTATATATCCTCTGTCTTGTTTGTTTCATGTATTTACCGAAGTTATCACAAATAAGCTTATTGGATGCTGTATTTTTGTTTGTTCCAGGTATTTACTGAAGGTATCACAAACAAGCTTATTGGATGCTATAAAGGGAGCAAAGAAGATATGGTGCTCGTAAGGGTTTATGGCAATAAGACAGATCTGATCATAGATAGGTAAGTTATTCCAATGGACCAAATTATGTAGTGATATTGTGAAGCCCTCCATCTATACATCTGCCCTCTATCTATCCATCTGCCAGTCCAGCCATCTTGCATTCTGGCAGCCTTCTTGGAAGTTTTTAGATAAACCTTGTCATCACGATTCCAGGAAAACTACTCGACGGATTTCCTTCAAATTTTCACACATATTACAAGTTCTAGAGCTGATTAAGTTTTCGGTGGCCATCTTGCATTCTGGCAGCCATCTTGGAAGTTTTTAGATAAATCTTGTCATCGCGATTCCAGGGAAACCACTGAATGGATTTACTTCAAATTTTCACACAAGTTACATGGTAAGTAGTTCTAGAACTGCTTAACTTTTTGGTGGCCATCTTGTTTTCTTGGTCATTAAGCCCACACTGCTATGTTTTAGCTATGATATTGTTCACCCTGTGCCTTGTTCTTTCCAGTAACTTACATACCAGTACATGTATTTTTATTTATTGTGGGTCTTGTATTTTATAATATTAGTAAACATGAGATCTCACTATTTTGTGATCCAGGGAGGCTGAGCTGAGAAACATGCTTGTCCTACACAGTGAAGGGTGTGCTCCACCACCATACGCCAAGTTCAATAATGGATTGTGTTACGCCTTTGTTCATGGGATCTGCCTTGATGAGAAAACAGTCAGAGAAGAAAAAATAGGCAGGTAATAAAAGTTAGATTTGGTCAGATGTACTGATAAACATGTTTTAAGTTATGGCACTCACCGGGCCAACCACACACTTCCCTGCACAGATAGTTATACTTTATTATGTCACCACCAAAAGTTGTGACAGTTATTATCCCATCGAACGAAGTTCGGAGGGATATAGGGAACGCCTCCCTCCGTCCGTCCGTACGTACGTACGTCCGTACGTCCGTCCATCCGTCCGTCCGTCCATCTGTCTGTCCGTCCGTCCGTCCGGGCAATAACTCAAATACCGTTGGCCTGATTTTGTTCATATTTTGTATACATATACCCTATGGGAGTAGAAGTTCTGCTCGAAAGCCGATTTTCAAAATGGCCGCTCATTTAAAAATGGCGGCCATTTTAGTGCCGATTTTACAGTAATTTAGGTGCAATATGTAAAACTGTAATAGCAATATGTTTTAAATGTAAAAAATTATATAGGACATTGATAAAGCTAGAAATAGAGATATTAAATAAGCACATGGCAGCCATCTTGAAAAATGGCGGCCTTTACTCGTTATTTTACGATTTTTGCAGTAACTCAAAAAGTAGTGGAGCGATTTTGTCAGCTTAGCAATATTTTATTTGACTTTACATTTAGGGGTGTCAGGTCGGCAAACTTTTATTCGGCAATAACAATTTTAATCCAATTCAGAAAATAAAGCACCCGGATTTAAAACATGTTATACAGTATATATATTTCAAATTATATTGTTACCATTTAAAAGATGACCATTAAATTGACGATGTGTCAAATTTATAGATTTTTTATGACTGGTTTAAGAGAAACGTGTGTTCAAAAAGTTCTCCATATCGATACCACTCCTTTTGTGAAACTTTGTACCTTTATTCAAAATAGAACTTAGATTGAAATTCATATCTTTTCCATTATTGCACATTTTCCACCCTTTTCTATTCTACTGTACATTTTACCTCCACTTTGCTGTTAATGTTCCCGTACCTTTTACAGATTAGTTGCAGAGGAGATGGCAAAAATACACGATATTCAAGAATCTTCACGTTCTGCTAAGCAATCCAAGATAGAAAGAGAACCAATGCTCTTTAAGAAGATTAAAACATTTTTGAATCTTGTTCCTGAAGAGTTTCAAAACCCAGAGAAAAATGAAAGGTATAGTAGTAGTTTGCACAGCTATGTGTCACTTACAATTTGATTGTCATTTTTAGCAAGAAAAACAGAAATCATAGATTTCTTGCTCATATATACATATTACTTTTCTCGATACTTTAAACAAATTCAATGTTATCAACAATGGCAAACGAGAAATTACTAAAAGGAATTTACTAGTTTTGTTATAGTTCAGGATATTACTATTTTAACAGAATTTTATTTTAAATGACTTAGTCAAAACCATTTCTTGAACAATTTTTAGCTCTTCTTCCTTTTCATCATGTGAAAAAATCGAGGGTTTGTAGGGGTCTTGATACATGACTGTGACACCTGATTGCGGCTCTACTTTTTTCTTGCGATTTTTTTTCACAGAATGAATTTACTTGTTTAGAAAAATCTAAAGTATGAGAGATGATGTTATGGAGTGAATATTTGCTTGAATTACACCATACGTTTTAGAAAGGCGCCTAAGGTTTTAACCCAGTTTGATAAATAGGTGTAATCACGATTGCGGTTTTACAAAAGTGCTTTTCCAAAACTCCTAGGACCCTAGTCACTAAAAAACGCCTTTAATCATTAGGCGCTTTAAGAGTGTAGTGTAATGCCGATTGGTTTTTGTAAAACGCCTTAACCGGGTTTTTACCATTTGCTCTAAATGAAATAAGACGTATTTTGAATGCTACACATTTTGGCCACCGCAAAAATACAGAAAATGATTGATGGGACCCAAAAATGCAATAGGTCATCAAATTATATTGCAAAAATGAAAAGTAAGTTCACATCACTGGCAAAAGTTTCGGTAACGTTTCTCTTAGATGCTAAAAGAATACATTTGTTGTAGATGCACACATCTGCTGGATATTCTTAATATCTACATAGTTAAAAGTGCACAAAAGGCATTTTAGAAATCACAGGTGTAATTCCAAAATAAAATTCCTAAGGCACTTTAGAAATGTTGCTGTAATCAGGATGGCGATTTTGTAAAGCGCTTTCTACTAAAGCGCTTTTAGCATTTTTTTCAGGTGTAATTCCAGCAATTATGTCTATTTTAATAATACCTTATTTTGTCTATATGTTACATGTCAAATACAAGAGCATCAGCATTTGTCTGTCATATTTTTCAGATATAAGAAAGGAGTAAAGAATAGAAAAGACTTGGAGAGGGAACTTGAGGAGTTGAAGGAACATTTAGAAACAATCAATTCTCCCGTGGTTCTATGTCACAATGACTTATTGCTACAGAATATTGTATATAATGAAGAAATAGGTATATAATATTGTATGTAATGAAGAGACTGGTAAATAGGTATATAACAGTTTCGTATATTTAAAAATAAACTTTTATAAATGTTTGTATAAGATAATATTTTTTTGAAGAAGAATGATTTGTTTAAAAAAATTAAACCATCAAAAAAACTGAGAATGATGCCATGTAATTTCAGATGCTAATATATTTTAAATCTATTAGCATCTGGAAAATAGTAAAATCTAATTGAAAGCCCATGGTAAAATCAACATCTGTACCAATACACTTTTGTTATTATATAGAATGAGTTAGGAAATATTTCATAAAGGGAACCATATTGGCCATGATATATATGTTGAGCATTTATTGTATGTAAGTGCCTGTGTAAGATTACTTTTTGATCGTGTAAGTTAACTTATTGAAATACATTTTCAGAAAAAATCACCTTCATAGATTATGAGTATGGTTTCTATAACTACCAGGCCTATGATATAGCAAACCACTTCAACGAATTTGCAGGTTAGTGTCATGGTTAGCACCATTTAAGTTTTTGTTCATTTGGTGAGTCCATCTTTCTGTCTTATAGAGATCACCAATTCATTTTTATTGCACCCTCAGGTGCTATATTGTAATCAGTTTGCCAGGCGGGCGGGCGTCCCGAATAATCTTGTCTACAGGTTTCCAGCCAAACCGTTTGACGGATTCGTTTGAAATTCATAGGGATGTTTCTACCTATGAAAGTTTAGAACTGATTAGGTTTTCGGCATTCTGGGTAAATGTTAAGACGGCCATTTTGGATTTTCCGTCCTAAAATCTTGCCTGTCAAGGCTTGTCTACAGGTTTCCAGCCAAACCGTTAGAGGGATTCATTTAAAATTCTCAGGGATGTTTCTACTTATGAATGTTTAGAACTGATTAGTTTTTCGGCATTCTGGGTAAATGTTAAGGCGGCCATTTTGGATTTTCCGTCCTAAAATCTTGTCTGTCAAGGCTTGTCTACAGGTTTCCAGCCAAACTGTTTGAGGGATTCATTTGAAATTCTCAGAGATGTTTCTACCTATGAAAGTTTAGAAGTGATTAGTTTTTCTTCATTCTTGGTAAATGTTAAGGCGGCCATTTTGGATTTTTCGTCCTAAAATCGTGTCTGTGAAGGGTTGTTTTAAAAAATAAAAAAGAATTTCCCATTGAGAGCAATGTTAAATTAAAACATTTTTTTTAGAAATAACTAAATGGTCAATCTTTCCAATTTTCACATATTTTGTAATACATCAGTATATCTTTTACCAGGATTTTTTCAGGAAAATCTGAATTGTAGAAAAAAAGTTGATACACTGTGAAGTAATACCTTAAAACGTGTCTCTTGAGGGTTGTTTACAGGTTTCATGGATTCATCCTAAAATTTTAGAGATGTTTCTATGGAAAGTTTAGAACCGATTAGTTTTTAGGCAGTCTGGGTAAATGTTAAGGTGGCCATTTTGAATTTTCCATCCCGAAAAGTGTATTCTGTTCAAGGGTGCGATTCTGTTCACCATGTGGCTTATTTATATTTGATTCATAATATTAAGAAAAGCACACTGCACAAATTGGTGTAATTATGCCACCAACACAAGTGGTGATGTATTGTTATAGTATTTAACTTTTTGTGTTCAGTGGTTGGTGTTCGGCGGTTGGTGGTTGATGTGAAACAAATGGCATGTAGTGGCATTTTGCATGTTAATGCCTAGTGCATATTCTCTTTATTATATTATACATTTAGGTGTTGAGACAGTTGACTACACTCTCTACCCAGACAAAGAGCTACAATATCGCTGGTTACGTGACTACCTCTCAGCCTGGTACTCTCTGCAGGGGCTCAACAAAATACCAACTGAGAGAGATATAGAGATACTTTATGTTGAAGTCAACAAGTATTCTCTGGTAAGAAATGCCTCAGTTACATTTCATCACAGCAAACATACAGCGGCTTTAGTTTCCTGAAATCGAGAGAAATATGATTACATAGTAGAGTCATTTGAATATCCAAAAATGGAACTGAACGAAGTGTTTGCATAACACAAGGTAGTCACTCACCTTTGAAAGGATCTTTTAACATTCACAGAATCTAAGATTGTACAGTGTTTATATTTGATTATTTGCAGGCTTCTCACTTCTTTTGGGGAGTATGGGCCTTGATACAAGCAAGGTTCTCAGATATAGATTTCGACTTCCTGGGGTATGTACAGTGTAGTAACTTGGATCAAATTTGATCTTGTAAATATAAAAGATTAGGGATGGCGCTCCAATTTTAAATTTTATATTATGATACCTAGAGCTAAAGGAGCTATGTTCAAGAAGAAATTTTCAAGATGGCAATTTTATTATGTCACCACAACAAATAATGACATATTGTTATGGTCTCTAAATTTTTTTGTTAATGGTGTTTGGTGGTTGATGTTTGGCATTCGTTGTTCTTAATTAATGGCAGGTAGTGATATTTTGCATGTTAATGCCTTGTTAAAATGTAAACATGGTATAGTTAAAAATAACACTTATACCCATATAAAATGTTGATAAATATTACACAAGAAAGTACTCAAACCACAACACATAAAAACTTGTTTTTTGCATGTGATCATTTACATGTAAAATGGCTTAATCATAGTTTCAATTTAATGTATTTTCAGCTATGCAATGCAGAGACTCAATGAATTCCACAGTCAGAAAGAGGAGAGATTCGCTTTAACAATGCCAGAATAAACAAGTATATATCTGAGCATAGTGAAAATAAACTTGAGGGAACAAAAAAGAGTGCATTTTTTAATGACTTTCTAAAGTCAATTCAGTTCCATATACAGGGTCCAGGGCTTAATCATCTTTAATACGGTAGATCATATTAATTTTTAATTTAGGTTTTTAATTCAGCTTTATATATGCCTGGGTTTATATACATATGTGAACAATGACCAGGAGATGTGTGGTGTATGTTGATTTATTCGCTTTACAGAGGGAGAACTGGCTCTTGCTTTGAGCTGCCAATATGACCAATTGTAGATGATTTTGTTGATTTTATGGAGAGGTAAAAATTGATTGTGGCTATTGTATGACTCTTAGCTAGAGGAAGCTGCTTTATGTGCCAGCTATTTATGTGAATTGAAACATAAAATGTCTAGTGCCATCTATAAATGCAACTTTAAAGTGCATTTGGCCAGTTATATGCATTGTTAATATATTATACTAATCGGCATGTGCGCATCTGTCTGGAAATGAGTTGAAAGCAAATTTAAAAATAGGACAACTAACAATATTTTCTCACATAATTCCATGTCATGTCTATTTTTAGTCTAAATCGAGGATATTTAATGGAATATGAATTTTATTTCAGATTCCGGGGGAATATGATATTGCTCTAATAAAAAATCATATTGACTGAGGGCGATAGCCTGAGTGTCAGTATGATATTTTTAAGGCCAATATCATATTTATTCCATAATAGTTGATACAGGATCCAATACGGGATCTGATATAGGATTTTGGCTGATAGGGATTGTTTGAATATCAATTTTGTTCCCCTGGAAAAACATGTTATAATTAATGGTTTAATAATTATCCCATCGAACGAAGTTCGGAGGGATATAGGGAACGCCTCCGTCCGTCCGTACGTACGTCCGTCCGTCCGTACGTACGTCCGTCTGTCCGTACGTCCGTCCGTCCGTCCGTCCGGGCAATAACTCAAATACCGTTGGTCCGATTTTGTTCATATTTTGTACACATATACCCTATGGGGGTAGAAGTTCTGCTCGAAAGCTGATTTTCAAAATGGCCGCTCATTTCAAAATGGCGGCCATTTTAGTGCCGATTTTACAGTAATTTAGGTGCAATATGTAAAACTGTAATAGCAATATGTTTTAAATGTAAAAAAATGATAAAGGACATTAAAAAAGCTACAAATGTAGATATTAAAAAAGCACATGGCAGCCATCTTGAAAAATGGCGGCCTTTACTCGTTATTTTACGATTTTTGCTGTAACTCGAAAAGTAGTGGAGCGATTTTGTTCATATTTGGTATGTGAGTACTATAAACATTGCACACTGTCTAAAGACACTTTTGGTAGAAGGCGGCCATTTTTCAAAATGGCCGCCATTTTAACGTATTTTATTTTACTATAACTCGAAAAGTAGTGGAGCGATTTTGTTCATATTTGGTATGTGAATACTATGAGCATGGCACACTGTCCTATGACACTTTTGGTAGAAGGCGGCCATTTTGAAAAAAAAATTGAAAAATGGCCGCCATTTTAACGTATTTTACTATAACTCGAAAAGTAGCAGGCCTGTCAACTGTCCCGCAATTTGCGTATTTGTCACGCATTTGCTGAAGAATTTGAAGTCACGCCAGTTATTTTTGCGTGACACAAAATGTCACGCAAATACGCATTTTACCTGGTAATTGTCACGCAAATATGTTTCTGTAAAATTTTTTTCAAAATATGTTTATGATACGGTAAAAATACGAACGTCGGAAAAAAACGAACGCAATTTGTTCGGATTTGTCACGCGAATCCCGTATATGTCACGCATGTTCATTGACGACATCGCGAGCGTAGCGAGGCCGAAAAATTTGAGGTTATAAAAGTTTAGCCAAAGGTGTTTAAAAGTTGGCCAAAGGTGTTCAAAATTTGGACAAAAGTGTTCAGATTTGGACTTCGGTGTCCAACATTTGTAAGTCACTCATATTAGGTGGTCCCAAGTTGACAGCCCTGAAGTAGAGAAGCGATTTTGTTCATATTTGGTATGTGAATACTATAAACATTGCACACTGTCTAAAGACACTTTTGGTAGAAGGCAGCCATTTTTCAAAATGGCCGCCATTTTAACGTATTTTACTATAACTCGAAAAGTGGTGGAGCGATTTTGTTTATATTTGTTATGTGAATACTAAAAGCATGGCACACTGTCTAATGACACTTTTGGTAGAAGGTGGCCATTTTGAAAAATGGCCCCATTTTAACGTATTTTACTATAACTTGAAAAGTAGTTCAGCGATTTTGTTCATATTTGGTATGTTTCATATTTTATATGTGAATACTATAAACATGGCACACTGTCTAATGACACTTTGGGTAGTAGGCGGCCATTTTGAAAAATGGCCACCATTTTTATGTTTTTTTACTATAACTTGAAAAGTAGTGAAGCGATTTTGTTCATATTTGATATGTGAATACTCATGAGCCTTGCACACTGTCTCATGACACCTCGGATAGTAGGCGGCCATTTTAAAAAATGGCTGTCATTTTTACATTTTTTACTATAACTCGAAAAGTAGTGGAGCGATTTTGTTCATATTTGATATGTGAATGCTCAAAGCATGGCACATTGTCTCATAAAACTTTGGGGAGTAGTCGGCCATTTTGAAAAATGGCCACCATTTTTATGTGTGTTATTTTACAAGTACATGTGTGCGATTTTTCAAAAATTTTATAGATGGCTACTTAAAAGCATATTATTTCTTCTGATGACAACTTGTTTAGTGAGCAACCATTTTGAAAATGGTGGCCTTTCTGGTGTGTTGTTTTATGATATTTGCTATATATTTCGTTTGTAAAAATGCCAGCCATTTCTGTTCGATGGGATTCGCTACGCTTTGGCGTTGCCGTTGTTCTGGTTTGGTAAGAAAGGATTGTCGCCTTTTTCAATTCTAATGAATTGAACCTTCAATAACTTGTATAGGTGTGATCGGGTATTACATTTCTTTTTCGGGAAATAAAATTGATATTGTGAGGAAAAACATTTGTAGTTTTTGAAAAAGATTGCTCATTTGATATGTCTTTATGGCCTAGTCACATAGCCCGGCCGATGAGGTTACGATGAGCCAGCGATGCAATTTTCACCGAACTCGGCCGAACACCGGCCGGACACCGGCCGGACATCCGTGGCGGTTGTTGCTTAAAACCGCATCGGTGGTAGCTCGGTGAATTTTTAACTTCGAAGTTAAATTTCACCGGGCTCTCACCGAGCTCCCTCATCTCGCATCGCAGCCCCATCGTAACCACATCGGAAAACACGTCGGCCGGTGCACGGCCGAGTATCGGCCGGTGTCCCGTGCATCTGAGACAACCAGAGGACGAGGTTTTTTAACGGACAGCAGCCGAGCTCCGGCCGATGTGGGACAGAGCATCGGCCGGTCACTGTTCAAAGCCCGTTAACAACCCGGCCGGCGATCGCACGGTGTCCTGTTACCTGCTCGGGTACCGGCCGTATTCCTTCCGATGTCTGGCCGACCTCTGGCCGGTTGTTGCTGCCACATCGGCAGAAAAAAACTACCATTTTGAGACAGACTCCGTACGGTCACCGGCCGGTGTTCGGTCGGTCGCCTGAAGATGTCCGGACGGAGTCCGTTCATGTCACCGAGCTCTGCTTCCGATGAGGAGAGCTCGGTGGCACCAAAAAAATCCACCGAGCTCTACCGATGCCGGACATCGGCCGGGCTATGTGACTAGGCCATAGCATATACATGTACACTGTACTACGTATGTAAAATATTTAGCTCTTTAATTGCAAAAATTTGGGATTAGAATACTGAAATAATACTACCTGTATTTATTACATTATTTAATGCATACCTGCCAACCTAAGACCAAAATTTTGCGGTAGATTTTTTTAAAATTGCTGTATTTTTGCGGTAGATTTTTTCAAAATACGGTAGTTTTTGCGGTATTTTTCAACAAATTTGCGGTAGTTTTTGCGGTAGATTTTAGAAAAAAACTGTAGTTTTTGCGGTAGATTTTAAAAAAACGGTAGTTTTTGCGGTAGATTTTAAAAAAACGGTAGTTCTTGCGGTAGATTTAAAAAAATACGGTAGTTTTTGCGGTAGATTTTTAAAAAATACTGTAGTTTCAGAGTTCTGGGGTAGACTTTTGAAAAAAGTGTAATTTCGCGGTAGAAATTTGAAAAAAGCGGTAGTTTTGCGGAAGATTTAGAAAAAATGCAGTAGTTTTACGGTAGATTAAAAAAAATGTGGTAGTTATTTGAAAAACCGGTAGTTTTACGAAAGATTCTGAGAAAATGCAGTAGTTTTACGGTAGATTTTGAAAAAATGCGGTAGTTTTTACGGTAGTTTTTTTGAAAAACCGGGAGTTTTGCGGAAGATTTTGAAAAAATGCGGTAGTTGTACGGTAGATTTTGAAAATTGCGGTAGTTTTTACGGTAATATTTTGAAAAACCGGTACTTTTGCAGAAGATTTTGAAGAAATGCGGTAATATTACGGTAGATTTTGAAAATTGCGGTAGTTTTTAAGGTAATTTTTTGAAAAACTGGTACTTTTGCGGAAGATTTGCCAAAATGCGGTATTTTTCGGTAGATTTTGAAAAATGCGGTAGTTAAACCTTTATATAATGCGGTTTTCTATATTAATACAATGTTTACGTGGTCATATTGTTTTTGTTATTGTGAATACATATTTTACTGCAAGAGTGCTTTTGATAATTACAGTTTGTAAAGCAGAACTACCACCTGAGAATTATACGAAACTATTATTTTCAAGAAAAATTGATACTATTTTCAAGAATAAATAGAGACTTAGCACTTTTTATTCTTAATTTACCATGCCTACAATAGACTGACAGCAACTTTGGATTTTAATGTCTCAGCAAAATGTACATGTATATATATGAATACAACTCTTTTACAACTCTTTTACAATAAATCTAGATTGATTCAAAATACGAACACAATATTCATATCTCCACTATTATTCACA